GTTTTTTGTTGTTGCTGCCGCTGATTTGCAGTTCTTTGGTTTTTGTGTTGTGTTTTCTTTGCCCTTTTAAATGATACAGCGGCTTTAGAAGGTTAACATGTGTGTGAGTGGAAGTTTGATCTACTTAAGGCCAGACGAAAAAAAGCTATAACAAAAACCGTTTCTCTTTGTACTCCCATATAATGCGGTGTTGTTCTTGTTGCCGAGCTCGATTATTTGCTTTGGGCGGTGAGTCAGTTTGGTGAACTTTAGTTTTGGCCCGCTGCCAGTGGATTTCCTTATCCGCTCATTGGTATCCTCCCACTCTCGTAGTAACCCCTCACCCCCTCCCCAGTAGTGCTCTCAGCTAGTCCAAGGTCGTCGTCCTCCCACACACGCCACCCACTCCACCGCACTCCAATAAAATCGTCAGGCGACATCACCGTCAGTGTCCAACACCAACGGACTAATATATAAGTATCCGTATGAACATGAAAAGTGTACAGTGCTTCTGGGTTGTTGGATATACATACAATATAAGAAGATATCAATTTAACGATCAACGTTTGATTCGACTTAAAAAGTTTGAGTCCAAAGTGGAACCATGGGAACTGTACCGTCTAGTATATGCATAGCTCAATTGATGAATATTCAATTTTGCAATAAATTATTAAAATGTGCATAAATAACGTATAAAATATAAATTAATGTTTACATGTTTACATAAAATCAGCAAATTAATAACGTAGCATAGCTCCAAGTTCGATTCCCATAAAATATGCAATTTTTTAATGCCGTATCATGTTGTTTCTACGTTCATAACATATGTATGTTGCCATAAAAAATGTAAAATTTAGATGGCATGCGATAAATCAACTCGTAGCTTAGTTTTCGTTATTTGTACCTATTAATTATAATATAATTAATGCAGAGTCGTCGGCGCTTAAACTATGCAGATATGGATAGGGAAAATGTAAGCTTATATGGTTTCGATTATTGTTAACATGCAAACCACTGTAATCACATGCAAGCCACTCTATGCCAGAACATTTTTTTGCTCACTATATTTTTTGATTCTTAACTACAAAATGGAGGCGCCGGTTCTCCTTTTGTCTGGCGTCTATTGATTTAGCCGTAAATGACACAACGAAACGGAGACAAAGCCGTCAAAAAGGAAACTCCGGCAAGTGCATTTAACCAAATGAGCGGGGAAATGCGGAAAATGAGGAGGAACTCGGATAGTGCTCACATTTATGGCTGATAATGGATATATACATATAAATGTGTAAATATATATCTGTGCATGCATGGGAGGGAATGCAATGGGTGGATATGATGATGACAATGCATCAACAGACAAAAGGAGCCAAAAGGGAATGGCCACAAAAGGAGCCAAACATTCATGTGGCCATACATTCATACACACATTCATACATATGGGCATATGCAAAAGAGGGCGAATAAGGGGAACTCCAGTCGAGTGCTGTGTTACCATTGTTGCTGTTGGCTCGATGGCTGAAAATGGATAGATAATAACTTGTGAAAATAACTTTTGCACTTGAACGAGATTTCAAATGTTGTTGCTGAATGGGGAGCACTCAACGCAGACGGAGTTGCATCCATTCCACTGTCAAAATCATGGTCCATGGTCCACATTCGACACTGAAATTTCTGACAGATGCGAGTGCATCAAGTTCGGATGATTTCGAGAGTGTTCGGAGACGGAGACGGAGATGGAAGTGGAATTGGAATTGGTATTGAAATTGGAAATGGAAATGGAATTGGAATTGGAATTGGAGCTGCTTGGCAATGGGGCGGAGTGGGAGTGTGAACTGCACTCCAATTGAATGGTGTGGGCCTGCAACGAAATCGTTTCGATTGTCGCCTCAAGTGTCATTGAACGTTTGGGTGGCATGAAAAGAAAATATATGGAGGAGAACTCTCCTGGGCGTACACTGAAAAAAGCTTGCCATCAACCCATATCAGTATAATTATTGCTATAGTATATAGCACCTCATTATCACGAGTTTGTTTTTATCATATTATTTACTTATTCTTTTTGTACTGCTTTAATCAAGCTGATATTAAAAACCGTCGAGTATCTCTTGGATATGCAACAGATACTTGATGTCTTGTTTCACTCGCACTTGAAGTGCCCAAGTGTCCGGTATAACTATCCTATTGGGTCCATCGTATGTCGATACGACATTTCAGCATTGTGAAACTCTGCTGCATGACCCAACAACAAACACATACTCCATCTCTTTTGCCACTTTTGGAGTTGTTAATTGAAAAAGACAACAAGAGCAGCAGCAGCAACAAAAAGATTGAATTCGTTACTTTTATAACATATTTTCCAGACCAACTGCTGTTGAAGCCACAACTCTCGATCACTTTTACTGTCATCCGGCAATTCACACTTTGGCATTGTGAAAAGTGGGGAAAAGGCCAAGGAGAAGTATGAAGCGTATTGGGAAGTTGGGGGAGTTCATTAGTGCACTTGTTGCTCAGCTGTTAGTTTGAAGAACGAAATATAATGAAACCGTAAACAGGATGCAAAAATCGCCGAATTGCAATGAGTCTACCAGTTTTACCGCTTATATAAGTAATCACGTTCTTATTTTTTCTGTCGTATTTCAAAAATTCACTTTTATATACCTTAATCAGAAAATGTTCCAATAACAGTTGTAAATATGACACAAAAGATAAGAAGTTTATGATTGTACCCTTGGTTGATTACTTAAGCACTTTGATACAGAAGCTGTTTTCTTCCGATAGACAAGGTCATGTTGAGCAATTGCTGCAATATCTGATAACAAAATATACTATATACATATATGGGAACCCACCAATCCAATTGCCATCGAGTCTGGGAACTTTTGGTCAGATAAGGGACAAGTTTCACGCCTCACTGAGTGGAGAGGCATTGAAAACAATGTAGAAAACGTTGGGAAATGCGGGGGAGTTGTGTTGACAATTTCGAATGTGGAAATCGGCAATGGCCAAAATACAATATAATAAGAAGAAAAAAAAAACAAAGCGAAAACTGTCGAGGCGCATTCAATTACCGGACTTGGCGATGGGAGGAGATTGAATCGCATTGGATTGGAATGGAGTGGGGCAGACCTTATATGCGAATCGATGCCAACGACGCGACGCATCCTATGCAAAATGTGTGTGCTGTATATACAGACATTTCGCTGTGTTTGGATGAGGATTTTTTAATTAAATTCACTTTCAAAAATACCGCTAATCATTCGAACAAAAGGCCAGCGAGCATTTGCATATATGTTTGTCTCGAAAGTTTGCGACTTTTGTGTGTTATTTTTTCCAGGGTTTCATTTTATTGTTTTTTTTTTTCGATTGTTTTGTTTTTTTTTTTTGTAGGTGTTTTCTGTCTTGGGCCAACAGCAGGGGGCGTGGCATGTGAATAGATTGATCGATCTAGGCAAAAAGATTTTCGCAAGTGCGAAAGTGAAATCCGCGGGGATGAGATGCGGATTTAGCCAAAAACCAAACCCCCCGGAGGTAGGTTTTGGGTCCATCAATGGTCAGCAAATTAGCCAACACACATGGGTGTTTTTTGTACTTGTCCGAATGCGAATCCGAATTCGAATACGAAATGGCAATCGCAATCCGATCCCGAATCCGAATCCGAATCCGCTTGATCACTTTGAAAAAACACGTAAGTGGCCAAATCGGTGCGCCTTAATTAAGACCAGCCTCATCGGGAATGGGACGATTGCGCAAGCACTTAATACAGCTGCGGGGACCAACGGATCCAATAGCCAGGCGAATTAAATACACAAAACATTTAAAATACACGCAGCGATCTCTAAAAAGCAACAACCAAAAACCAAAAACCAAAACCGAGCAACAAACAGCGGAATGCTAGTGCGAATGGTATTCGATTTCTTGCAGCTTTGTGCCCACTCTTTCACCCATGGCGTTTTTATGATTACCGATCGATTGGATCGCTCCTACAAGATACAAGATACAAAAACAAGATACAAGACCTGACCCAGCAGCACCTTGGCCTAATTATTATAATTTGTTATTAAGAGAGCAGGTGTATCTATGGTGAGGTTCTGCTTTTCAGTTAGAATTTTATGCTATGTGCTGCCACTTAAGGTTGAGAATTTATGTACTTATTACCATATAACGGTTTTTATTTCATATGGCATTTTGCAATATATTTATAGTTCAGATTAACACTTACATACAGAAAGTTGCGCTTCGGTTTCCTTTGTCCTGGGTGCCCTTCAGCAAAAGTTTAATTCCATTGGATGAGGATGAGGATTAATGAAGGGCGGATGGCAATAATAGCAACCTGTTCTGATGGCCCAAGGCCGAATCCTGTTGCGGCATCCTTATGCAACGATAATTCGATAAACGCTCCTGATAAGCCATAAGTTTTATGACTGGCCTTGAATGGCAATTGCCTGTTGGCGATCGTCTTCGACATTAATCTCCCACCGGCCGAAGTTCACAGTTCAATTGGGCTCACCGCCAATTAGTTGCTGCTGTTAATGAGCTGGGGGTAAAAAACTAAAAGAAAAAAACGGACAACTTGGGTGTGAGATGCCATTAACCCGGCGCCCCAATACCGACTTTGTTTTATTTTTCTAGAGGTTGCCGCTGGTTTGTCTGGGCCTTTTTCAAGTCACCGACTTTTATGTTTTATTTATTGATTTTATTTGTATAACTTTGCAGTTGCTGTTTTGCCGGCGGCGGCGGTGGTTTGCCGTTGCCGTTGCCGTTGCCTTTGCCGCTGCGGTTTTCAGTACCATAATTATGTCAGCTGCAGTGGCACAATCATAAATTTACGCCGTTTTGGTGCAACAATTTTTTACAATTTATTATCCATTCGCCGGCAATCTGATTACATATCATCAATCAACGAGATTTCCAGACGAGGAGTTGAGGAAATTCTTGCATTTCCGCAGCATACTCGTACATACTATGCCATAATAATGACTAACAAAATGTTAATTTATGTTTATACTTTGGATTTCTTTCAGCTCAATATCGAACCGAACCTAACCGAAACGCTAATCCGAACCAGACGCGATGCACTGCAGCCAAAAGCATAACGAAAACACGACGACCAATCTTTGCTAGGGTCTGAAAAACCACAGATATATATAAATATATATAAATATATATATATTATACCCAACCAAAACAAATCTGAAAATCGAAATCGAAAGCGAAAGCGAAGGCAAAGAAGCTGTGAATAGAAGTTTAGGAGGATTCCAAAAAAGATTCCAAGCCGACACAATGGCCATGTTGGAGGCGAGGCCATATAGGCCATTTAAATCCAGTGAGGAGTATCTGGAGGCCATGAGGGAGGATTTGGCCGAGTGGCTCAGCACTCTGTATCCAGAGCTGAGCATCAATGCCGATAACTTTATGGATCGTTTGGACACGGGAGTGGCATTGTGCAAGGTAAGTCGCCATTCATGCTCATTGCATTTCCATCGCACACACTTTACACACACTTTACACACAACCGCGACAACTCGACACTCGGCAAGTGCCAGGAGCTCGACAGATTTCCATTTCATCTTTTATTCCTCCGCTCGGCTCGGCTAAAAGGCTTCTTACCTGGCCAACGGCACTCCGGCAGGAAAACCGTAGGAAGAAACCAGGTCACACAGGGTTCATTGAGCCGGCTTAGTTGCTCAGCCGAAGCGATTGTGAAAAGTTCATCATTTCAATGAAGTACTGAAATAAGCCAACGGGCAGGGATAATATAGGGGGAATTCCCTCGATAGAGTTGCCTAATGCAACGGAAGGACACCGTTAAACTTACAAATTAAAACAAATTGTGCGAAAGTGGCACAGCAATGAAATAGATATTTAAGGAATCAGTAAAAACCAACTTTATAAAAATATCAAAAAATGTACCCTTACCAGTCGTCACCCATTAAAAATTAAGCAATACAAGCGTTAAAAAGAATGGACTTGTCGTAATACCCAGAGTGCCCAAGTCCAAGTTAAAAATTGTTCAAAATTGGTACCTTGGCTGAACATGTTGCATTAGATGCACATACGATCTTCTCATTGATAGGTAACACTACTTGCTTGTTTTTCAGTTTTCAGCTTTCTGCAGTCTGTAGTCTGTTTTTCAGTTTCGGTTTCGGTTTGGCTTGGTTTGGTTTGGGTGGCACATGCCATAACCACAAATCCCTGCCCCCTGCCTTTTGGCCCTCTTTTCTGTTTGGTTGGCGCTGAGTGGCGCCAGTAGCACCCGACATCGTCACGCTGGAGGCCAATAGCAAGACCTCAACCCGTAGACAATTTGTCTTTACTTCTGCTGGTTGCCCCGATGTTGCAGCTATTTTTTTCTGTTTTTCTGTTTTGCTGCTTTGCTGCTGTGCTGTTGTTTTTTTCCTTTTCTATTTTTTGTTGTCTTGTTGCAGCCTTTTTGTGCTTTTGCGAATTCGTATCGGCAACGAGATCGCCTTGCCCCCTTTGGGGGTCTCCTGCTGCGTCGATCTCCTCTCGTTTCCTTCGCGTGTGTGGACTGTTGCTTCTTTTCTTCAGGGAACATGGCCCAGAATTTAGGCCCGCTCCGACATTGGTCGGCGTAAAAATGCAATATAATTAGGGTTAGGATTCTAAATTGACAGTTAATCCAGTGACTGCCTGGCAGGGAAGGTGATTTTAAAGGAAGCTCACAAAGATAGGCTCACTGCAAAAGTGTTGAATGTAACGCCGTTTTTCTACGCTTTGTGCCGATTATCCACTCCCCCGACCACTGCAGCCACACACAGCGATCCCAGCAGCCACATCCACATCCACAGTCTCAGCTGCACCTGCACACACACACACACCTCACCTCACCTCACCTCAGTAGATGTTGGACATTCCCCCAATCCTCGAGTGCATCCATGGATCCATAGACAACTCCACCCCAAGGCGAGTGCTCGAGCTCGATATGGTGATGGATATGCGTGCAGCATAATCATGAAGTTGCTTTGATCTTCTGTCTGCGCTGTCTCGAAATAAATGAAATGACTCAGACAGGGGGCATAAATTTTGCACCGTCCAAAGATCGGCGGGGGGAAATTGGGGAGCTGCCGGAAATGTCATAAGCATAAATATAATTTTTGATAATTGTGTGTGTCGTGAAGCGTTAATGGAACTTTAATTGAAACTCCCCGAGCTGTAGAAGGGGTCTCGGGGATTGGGGGTCTTAAGCAAAGACCACAGGCAAATCTCTTTGAATGGCCAGCAATTCTGAGGCGATGCAGTGCGATTTGATGTCTTCATCGTTCCAACAACGGTCGTAATTACGACTTGATGGCCATTTTAAATGAAGGGTGGTCGGAAGGACGGGTGGAGGGTGGAGGGTGGAGGGTCGAGGGGCGTTCTGGTGTACTGGTGTACTGGCGTACTGGGGGCCAATTAGCCAAAGGAGATCGTTAGAGATCTGTCTGACGATCATTAGCCTTAACGATCTGTACAGCCAATTGCTTGCCAATTTATCTAGTTAATTATACGGATTTTCTATAGTTAGACCTCCTCGCCTATGCATGCATGTACTTCTTATTTTTTCTTCAGCTTTATAATTTTTATTTAGAGAGTTGTTACACCTCCCTTTGAATTGAATCCGCGTTGAGCAACTTTGTTGCCGCGTTTTTTTTCGGATTTTGTTTGGTTTGCGTCGTCGTCTAATTGAATTTGATAAAACGCCAGCGAATGCTTTTAATTGAACAAACATTCAGGCACTCACACAGTCGCCAATTATACGCAGATAACCCAATGGGGCCAGATAATGACCAGCTCTCCTTTTTTTCGGGTCTTTCGATTCGAGTACGAGAGCTCTGCACTTCCGCCAGCGGACTGCAAACACGTATCCGTATCTCTGTCCGGAACTGGGACAGTGTGCACTCGGGAAATGAAGCACATTGAAGACCATAAAGTGCACTTAAATTATAAACCATCTAGATTTATACGGAACTGTGGATGCTCCGTTTACACAATACGCCGGGCCCTCGATAAGACATTACTGACACACTTGTTGACATGCTATAAAAGAAATAAAATAATGAACTATAAACAACAATTTGGTATATATTATTCATAATATAGATCCACATCGAACATTCCCATACCTTTTGGTATATGTAGATTATATTAAAATTTGTGTGGTATGACCACACTGAAAATTAACCAACACCAAAATCTAGAGTTGTCACTTATTTCACTTCACTTGACATTTCGCTGTCTTGACAAGAAAAAATTTCAGTGTCCTGGCAAAAATTGAAACGGAGATATCAGAGCGCAAAGAACCGCTACAGAAAATGTCAGAGGAAGTCAGGAAACTGGAGATGGAGAGCTTGAAAGACAAAGGTTCTCCTGCAGATAAGCATTCGGATATGGAAATCGAATCGCCGAAGAAGAAAGTTGGTGAAAAAGAGGCTTACAAGTCAAATAATCCATTCCGTAAGCGTGCCAAGTCTTCGAGCTCATCGATTTCGCATTCCAGCGCTTCTGGTACGAGCCGCTTGTCCAGGACATCAAGATCCTCCAGTTCTGGGTCGGAGTCCCGCTTTGTGAGGGCTAGGTCTTCATCTAAACGACATGGAGCTCAGGACCAGAAATCAAAATTGAAAGTCGTGAGCCATAGTTCCGGTGGCCTTTGTGCTACTGACGTATCTTTTAGGTTTACGCCCTGCAAGTCAAAAAGCGGCAGCCGTGGCATGAGTGATCGCAAGGTGCGAGGAAAATTCAATTTGCGGTCCAATTCTGGGTCAGAATCTGGGTCCCATTCCGGAAACGATTCTAGATCCCATTCGAGTACCGGTTCGGGGTCCGATTCAGGATCCAATTCGGGATCAAATTCTCGAGGTAGCCACAAGAAAGAGACAGTTTCACGACTCCGAAGCGCTGTTCATCGCGTTAATGAAACTTGGCCATCGCCAAATTCGTTCAAGTCCATTAAAACTTATCGCGGAAAAAATGAATCAAGTAGTAGGAGCAGCAGCAGCTCTCCACATCAAAATGGCTACAAAACTGAGAAGAAGAAAGCAGATCTGGCGACCGGTAGTCCGGCACCCAAAAGTACGGTCAATCGCGAGGAGTCCGGTCAATGGAGGGTCGGAAGCAGCAGCCCCACTCCTAAGGCCTCGAAGAATGGCTCCCCGATCAGAAGCCGCAGTCCCCAACGCAATCCATGTAGGGATCGTTCCCCACCCAAAAGCCGAAGTCCCCCCATAATATGCCAGACCAGGAAACAGCCAAATGATGGGCTCGAAAATGAAGCTGATTCTTATCGCGAACGCCACAAAATCACCTTGTCCAGCTGGGATATGCGACCCATTCCCAAGCCCATAGAGAGTTTCCACCGCAGCGGCTTCGATGCGACCATATTACGGCGACTGGATCTTGAAGGCTATAAAGAGCCCACGCCCATCCAGGCGCAAACTTGGTCGGCTGCCCAGGCGGGTAGAAATTTAGTGATGATTTCCGGTAAGGGCACGGGTAAGACATTGGCCTACCTACTGCCTGGCATATTGAAGATACAGGAGAAGCGCGGATCATCGCGACACAAGAAGGGACCCATTGTCCTGATTTTGGTGGACGGACGCGAGGCTGCTACTTTTGTCCACAACGAGGTCTTAAGCTATGCGAATCCTCGCGAGCTTAGGACTCATTGCCTTTTGGGCAGTGGTCAATGGCAAAGCCATTCCGCATGCGATCTGCTGGTGACCTCCGCTGCTCGCCTTCTGGAAATGATAGATGATAAGAAACATGGGGTGGAACTGGATCGTTGCGCCTATTTGGTTCTAGACGACATTGACCTGATGATTGACGTGGGCTTGGAGGGCCAAATCTGCCGGCTGCTATGCCGCCTACGTCCACGTGCCCAATTGATCATCACCACGACCTCGTGGACACGTAATCTGGAGCGGATGGCCAACAAGTTTATGGGCCAATACACCTCGATCCGCGTGGGTCCAATCAACAATTCTAGTGAGGGATTGCAGAACATTCACCAGCGGGTGGATGTAATCGATGGACGTTGCAAAATGCATCGCCTTAAGGACGAGCTAGCTGCACTTTATGATTCGAGTGACAGTCCCGAGAAAGTGGTGATCTATGTGAAGTGTCAAAAGCTCGTGAACGAACTGGTGGACTTCATTCGGCTCTTTGTGCCCTGCGAGGGCATCCACGGCGGACGCAATGCCGTGGAAAAGGAAGTCATAATCCGTGATTTTCGCAATGGCGCCTACAATATCATAGTGGCCACCGATATGACTTGGCGCGGATTGGATGTGCCGGGCATTCGTTACGTAATAAACTACGATTTTCCCAGCACCATTGAAGGGTATGTCCAGCGCTTGGTCAGAACGGGATGCCTATCGCGTTCCCGCAACTGCGAGGCCATCAGTTTCTTTACAAAGGCAAACTGCAAACTCTCGATGGAAGTGGTCGACTTTCTCAAGAACAATAAACAAGAAATAGGACCGGATCTTCTCCAGATGGCTGAGGAAAGAGCTCGTCGCCCCCGCATTCGCAAACGCCATCGTCCACAACGCTACAATCGCAAGCGTTAGGGTTACTAGGATTACAGCGAACGCATTGGAAATCATTGGCAAACATTTTGATTGGCATAACTGCAAGCCTTCATAATAAATAATGGGTTAACCCTATAAATGTGTATTGATTACCTGGCCAGTGCATATCAAATGGGAAGTTTAAGAATTTGGGAGCGACTGCACAATGGGTAATGACGAATTGGAGGCATGGATGGCACGTCCGCAAAGAAAGTTGTCCATCCAGAGCTCAGAGCTCAGAGAAGACGTGACGTTATGCAAGTGAATTGCAGCAAAGAAATGCATGGCAGCCCATCAATATTCAAATACTGCTTCAGCCCATACCGAATCCCTCACAATATTTACCATGTGTAATTTACCATGAGTTTTACCAGCCAAGATAATACGATTAGTTAATATAAACTAAAGCAATTCACAGAGTTTCTATCTTCAGGATATTCAAATTTAATTAGCTTACCTATAATCATAGGGAATTTATTTTACAAATTGTTTTCTATCGATATAATGGTTCAAACAAAATCCACCTAGATCTCGATCCATATCGAATCATTTGGCTTCTGTCACCGATTTGCTGATTCGCCTACCGTCCAATTCTGACATATATGGGTCAATATTTTCTGTACAGTCCCCCCTTTGGCCCATTGATTGCCAGAGTTATTTAGTTGTTTGCGCCAAAAGCAAATGGAAATGAATCAAAATTCATTAGAGGTGAATTTATTGTGTTGGCCATTTGATTTTGGTCCCAGCCGAGATCAAATTTCTGGCCAATCGATCGGGTGGGCCGTTCGTTTGCCTGATTGGGGGGTGTGAAGGGGTTGTGTATGTATATCGCGGCTATATCTACAACAGATATCACAGGTGGCTCGGCTTGCAGCTGAGTTTTGTTCAGAAAAAAATATAGAAAAACAGCACAAGAAAAAAAGAGGGCGGTGGACCGTGTCTAATCCGATTTTGACTTTATTAACGGTGCAATTTGTACCGACAACTGCCAGACGGGAACCAACTGGCAGTCCGAAAACTCTTAACTCTTTTAACTTCGAACTCCCGGGGACTGCAAGCCAAAGACCCCTAGCGATTATTATTTATGGCCGCGAGTGTGAACCCCACTACTCTCCGCCCCGCCTCCCACAAATTGTATGCTAATCGCTTGGACCCCGAGACATTGGCAGCTGCCCCAAGTGGAACTGGACATGGGGACATGGAACCTGGGGACCTGGGGACCTGGAGTCGGAGCACTCGATTGTTTTCCTTCGGTTACTATGAGTGTGCCTGATTTATGGAGTGTCGCTGACTAATTTCAGATCTTTCGCGGGGTGTGAGTGCTGCAGTTTGCAGTTTACAATTTGCAGCTTGCTGTTGAGTTTTCCCAGTTGGAAATGACCATTCTAGGGATGGCAGAAAAGCGTGACCAGCACAAGCCACAAAATCACTCACGACCGTCACTGCACTATTTCCAAATTTAGAACCGCAAAGGTCAGCGCTAAGGGGGCGGGGCGGATTTGGTGGGAGGCAGTCCGAAAAAGGCAATCGATTCAGCAATTGATCGATTTCGCTGAGTCATCGCGGAAATTAAAGATTGCGCAAAAGTGTTGCTAGAAATGGGAGTCGCCATTAAACGGACATGCATTGAAACTATAGGCACGTTGTGAATGGCACTTTAATAACATCCTTCCAAGCGCATTTCAACCGATATAGAATAATGGTCCAAAGAAATGAAATATCCACTTAATGTTAGCTTTGCTACATTTACTACTAAAGTTATACTGGTAAAAAAGGCCTTTTAGTTATTGGCTACGTGCTCTTTGTGACAACTGTACTGCCTTTTTTGAAGTAATTTCTTAACATCTTTACTTGATCTGGCAACACTTTATGCGTTTTACCTGACCACAAAGAAGGCAAACCATCCGTTGCAACGATAACGATAAGCTGTCACGTAGGCCATCCACTTTTTCTTGTATCCGCCGGATCTGCACTTCAAAGGCAAGGCCGCCAAGCAGCTCACAACCACCCACTCCCCCACATCCACCCTTCCCCCCGCAAGGTGGTTCCCACGCACGGGATGCGTGAGTGATGGCAACTGTCAACTTCTGTCAGTGCCAAAAACAAGCGAAAAAAAAATTACGAAAAACCGAAACAAAACCGAAACAAAAGAAATACACTACTTTTGCCAGCACAAATATTGTGAATTGAAATGCCAAATATGAAAAGCAAACACAGTTCGTTGTCGTGTCAGCGACGTCAATGTGCCAAGACCAAATGCCTTAAAACTCCAATAGCCCAAACCCCAAGTCGCTGCGAGATCTTGCAGTCACGTTTGCTTAATAAAATTAATATTTACATATGTTCCGTATTTACACACACACAACAAATGCTGCTGCCCCCTCCGAAAGTGGACAAATAGCCAAATAGACCGGCATGGTCAGGCAATTTGCACGATCCGCGTGGCAGCGATTCCCCCGATCCCCCGGGCCACCGAGTCCCGGAGACTCCAATCCCCCATACCCATTTCTATCCCCAGCACGCACCATAATTCGTCCGTGATGATCTCTGTATACGTTAAAGGCGCTTTCGTGATCCGTGATCCGAGATCCGTGATCCATTGGAGAAAATGAGGCGGTCAATGCGGTAACCGGGTGACTCACTCATTGCCAAATGGCGATAAGGATCTCAGCCAAAACGGAAGCGCCACAATCGTGAGCCATTCGTGGAGAGATGGCCAGCACTCCATTTTCGGGTAAACCGACTACAATTTATAAAGTATTTATAAAGTACTATAAATGCGAGGTCCTGAACGAAGATAAGATACATATATCAAGGAATCATTACTAGACCAAACCAAGAACTTGAGTTTTCCAAAGAATTAACACTCCTGCAATTATGAAAAGAGTTACTTACGCAGCTATAACCAGAATTGAACACGCTTAAAACAATTAGGATTACTCAAGATAAGCTCGGTCTGAGTGCTGGGTCATTGAAATCATTGGCTAGTAAAAACACGTAATGCTTTTCTCTCTTTGGATTTTGGCAATTCGAAACAGGAAACACACCGAATCGGACAAATTGGACAAGCGCGACAAACAGATCTCGACATTTGTGGCTTGTTCTGAGTCAGAGTCGGTTTTCTGTTTCTATTTCTGTATCTTGGTATATCCATCTGTAAATCCATCGGTATCTGTATCTGTATCTGTCTCTGTACCTGTATCTTTAGTTATGTTTGCAACTAACCAGTGCCGTATTTTGTCAGTCTCGCTCTCACTTTGGGGGCATAGGCCCCCCGCTCGACTCGCACATAGTAGATCGGCTCTAATTTGGCCAGAGTCTAAATTCAAGTTTATAACTAAATATGCGCCAAGTAGGTGCAGATCATTGTGGGAGGGTCCGGAGGGGGGTTCTATAGCTGTAGCCATTGCTCTAGCTAACCTCGATTGCGTTTGCCACATTTTTAACAACTTCACCCACATTCAAAATTCGTTTTGGCTTTGGCCGACTACAACAACATAAACCAGTTCGGTTTGGTTCAGTTTTTTCTTTGTTTTTTCATTTTTTTTTGCTTTTAGGGGAGTTTTGGCATCGAATTCTGCCAGTTTTGGCTGTATCCAAATGCCCATCTACTTAGCTTTGTTGTTGCCCTCTTTCGTTTCGTTTCTCCCAATGTCTGTGAACCCTAGAATCATAAATACATATCTCATTTCATACAGAAGCATTAACTGACCTTATAAAGAATTCCCCTAATTTAACTTGGTCATTAGCAACCCGATCGTTTGGAGTCCATTTAAGGAAATCACTCTGCTAATTTTGAAGCTATTTAGCCAAACTTGGCATAATTTGGCTGACCAAAAAATATATATATTAAAAACGAAATAACAAATTATTTACGTTGTACATCATTTGCTTAGTTTTGAAATTTCACAAGTAATTAAAACCCATCAAAAGAGGGTCGTACATTTTTTTTGTAATAAAAAAAGGCAATGGGAAAGATATGTTTTTGTGCGTTATTCAGCAGCCTAAGAAAATATTTTTCCCGTGAAATCGGTGAAAACTAATACATGATTGTCTTAACATATGGCTGCAAAAAGGCAAACAATACTCCCAGTTATTGGGTTAATTGGATTGAAGCTACTCGGATTTCGAGAGCACACACTTGTTGCCATTATTGCAATTATTTCCATTCCCATTAGCAGTACCATTGGCTTCAAGTCAAGCGGAAGTCATAGCTTCTAATTTGGTTTTTTAGCTATGCTTTGGCTTTGGTAATCGTCATCGAAAATCGCCAATTCTGAGTGATCTCATCGATTCTGCAGAGCTCTATCGAAATTGCCAATCGTCAGGGTCGCTTCAAGTTTTTCCCACACACACACAGAGCAATAAACTTTGGGCCCGGGAAACAAAAAACAAAAAAAAGGCAGAAAAGAACGCCTTCTATGGGCATTATGGAAATACCGTTAGCAAGATCAAAAGACCTCCGAGCAGGTGAGCCACACAGTGTTCGAATCTCGGTGAGGAGATCGATAGATCGATCATGGTTAGCTGTTACCTGTTACCTGTGCTCCGTTGTGCAGAAATCATTTGCAAGCGAATCGATCCGATCGATCTATCATTGCCAAAGCCATATAAGCAATACGAATTGTGGGTAGGAAGTCATCGCCATGGGAGAACCTTGAACCCAAAGAGACAAAGCCGCCGATGGAACGGCGTTTGAAATATGATTTTGAATGGGTCGCGCGGACAGTTTTGTGATTTTGATTGAGCTCCCAGTTTGCGGTTTATTGTGTGCGCTTTTTTGTGTGGGGCCAATCGACGGCAATCAGCGACCAAGAAAAACAAAAAAAAACAAAATAAATAAATACAAATAAATACAAAATAATAATAACAACTGCCAAATAACAAATAACAGTTGAAACGGCGGCAAATCCGCTTAGCAAACTTCGCCCGCTCTCGAAAAACCCCATCTTTGGCACTCTGAAGGAATCACTCAGAAATGCGTCTGTGTAATTGCAAAAATCAACTATTGTTCGGTACAGTGAGCATCAAATTAATAACATTTACCCCCCGTAAATCCCAGTAATTATATAAAAATAAATAGTTAAAGTTATTATTATTTATTTCTGATCTTCGATTGATATAAATGAATGCAAAACATTCGGTTGATTTGATGATGAATTCATAAGAGTTAGTGCCATATTTGCTCCACTGTTTTTTGGCTGAATTTTTTTTGCGATGTCATTTTATTTATTATTTGACTGCTGCTGCTGTTTTTTTTTCGCTCGCTTTAATTTTGTTTTATTTAATTTGCCTTTTGCGGAAGCAAAAAATGCTTTTCGCACTGGCTGCGTTGCTCTGCCGTCGCTTACGTCGTCGAATGTTACGGTACAAATAATGCGACAGAGTTTATTTCTGTTGTTGCAGTTTATTTCTTTTTTTTCGTTTTTTGCAATAGCTTTAAGTAGTAGTCATGTAATGTTATTAACGCCATATTGACATACATTTTGTGCACAGGCAAAAGCGCAGCAAAAAATAGGGAAAAATCTAAGCTAATTACGTGACGTTACGTACCTGTAATAACGCCCTCTATTTTTTTGCACACACCATTTACAGTCGAACATCCATAACTCGAACGAACTTCCCTATTTCAAAGTCTCGTTAGGTGAAACCCATTTTCGAGGCGAAGTAAATGTGAAGGAGCAGAATGTCAATCGACTCAATTTTCGTTTAATAGCACATCTACATAGTTCGTCAATGGAAGTTCACTGTAGTTCTTTTCTGCCCGCTTGCTGTCTTCTTCTTCTCGTTCTTGCACCGCATCACCGTCACGTATTTGCAATATGAAGGGGGCGTGGCCAGATTGAGTGTCGTGGGCGGTAGGCGGTGGACTACAGGTCGACCCACTTTCCATCTCTTTCCCACTCAACGTTCCATTCCCAGGGAGAAAAGAAAACACCAGAGAAGAACTGGGGAACCATATGGATAAGAAGACTAAGTAGAACTAGAAGAAGAGTCATGTTAATTGCTTCGACACTTGACTCTGAAGAGGCGGATGCGGATGCGGCTGCGAATGTGTATGCCAGTGCACTGGGTTAGATGGATAAGAAAACAAAGTTTGATGCCAGTTACACCTTTAATTTGTATGGCTGTATTAAAGCCCACACACACCGAAGGATTTGGCAAAAGATAGCGGTTGTAGGCCCCCGGCCTTTAATGGAATAGAACGTGTTTCAACACTAGACGCAATGAAACCAAAATTCAGTGTTGCAAAACATATAATACTGCACTTGCTAATGATTGTATGTGCTGTTATAGGTATGGTGTTATAGGTATGGTGTTATAGGTATGGTGTTATAGGTATGGTGTTATAGGTATGGTGTTATAGGTATCTTCATTCAGTTTCAGTTTCCAATCGAATTAGTTAGCTCTGCTTGTACTATATAGCAGATAAATTAGTTGACGGCCGTTGATTTATTTTTTCCGGTGTCCCCAATATCGATTTATCAACAGCAAACTGCACTGGCACTTGCTCCAGCGACGGGGCAAATAGATGGAAAGAAAACCAACAACAAGTGGCACGTGCTCTCCGCTGATGTTGATGCAAGAAAGTTTTGATGTCATAATAACAATTTCCATTTCCACAACGGTCCACCCCCTCGTTTTAATGCCTCAGTCAACTGTCGAATTTCGAAAGTGAAAATGTGATGCTGCGATTATCAAATATGCATGTGCGTCCGTCTCTGTCGCGCGCCACTCTGCATGCATTATTCAGATTCAGATTCGGATTCAGATTCAGAAGAGGAAAAGGAAGAAGCCAAACAAACATTGGAGTGGTGCTGCAGCGACCACACTCACCTGCACATACATATAGATACATACATTCATATAGACACACACAGTAGTGACTAAGATATAAGGGTTTTAAGGTGCATCTTACGGATCTCCCAAGTCAAGCCACACAATATACATTTGGAATAATCAAAACTGCTTTAAAGTTAATAGTTTAATTTTTTCTAAAACAAAGTAAGGAATCAAACGACCAGACCATCTTATGATTGCCATAATGACGCGTTATTCGGAAACACTAGTCATCTGTCCCTGACTGTGCCTGTGTTAAAGCTTCGGTTCTAAGCTGGCGGCCAAAGTGAAACCAAGGCCCAAACAAACTTCGTGGGTAGTGCATCTGTTCAAGGAGAGCGAGAGAGAGAGGGAGAGAGGGGGAGATGGCGGTGAGGAAAGAGACGGGGCAAGAGAGATGCATTTAACGCCTCTGGGTTGCCGAAATAGGTTGTGGGCGTTGCAGCTTTACCTTGCAAGCGGCATGATAAGAGCCAAAAGAGGATGAAAAGAAGAAGCCAAAGAGGCAGATGCCTAAAAGAAAAGTCCGCATAGCAAACAGATCGACTTGGAAACGCTCTTTCCGCATAAGTTCAATATTCAAATATATATGAGTAGATTGCCAAATACTATTCAAATGTGTTTATCCAGTTCTCACCATCTTGATTATACAATATTTTAGGCGTAGAATATTTCCAATGATGATATGCTTATTAGCAATTATCTCAACTTGATCTCCCTTCTGGCTTTCCTTGAGATAGATACACGTATATAAAATAAATGTATGCAAACGTCAGCAGAGCGTCATCATCGTCACCGCATTTGTTGCATTTTCTGTTGCCCTTATTTGGGATAGGGTATTATGGTAAGGTGAAACAATAAACACCAAATAAAGCATTTGTCAGATATCCATAAAAGAAGAGAGGCGCTGGAAGAAGCAGAAATAATAATATTGTTTAAATATTAAATTATTACAACAAAGTGTGCATAAATGAATATGGAATGATGCAAATGGAAATGCATGACACGTCGAGACACGATTGCATTTGTTGTTTTCGCCCCGAATGGGATTGGAGCTTAATTTTTTTTAGGTGCTTTTTTTTTGTTTTTTCTTGTTTTGGCCCAGGGAACTCGGATTGCGGATGACATAACCCCAAACGTCAAATGTGCCAATGGCAAATTATAGCGCTGGATTACCAGGGGAATACTGTGTATGTGGGCGCATGAGATTCGACTTGTACATATGTATGTAGATATTCAAAACACACTCGGTTTCACTTGCTTAGGATGCAGTTCTACTCTCCAGGATGAAACAACAATCGCAGTGCAATGTGTCCTAAAATACCATTTACCCCAGAAGAGCACAAATAAATAGCATTGTCGCGACGTTGATCGTTCAACGCCCATTGCAGGTAGCAAATGTGGTGGCCAAGATCGCGGGAAATTCGCATGGGATGGAGGGGGTACAGCCTAAAAATGCCGTGCTAAATTCCTAAGGAGCTTAAAAATAAAACGTTTTCTAGTTTTGTATTTTTGACTTTCGCTCGGACGCACTCGGACGCAATTATACTTGTATGCCGCGCTCATTGAGAATTTCTGCATCATCTCATCATCTAATGCTAATGCCCCTGCTTCGCTTTTCTTTTTGCAGCACGCAAATTATGTGAGACAGGCGGCTGAGGATTATCTGGCACGGCGACAGGCCCGCAACAAATCGATGACCCGCTCGATGACCTCCGGCCTGGCGGGTCCCATTCTGGCCATGGGCAATGTCCACTATCTGCCGGCCGCCAAAAGCGGCACCTTCTTTGCCCGCGACAATGTGTCCAACTTTATAACCTGGTGCAGGTGCGTTCAATCTTTTCCCAATCTCAATTCCTAGTCATCCTAATCACAACATATTATCATATTCCTGCAGAAAAAGCCTTAAGATCATCGAGTGCCTGCTGTTCGAAACGGACGATCTGATCATGCGCAAAAACGAAAAGCACGTGATCCTCTGCCTTTTGGAGGTGGCACGTCGGGGAGCCAAGTTTGGTAGGTTTCTATGGCAATGCCACTGCTTATTAGCTTACATCCGATTATCTCCACTAGGTATGTTGGCTCCCATGCTGGTGCAAATGGAGCGACAAATCGATCGGGAGATCGCCGCGGACATCAAAGCCAATGGGGCTGGCTCCTCGGAAAATGGCACCCAAACGGAGGCGCTGGACACCGGAAATGGTGGGGCCACAACGACGACAATAACGACGACCACAGTGGAGACGGATCTGTATGATGACAGCGACGATTCGGAGACCGAGGATGATGGCGATCAGAATCCCGTGCTGATGTACGGACCTCAGCCCCAGATAATCACTAACGATCTGAAGAGCCTCGACGAAATGGTGAGTGAAGCCAATCGAGTTCCCAAACAATTTCAAAACGCTTGACTTAAGTTGGGTGACCCAACGAGAATATGAAAACCGCGACAGACCAGATTCTCGAAAATAAGTGCGACCAACTCGGCTTGTGATGCAAAATAAGCCAATCCGATCTTTCCGCTTTTGGTTTTCCATTTTCCCGCAGGGCTGTCCGTTCCCGTTCCTTTGGTGTCCCAGTCCCAGTCCCAGTCCCACTCCCAATGTCCACTTTTGGTTTTCTCTTTTTTATATTTTGGTTGTTTTTGTTTTCTATTTACTTATTTTCTGAGCGGGCTGAACTCACGATTTTGTTTGTTATTGTTTGGCTTGGGCTTGGGATGCTGTTGTTGCTAGTTTGCTCATGTCCATTTTTAGCCATGGCTAAGTTTCCAGTTACGAAAAAACAAAAAACAAAAAACCAAAAAAAACACGCCGAAAACAATACCAAAACAAATCAGAAGCAATTGAAACTGGAACTTTGGTTTTTTTTGTCTTTTTTCTACTACTCTTTTTGATGGGGTGTTATGAGGATTTCCCAGATTTGCCTGCTGCCATGTTGAGATGTCAAATTAATTTGACAAGACGATGTGCCAACAACAATTACAACAATTGCAATTGTCAATGTAATTGCAAGTGTGACGACGACAGCAGCAGCAAGCAACAAAGGATGCGGATTGGTCAGGCGCAATGGAAAATCATTGACGGCCAAACTAATGAAAGCCATGCAAACATTTCCTCACGCCGCCAGCAACATTGACAACAGCAACATGAGCAGCAGCAACATGAGCAACAGCAGCAGCAACTGCAGCAACAGCCGCAACAGCAGCAGCAACAATGTTCGACAGCTGGCGGATGGATGGTCGCTGGATGGATGGGACATGGACCTGGACATGGACATGGACCTCTCCTCCTCCATCCCACCGCCGCACCGTCCTCCTTCTCCAGCTAAAATCCACTCCGAGGCAGCCAATCAATTTGTGCAGCAGCAGCAGCAGCAGCAAAAGCAGCAGCCAAATCAGCAAATAGCCTCAACAACTTGTCGAAAATCAAATGATGTGCCACCAACAGCAGAAACGAAACAAAAAGAAATGAACAGCAAAGAAAAGAAAAAGCCACGATCATTTGTCGACTCCAAAAGTCTGGAGCTGTGGAGCTGTGGAGCTGCGGAGCTGTGGAGCTTTGGAGCTACTGGCACGTCCGCATCGCCGCTGTCTGTCTGTTCGGTCTCCAGTTGCTGTTGGTTAGTTGGTGGCATGCGATTTATGGTTAGGCCAGGATCACATCGCTATCCCCATCGCAATCCATGGCCAGCTAATCTCGTATGCGTCAGAGTCACGCCGATCCCCGATCTCTGGCAGATCGCTGGCGGATCGCTGGCTGGATTGCTTGGCCCACCTTCCACCACCCCACCAACTGAAAGATTTATTGTCATGTCGGTTCCAGCTTGGAGCCACCATGGAGTTGGAGCTGAAGCTTGAGTTGGAGTTGGAGTTGGTGTACCAGCTCCACCTAAGCACGCATCCCAGCCCAGAAGGAGTTGCAAAAGTTCAAAGGTGCCAATGCGTTGCTGCTCAGCTCCAAGCTGCCACAAACTACAGTAGCAATGGGTTCGCCTCACAGTCGGCTACACCGAGCTGCTGGCGAAGAAGTCAGGATGAAGATGGTGGCGGGGCTTGCAGCCAGGGCCAGAAACAAAATACACTGCAAGTCATGAGCAACTTTGAAATAGTTGCAGAATTTTACACCATAAGCTTGTTTATTGTCTTGTTTACTATGAAAACGGAGGAAGCAGCCAGAGCAATTAAATAACTAATGATGTATAGATGGTGGTTACCAATAGGGTTGACCTTTTGAAGTTCGAAAACCCAAGCACCCAGGTAAATTTTTGATTTCGCAAACCACACTCGAATTTCGGCCAGTGGAGAATCAGACCCAAAGACAGACCAGGCCAAGTCGTCATTTGTTTGTCTGCCGCCGCCCGCTGGGACGTACTGCTGATGGTGGAGCCAATGCTGACTGGCTCCCAATCTTGCCATGGCTCCCATGGATCCCATGGATCTCCCTAGGGCAAGGGAAGCCCCCTTTTGGAGTCCCTCGTAGCCCCCTGTTTCTCGCGACTCGCCGCCCCTGCGGATCATTTGTTTGTTGGACAATGGCAGCGCGTGAATTTATGCAGTGAAAAACTATTTGGTGACCCCGATGCTCGTCGCTCTGCTCCTTTTGCTGCTGCTTCTGCATCTCCGCCTCCACCTCCACCTTCACCTCCTCTTCCTGTTTTTGGGCAAACTGCAACTGCAGCAAACTGCCACCGCAGAAGTCAGGGAGTTAGGAAGTCGGGCAACTGATCGGGTCAGGCTTATGCAATGCTAAGGGTCAATCGAGGGGTGAGGCAGCCGCGGATTGGACACTTGGAGTCAAGAGTTTCCTTCGTCCGCTGATATCGGGGGAATGGGTACAGTGCCACTGAGAACATTTTTAGCTTGCTTATTGGTTGCCTTACATATTTAGTTCCCACTCATTGCACCTGACACGTAGTGATGCAGATAAATGCTGATTAACTCGATTAACTTCAATTACAAAACCTGTCATCATTAACAAAGGCATTAGAATAACCAGATGCGTAACTGCCCCACATTGGTTTTGCATAATTGAGGGCATACAAATCTAAAAATATAATTCACTTGCTTCTGTGAGTGAAGGCAGTAAGCAATGTCCCGCCAGAGATCCCGCCAGAGATCCCGCTAAAGATCCCGCTAAAGATCCCGCCAGAGATCCCGCCATATTGTTATTCTAATATCTTTGTATTTAGTTGGCAATGCAGATAGCTCTGTAATCAAATGCACTTGGAGCATTTATTTAATAAGTTGACTAGTCCTTAAATTATTTATATTCTTATGCCTTTCATTCCATTTACAGGTCAGAGATCTTGTGGAGAAGTGCACATGCCCCTCACAATTTCCCATGGTCAGAGTGTCGGAGGGCAAGTATCGTATTGGCGACACCAAAGTTCTCATCTTTGTGCGGGTAAGTGCACATATCAAGCCAAATTTGTCGTTCTAAGCTGAATCAATTGACCTTTTCTCTAAGATCCTTCGTTCCCACGTGATGGTGCGCGTCGGTGGCGGATGGGACACACTATCACACTATCTGGACAAGCACGATCCGTGCCGCTGCCGTGCCCAGCATCGCAGCTCCGTGGCCGCTCGCCTCATTCCCCGTCAGTCACCCAATCACAACCCGAGCAACGGCATCGAGCTCCACAAGGCGCAGGTGATATTCGAGAGGTGAGTACTTTCTAGTGTATTCTATGATATTCAAATCATCGACTTGTGGTAAAATCAACAATATCTGGGATATCTGTATTTTTAGGTCACCGCCAGCAGCTCGTCGCGTTTTCAACAGTCCCAATTGCAATGGAGGACCCGGAACAGTATCGGGAACAGGATCATCGTGTGGCGCAGCAGTTGTGGGCGTGGCCGCGCCTCCACCGCTCCAGAACGGTCACAGTCTGTCGCCGAATTCGGGAAAATACCGCAGTCGCAGTCCAACACCACAGCGCAAATTCCTCAACCAGCAGGCGAGCGGAGGAGGCAGTGCAGCCGCGACCGGATCCAGCCAGGCAGTCACAGTCACCACAGATGCCTCCAGCGGCCAACTGCTCGGATCGCCCAGCTTGGCCAGGCGCTCCATGTCACCAAGTCCACGCCGACTGATCGATAAGCGCAAGAAGCAGAACTCTTTGGATTCGTACAGCAGTGGTCCGAAATCACTGCCCGGTTACAGCTCCTTGGAGGAGGCAAGCGGTGTCGGCTCGACGGCAGGAGGTGTCGGCTCAGGGTCCGGAGGATCGGGAGTCGCGGGCGAACAGGGTGGCGCCAACAAATTCGAGAACATTAGCGACAATGGCAGTGAGATCAGTGACGAAGGCTACCGCAGTCTGGGAGTCATCCAATCGGGAGCCCAAAAACGAGAGTCCCTGCACAGTCAGGCTTCCATTGAGGACGCTGAAAGCAATGGTGAGTTCCTAAATTGAAGCCATTTCTTTAGGTTCAATAGGTGTCCCTATTTGATTTTTGAATTCTCATCCAACATCTTAATTTTTCTAGCGCGTCTGGATCAGACCTCTAGTGACTCGCAGATCTCGCCCTCTGATGAGCCGGCGGAGAAGGCAACCACGGACATTCTAGAAGAGGAGGACCTAAATGGCCAAGATGGAGAGGAGGATCCCGAGGACTACTCGGTGTGCGATGGCCCACAATCGTTGCCGGCGATTCTTAGCGGAGCGCATAAGCTAAACGACAAATTCGAGCAATCCGGTGTCTTTATAACCGACGACGAAATCACCGTGGACATAGCCAAGACCGAGGATCAGTCGGTGGCTATCGCACTGGCTAACCCAACACCTAATCTCAGCAAGATTCCGCGCTCTCCACTGGCGCAGCGTCGTCGCCGTAGCATCGATAACAGCACATGTGGCGGGGCCGGTGGAAGCCTGCAGGATTTGAGCAGCCGGTCTGGATTACCAGCTCCAGCATTTAGCCGAAAACAGCCGGTTTATCGATCCGTTCGGATTCGCAACTCTACCGGAGCCACTACCACTCCGGTGGCACCGCCCCGATCCCGTCAAGCCACCCAATTGCCTATGGTGCGTGATGTGACGAATACGTGGAGTGGACGAACCACGGGGGCACCAAAACGAAGGCCTCCCTGCACCGCCGATACCTTTGTGGCACCCACAAATGGAACAGGAGCAGCTGGTACCTTCGAGCGCAATGGCAAAGGGCGCTCATCGCAAATTCTCTACGACAGTAATGGGCGCCGTGTGAGGAGTGGAGCACCGGGATGCACCAGTTCGCTAACCACGTCGCCCGTGAAGAACCACGCCTCCTCGCCGCTGGCCCAGCAACTCCTGGAGGCGGCCAGCAGCGCAAAGAACGATGCCCAGATTCTGGAGAAGATGAAATCCCTACTATCACGCTATGCGGCTGGTAACCAGACAAAGGCAGCGGCTGGATCATCGGCAACAGCAGCGAATAAGATCAACAGCAATGGCAAGAAGACGCCGGTGTACGAGGACTTTACCACGGCCTGGGTGCACAGCAATGGTAATCTGGAGCGTTCGGAGAGCTGTTCTCCTCCGGCCAAGGCGCGATCCAAGCGTAGTTCCGCCGCCAGTTCCTGCGAAAGCAACAATTCAAATGCGGGTGGAGTTGGATCGGGAGCGGCAGCTGGATCAGCCAGCGTCGTATCGCCCAGGCGAGAGAGGGGCATGTCCAAGATTCCGGCGCCAGTGCGTCATCATACGGAGCTTTACTAGCAGCGCCGCCGGACGCCAAGCGTCCAGGTCCGTTTCCAAGCCAAGTCGAGGGTTTTCTGAAAAGCCTCCAAGTGAGCAGAGGAGCAAGCAGATCGAAAAGTGAAGCGAAGTCATTTGACTTGGGTATTGTGGGTAGTGCATAGTTAAGATAGGGTTAGAGCCAAGCTGGAATTGTCTGCTGCTACGGCGTGTGTGTGTGCGTGGAGAGCAGAGAAAAGGTAGGGAATCAAAAGTGAGAAGCCCGGAGAATCAGATGGTAGAATGGGGAGATGGGCATTACGAGATCAGCCATTGAACGATTTAAACCAAAAATACAAATGCCTAATCCTGATGAAATCCCGAAATCTGGTGAATTTTAATGGACACATTTGTCCCAACAGAACAAGGAATCGGAGATAACCCCACTCCACTCCAAACGAAATCCAGGGGAAAGCCATAGCTATAGGATACCCGAATCAGAATCAGGATCGTCAAATGTCGAGTAAGGAAAGCAAAACTGAAACTGCCTCAAGGACAGACAGGGCAGAATCCCTAGCAGCCAGAGACTCCTAAGCATATCCCCCTTATAAACATTTCTCTATCTGCGAGTTTTGTTCGTGAACAACTGTATTGAAGCCGTGTAATCGTCGTTATATAAGCTCTCAACTCTCTTTCTCTATAACCAACCACTCAATATACTACGTTAATACGCAATTTCCAGTTGCCTACAACTTTATACGCATTTCGAAATAAGTCAGTTACATTATATTTGCGACGTTGTAGGGTAACAGCATTTTCTTAACCAAAAATAAGCATTTGATTTGTATTTAGAGCTGGCGTATAAACGCGGATACCCCCTAATAAGCTTCGATCTGCGCTGATCTAGGGTAACGAATAAACCATATATACAATCCAAATTTTGAGACTCGAGTAAAAATTTTAAATCAATTTTTTGTCTAGGCCTAGAACAGGAATTTTAAATCTACACCAAAACCACAAGCATTACAATATTGAATATATCTATATAAAAGCATAAAAGAACACGGACACACACACACACACACACACACGATCGCAAACACATAGAGGAAGCATACCTAGTTTTCTAGAAATTTTTAAAGTAAAGCCAACAAAATTCTTCAGATTCGATTTGTAGTGAAGCAGAATACATTTATTTTTGTACGCTTGAACAGAGGAACCGCCAGAGATCGTGGGATCTGGAAAGATGAATAGCTTTTAGACAACTCGACTTTTACAGTATAGCTCTATATATATACTATATATACAAGGAAAGGAGAAGAGATCGGTTAGGGATCGGTTAGGCAAGCATAGCTAGGAAATGAAGCGACCGCCCCGCATTAAAAAACAACTCCAATAAGTGGGTGCTCCTTGGTCTGGGGACTCCAAATCCACGCTCTTCAAACCCACAAAACTGCACCACCAGGAAAATAACACATACAGACACCTCAAGGGATATAGTGCGTTTCGGGGGTGTAGTGCAGTTATATGGATGGTTAGTTCGAATTTAAATACACGATAAATTAATTCAATTATAATCGAAGCGATTCGAGTACAGCTCTAAAACGCACTGTATTCACCGAGCATTCAAAATATACAACAACAAAAAAACACAAAACAAGAAAAACGGTCACAAAAAAATAAAAATAACTGAGAAACCATAGCTTTTGAGAGGGCAGAAGAAAATCGTTATAGAGTTAATGGCACCGTTGAGCGAACGAACGAACCATAGCATAATTTTCAGAAACCTTAAATATCTGCAACTATTCAACATCTATTGTATGATTTAATTTTTTTTTTGTTCTTTAGATTTAGCAATGTTAACACATATAGTTTAGTACATCGTACCTATGCATATAAATATATATAGATTGTAAATTGTGTTTGTCCAATTGCCCACATGTTGTATAGTTCTTATGTACTCGTAAAATCGGCCTTAATGTTCAGTCTGTCGATATCATCGATATCAGTTTCATTTTGTATTTTTTTCTTTTTGCATATAATTTGTATTCGAATTTAAGTTGCGTTTTTCAGCTTTTTATTGTACACCAAATGATACCAATTTATGTATATGTCAACTTGAAGCGGCGATAAAGATCGCAACCAAAATAATTAATGATCAATTGTTTAACAATTAAATTGTTCCAACACAGACACACACTCTCACGTAGACAAAACACCTTACACACACACAGACACACACACACACACACCTGGCCCGTGGTGTAATTATAATTATAGAGAATTAAGCAATTGCCCGATTTGCATGCCAAAAGGTTGATAACAAATCGAGCAAAAAAAAAAGAATGATAGTTCACCACGGGTTCTCGAGCGCTGGCCATGATGAGCATCGCATCGCATATAATATATACATATAGATATATGTACTTGGATATATATCGCAGAACATATAAAGTGTATTTTAAATACAGCTAATGTGTAATTATCAATTCATTTCGAAAGCAAACTAACCACTACAAATGGAATAGATTAGACCGCAAGGGTGTACTCTAAGCAAAGAACAGCATAATTGATTTTAATCACAAGAATTTAATTAATAAAAGCCTATATACAAATATATAAAAACCAAACAAACCACCACTCGTTTTAACTTAATGCCCTAGCTGGGTGTTTATTTATCCACATATACAACGTGTGCTGGAATCGAAGCAGTGCTTAGGTATTTAGCAATACATATAGTCGGTTTCATGGTTTCCGTTTTCATCATATCTAGAGATCGCCAAATGAATCCAGTCCGCCGCCCGTCTCCTTGCCAAACTTCACCTTATCCTGACTCTCGGTCCAGGCCTTGGCGATCATCTGCTTTGTCTTGGAGTCACCATCGTTGTACATCTTCTTCATAATGTTGACCAGCGCCGATTCGGGATTGTCGCCATCCTTGGTCAGCTCGCTGTCCTGCTTCTGCTTCAGTCGCTTCTGGATGGCTGTGAGCACGTCCCAGTGTTCGTCCTCCTTCGCCTTCTTCAGATAGATGGCCACCATGTCGGTCTTGATCTTCCGGTAGCTCTTCTCCACATTGATACTGTGCAGCAGATTGTTCACGCTCAGTCCAAAGTCTTTGCCTTGAAGATCGCGCACATGAAGCTGCAACGAGTTTGGTGTGTAGGTGACTGTCACATTCTCCTCCGTGCAGCTCTGCACTCCGTTCAATGTGATAAAGAGCTTAACGAATTTGGCGCTCTGGTCCCAGCCGTAGTCGGTCAGCTCGTGCAGATATCTAGGGGGATCAAAATGGGGATTCATTAAATGATGAAGTTGAACTATATTTGGGTATGGAGTAATCCCGAAGAGCTTTCGGAATTCTAGTGTGCATTGCAGTTTGTGGACTGTCGTGGCTTTATATCACCCCTTTGCTCACCTCTTGGCGTCGTTGGGCCCGGTTGCCTTTCGATCCGCCGCAATTTTGGCCTTCATCTCCAGGTTGACTATCTCCCGTTCCGCCTCCGCTTTTGCGGTGGTCAGCACGCCTTTTACGCGGGCACCTTTCGCCTGCTGCAGGAAGGCCGCTAGCTCGGCCACATCGCTTTTCAGCTGTTTTGATGGACAGGCGTTGGGTTATTGCATTGACGGCATGTTTGTGAACCACTTGGGCTTACCTGTTCCAGTGACATTTTCCGTGTCGTTCCAATTCAACGGTTGATAGCTAAACTTCGTAGTTTCGCAGAAATTTCGAGCAATTCAATGACGCCGGCGCCCGCACTGAATGCACTAAAAAACGTGTAACGCCTGGCGCGCACGAAGCACATTGCGAAAAATACTCGTTCATGGTATTTGTAGTATGTTAAGTGCCCGGTTGGGCGCACTTTGTAGCAGAATTTTTTATTTAATTGTTAAATTTTAATCAACTTAAAAATGTTCGATATCATAAGGAGCAGTTAACTAGTTAATCAGTACCCATTATTACCAACAATTTCCTGATTTTTGTTGTGTTTAAAGTCAGACTTCCGGCGGGCGGAAAAGCTATTTTTGCGCCATACGAGTGTGACCAGTTGCAGTTGCAGTTGCAAGAAATTTGGTATTCTATTCTGGGCGGCTGGCGGGCACACTGCGACCCATAGTCTCGAAAAAACCATCGGATGGCATCGAACCGGCTGGAACTGAACCGTCGATAGTATCAGTAGCGCCATCGATGGTTTGATAGCACCTCAGCTCCCGCGGAACGCCGACCCGAGCGACCACACAATCCGGACAATTCGACCAGTGACCAGTTGTTAATGTGCTCCTTTCTGGATATCCACTTTCAGCCATCGGACGCTGCGCCACAGCCAGGGTTCCGGGATTAAAAGGCGGCGCAGCAGGTCACCGGATTGGGGAAAGGCTGGCATTCAAGTAAGTAGGCGTTGACAATTGAACTGTTCGGAAGTACTTCACTTTCTTTCCAATTTGGCCTGGCCGACAACAAAATTTTATAAAAATTCCTTATCCAAAATTTCTGTGCTCTTTTATAGGCTCTTTTTAGCCCCGCAATAAATCGTTCAAGCACTATCAACACGCCGATGCCCAGGAATAGTGTGCTTCTGAGGAACAATGGCCGATCGCGTTTTGTGCCAGGAATTGGCCACAACGGGCAATCACTATCGTCGCCCCAAGACGGGTGTGGCAAGCGCCAATGTGGTGTACGCCAATGGCGGAGGATCCTGGCGTGCGGCGCCAAGGCAAGCCCAACGGCAGCCGAGGCAAACCGTACAGCAATATGCCAACACTCCGGCAACTGGAACAGCGGGCAGGCATGTGGGCAGAGCACCCACTGCGATCGTGGAGGAGCAGCCTAGGGAATCCACAGGAGCTGAAGTCATGGGTCTGCCCGCCACGCCGCGTACAACCAAACAGGCGCGCAACAAAAGCGAAGGTAAGCAAGTTCAGGGATGATCCCCTTGGTTGGTAGTCTATACGGATGAATGTAATTGGCAATCCATTGCAGAAGCCATCAATGATCTCCTCACACGAATCCCGGACGTTGGCAAGCTGTTCGATGTGCACAGCCGGATTGGCAACGGGACCTTCAGCACTGTGCTGCTGGGCACACTGCGGCGGGAATCGCATCTGCCGGACAGTCTGCGTCGCAAGTTTGCCATCAAGCATCACATACCCACCAGTCATCCGGATAGGATAATGAAGGAGCTGCAGTGCATGACCAAAATGGGGTAGGTTCTTTGCGCTTCTGTTATCCTGTGCCTTATCCATATAGTATTGACCGACTTCGCAACGGTGGTAGAATCACCCACGCTCACTGATTCGTCCTCGTCTGCGTCAAACGCCAGTATACGACGTCAGCCGCCGGCAGCGGCTCCATCTACGTCATCGCAATTAATTTTGCCGCACGAACGAGCGAGATGGCATGATCGTAGCGTTCGTTTATTGCACTTTCACACGCCATTCACGTGCCCATTTACAGTTACATTGAAGCCCTCTCTGCACAGCGAGAAAAATCAACTTTTTTTTTTTTGCATTCACTTGCACATTTCACATCACTCTGAAATGCAAAAAATGTTCGATCTGAATACATTTCACATGTGTTTATGCAAATTCGCATCTGCCAGTGCACAGAGAGAAAAGAAAACAGATTGATATCGCTGTGATATGTTCGAAACCCTCCTGTGACGAATACATTTACCCATTTTCGCAACCGAAAATGCCATTATAACCGTAGAATATGTCATAATTTCTTTCCGTGTGGCAGCTGTAATGTTTGTTTACAGCCCGCGCACATCACACATGCGTGGTTTTCGGCACAGACTGTAGCATATCCTGCAATCCCAGCCGCCTCTTATCGATTGCTTTGCCGGCGAAGCGATTAGATTATCTATTTGGTGGCCAAATCGGCTCAATACCGCCTCGAACCGGAGGAGTTTGAGGTAGTATCGTCACCGGTCAGCTCATCGCCTGGCAGTATAATTCACCCAAAAATAAGAAGGAGATAGAGAGAGAGAGTGAGTGGGCAGTGGGTATTTTGTGTGGGCGACGTTGCGTGTTTGACATAAGCCGGCTGCCCGCCCCCTGATTACCCAGCGCCCACCCTCTTCTGCCCATCTCCTTTGCCCCTTGAAGACCCACTGCCTGCTGCGATTTTGTGTCTATTCAAGCAATTTGCGCAAATTCCGCAGACCCAATTGCGTCACAGCCGATGATAATTATGACTGGGCCATGCCGAGTGCTCCCTCACGTATTCACATATCCCGCTTGCCCTGTTCCGCACCCAAAGGCCCAGCGCCTAGTTCGCAAATCGCATCTGCCGTATCGCCCATTGCCATCGCTCACAATTGAGCTGCGCGGCTGGCTAGAAAAGTCGCTAGTCAAATCGATTGTTGGGTCTTGCGGCCATTCCGAAAACCAAAACTCCACCAGACATTGAAATAGTTGAAATATAAATAGCTACAAATAATAGTTTAAAAATAGTACGAATGTGTCAATACATAATTAATCGATTAAATTAATGTAACAGATATTCAGCTAAAAATAGCTAGACTCAGGTCAGCACTTGTTCTGCGTGACGTCGAAGACTCACTCTCTCTTTCTATCCCCCTCTCCCTCTCTCTAAAATGAAGTGGGCGTCTCTGCTGGTTTTGTAGGGCGTTGTTGTAGCTGACTTGGATTAATCCTGCTGTTTAGTTCCATCACTCCAATGCAGGATTAGCTTAATCATATCATATCAGCGTTGGCGGGAACCTGTTGGTCAGATCACTTGTTACAAAACTATAACTTTATATGTATAACTATACATATATCTAATCTATTGTTTTCCTGCTCTGTTTCGCTTTTCAGGGGAGTGGAGAACGTGGTGGGCATCCACTGTTGCCTGCGTTGCGACGCCTCCGCCGCCTTCGTGATGCCCTACATGGCGCATGACCGATTCCACGACTTCTACACGCGCATGGATGTGCCCGAGATTCGGCTGTATATGCGCAACCTCCTGGTGGCCCTGCGTCATGTCCACAAGTTCGATGTCATCCATCGCGACGTGAAGCCGAGCAACTTTCTCTACAATCGCCGCCGGCGAGAGTTTCTTCTGGTCGATTTCGGCCTGGCTCATCATGTGAATCTGCCGGCAGTGCGATCGTCCGGAGCTGCAACCTCTTTTGCCGCCGCCAACAACAACAATAATAGCAAACGGCCACGGGAGCGAGAAACAATGGAAGCAGTGCAGCAAAGTGCACCAGCGGATGCTGGCTTGGGTGGAGCTGTTAAACGTATGCGTTTACACGAGGAGTCCAGCAAGATGCCCCTGAAGCCGGTCAACGATATTGCGCCTAGCGAATTGCAGCAGCAATTAGTAGATGGGTCCAATCCCGTCCAGCCGCAGCAAGTGCAGCAGCAGCAACAACAACAGCCGCAACTGGCGCAGATGGATCAAACACCCTCAACGCCATCTGGAAGCAAGTACAATACGAATCGAAATGCCTCGACAGCGGTGGCTAATAATGGCAAGTGCTTTTGCTTTGCAAATCCCTCGGTTTGCCTCAATTGTCTGATGAAAAAGGAGGTGCACGCCTCCAGGGCAGGAACACCTGGCTATCGCCCGCCTGAGGTCTTAATGAAGTACCCAGATCAGACCACTGCTGTGGACGTTTGGGCGGCGGGTGTGATTTTTCTCTCGATCATGTCGTCGGTGTATCCGTTTTTCAAGGCACCCAACGATTTCATCGCTCTGGCCGAAATTGTAACCATTTTCGGAGATCAAGCTATTCGCAAAACGGCCTTGGCTCTGGATCGTATGATCACCCTGAGTCAGAGGTCCAGGCCACTGAATCTGAGGAAGTTGTGCCTGCGTTTTCGCCATCGTTCCGTTTTCAGTGATGCCAAGCTCCTCAAGAGCCACGAATCTGTAGACGGAAAATGCGAAGTATGCCGGAACTGTGATCAATACTTCTTCAACTGCCTGTGCGAGGACAGCGAATACTTGACGGAGTCACTGGACGCATATGAATTTTTTCCGCCCAGCGCCTATGACCTACTGCAGCGTCTACTCGAAATTAATCCCCATAATCGGATCACCGCCGAAGAGGCACTAAAGCATCCATTCTTTACGGCCGCTGAGGAGGCCGAACAGACGGAGCAGGATCAGCTGGCTAATGGAACACCACGCAAGATGCGTCGGCAAAGATATCAAAATCACAAAACGGTGGCTGCCTCTCCGGAGCAGCTCAAGCAGCAAGTGGCCCTTGATTTGCAGCAAGCGGCTTTTAACAAGCTGTGAAACTAGTCCACACAATCCATACATACATACACTTGTACATACATAGACTATACCCAGTTCGCATATCACGATTGTATATAAAACACATACCACCCCTGTTTTGAGCACATCTCATCTCCATTTGCACCCAGACCCTCCAGAAACTCGTGCCGTGCAGTGTACCATGTCCAAGTGCCCCCCGTTCGGCCACATTTACTTACCTCAAACTGCAGGGAGAAGACACCAAATGAAGCACACAAGCCACACAACATAAACATACATATATATATATATATTTAAAGAAACGTTTCAATCATGAACAATGGGCAAGGAATACCAAAAAGAAACGAGGAGAGATTGATTATGAAGTGGCTGAAAGGCTACAAAATATTGTACATTTACATAGGATCATGAATTCGACCCACCACCTCCCAGTGGCAAAAAATTCTGCACTATCCATCATGTTGTATAGTTCGAATAGTCTTATACATAGCTAACCTAAGTATACATAAATATATCTGAAAATTATGTGAACGAGGATATAAGAGCGAAAATATATTTATACCATGAAGATTGAATGAAGGCGTGCTATTCATTGGTCCACAAATGGAATTTTGGACAAATTATTCTTTATTTCCTTAAACAAATGCATCGGGATTTTAGCACTGAGTCAATGCATTGCAAAAATCATAATTTTTGTACCCAAAGGAATTTTTTATATATTTAAGTTACAAAAAATAGGACTGATAGATTATAGTGTCTTGTGTAGAACACTTACCCCATTCAAAATTCGAGCATCTACAATACTAGATATGCACAACGTTTGCCAGCGTTAAACTGCTGGCTTGACGAATTGATTATGCTCTGCCACCTTTGCTCGCATCAAATTAAAATTAATTTTGAATCGATTTACGTTCTGACAAAAATGTATTTAAAGAAAGCAATTGGGAGAAAACAGAGTTTTGGGGATGAAGAAAGTCCAGTCCCCGAGGGCCTTAAGAACTAAGCTAGATCAAAGAATTAAAGCATCCTTTCGGCTAAGTCTCCATTTTCTCGGCTTTCTTGCGCCTCGTTTTGGACGTGGTGGGCGAATCAATGGCGTCTGTATCCTCGGGCACCTCCTCCACTCGGATCCTTTTGCCGGCGACCACGTCCTCCTTCGATGGCTGCGTTTCCATCGACCGCTTCTTCGGCTTCACGAAGCTGCCACGTCCCGCGGCGCGTTCCGCCTCCTCGATGCTGTAGGGCTCGATCTCCAGTGCCTTCAGTCGCCTCTTGTGCACCTTGGTGCGGAAATGTGCCTGCATGGCGGTGTCATCAATGAAGTACTTGGCACAGTGGACGCAGTAGAACTGCGCGAATCCCGGCTTGTCGAGGTCCACATTCTGATTGATCAGTTCGCCGCTCCGGGTGCGCAGGTCATCGTCGATTTGGTCGAGATCACGACGGCGATTCCGCACACGCCACCTCCTCTGAAGATGGGTATCGCCATAATGCATCTTCTTGCGCTTTGTTACCATTCCCATTTTGCAGGCTTTTTATATATTTACAACTTCTACGGAAAATATGAACGTTTGTTTTGGCACGTGTTTTGGTTGCCAGTGGGGTTTTAACTTCTGCTGGTTCCGTAGGGGTTTCCTACAACCTGTAATGCATTTAAACCTTAAATTGATTTACTATTACATTAATTTGTTGCTTAACCTTACCCTTTTCCGGCCAATAAACGAAGTTTTAAAGCTAACAAGTTAATTTAATGCGCACAAAGAATGTTGGAGACGATCCCTGAACGATAGGTTTTTATCGATATGTGGGAAATTCGAGGGGTGTGCACACTGACCCACAGCTGTTTGTATATATTCTAAATAAATACTAATTATTTAAACAAAAAGTTTGTTAATTAGCAATTTGTTGCGACAATAAAATGTATAATTTACTCATTATTAAGCTGAACTACATCTACTTTGAACTTTACGAGACAATTTTTTTTTGGCATTATTTAGTGCCTTTTCGTAGGCATCGCAATGTTAAATAAAAAAAACATATGTTTGCAATTTATTCATCAACAATCGTGCGAACAAGTTGTCTGCGGGCGGACGGTGCGCATTTTGTTTTATTATTATTTATTTCCTTTCCGCAGGAAGTAAAGTAAGCCCCAAACATATATTCATATAAACAGATAGTTCGCTTCGACTTGGGTTGATAAAGTGCTAGTGATACTAGAAATCGAGTATGCGGACTAGACGCACACCCGCAAAACAAACGCACACACATGTGCGATTGGATAACACTGTGAAATAGATCGGGTTTTACACTTGCAAAAACGATTAAAGCCATTATTATTTTTGCATCAGATGCTGCAGCCGGTTCACTATTGCTATCTCGCTTGCTCTCAAAGCTCAGCATTTGCAGTTACTGCGTGTGTGTGTTGTGTGTGTGCTTGTGATTTAGTGCAAAAAGCAACAACGAAGAAAAAAAAAAACACAAACTGTGATTGTTGCTAAAAGATGATGGAGCGGGGTGGGTGGTTTCAGAGGGAGCGGGACAGCAGCTGCTGCATGCATTGTAAAAAATATGTATGATTGTTGTCTTATTGGCATTTTTCGTTGGCTCTGTTTTTAGCTAGACATTCCGTTGAGTTCGTCACTTAAACCGGCGTTACAACATACATACATTGTTACAACTCGAGCAAATTGCCCGCCAATTGCAGTAAGTACAACAACAAGAACACGTACGAAGTGCGTGAAATAGTATAAATTAAACTAAAAACAAAGCTTAGGAATCTTTATCGATAATCAGCGATTGCGATTATCAGTGCCAATCGCTTATCAGTCAATTATACCGTTACAAGCACAATTAACCGCCTGTGTTTGTGGTTCGGGTGATATGGGTTCAAATTCAGATTCAGATCATCAAACTCTCTCTCTCTCTCTCTCTCTCTCTGACTCTCTTTTTTACACATGTGATATAATAGCTTCCCCGCCCCTCAATAGAAAAAACTCACGCACTGAACGAAAATAATCACTCTCGCTCTCCCATTTGTTGTTGCTATACACGTCGGTCGTGATTTGACATTTCGCAAGTGCTGCGAGTGTGTTTGCTAGTGTGTCGTCTGCACGAGGAAGAGAAAAGGATGGGGCTCACTTTGGGAAGATCAGCTGCTGAGATGAAGCAACGGTTAATGCCATTTGTCCATGCAATTACACAGAAAAAAAGGCTTGCGTTGCTTGATGCATTCGATTTCTCTTGATATTTGAAACTCAATTAAATTCAAATTTTCTTTCGATCAACAAGACTGTTCACTATAAGAATAATGAATAGGACACGCTGAATCACATGCATTACGGCCCTTTGAAAACTTTTATCAAAATTTATGAAATATTTCGCTGCGTCATTTAGCATTTAGCATTATACAAATATTTAGGCATAGGAATTTTTGTTGGATGTGACGTAAACATTGTTACTAGATAAATTCAAAACTGAAAATGAACACCATATTTGGTATTACATATATTTAATAACAATATTAAAGATTCATTATTTGTTTCATGAACAGGTAAATACCACTTTTCTCTCGGTGTACAAAGACGAAGTTGCTAATGCAGGCGACTAAAAGCAAGAGTGACAGAGATGATTAGGTCCAACCGGTTTTGTCTGTGCGTTACTTTTCTGGTCTTTAATTATCAGATGGGCTGAAAAAGGGGCTTCAATTGCCACCCACAGAACCACCCAAACGATTTCCTATCGGCGATTCCATAGAAACCAAACAGACCCCACAATGTTATCTAAAAAACTACGCAAATTTACGCTGAACTTTAACTTTTCGATATTTCTGCACCACAATGCGCCCATTGGCATTTTTCCCCCACCGCCACTGTTCAAATCGAAATACGATTGCTGCATCCAAGAGTATCAATAATGTAGTGTATGTTCTCTTTTCATTGGTTATTTTGAAAGTTTTTGGTTTCCGTACCGATCTTTGTCTTGAAAAAACAAATTACTACCGTAACAGAGCTAATTTTCCTTTCGTTTTGGGCCAAAACCGAAAGTAGTGGCAAGCCAGCCAACCAGTTAACCAGTTGTGCCAGTCCAGTTCAGTTGGAAACTATTGAGTCCATCGCTTGAAGGCTAAAGCAGTCTGTTCCTCAACAGATCTCCGCATTAAGAGGTTTTAAATGTGCACTTGTCTATCTATTTTGTATAGAAATTTCGCCGCTCAGAACATGAGGAATTCCAGCGAAACGGGTTTTCCAACACGATTTGATTTCTAAAGCTCGGTTGTGGTCTTGTTTTTTTTTATGAGATGTCGGATGAGATTAATTACATTGAAATTAATTACATTAACTCTTCAATGGAATTTGCGAATGTGTTTATTTCTTTGTGTTCATTTCTGCAGCGTCAGACAAATATATAATATTAATATTAATATTATGGCGACTTTTTTAACTGAGTGACACTTGGCTATCTACTGTAATCAAAGGGAATCAGCCAACAATTTGAAGAGAATCATCATCAGTTGGGATCATTTCAAGGTTTTCCCTATCCCTGACCTCGTATCCGTGAGCTTTCTGCCACCCAACCGCACATCCTGTCATATCAGCGAGCTTCTTGGCCTGCATGCCACAAGTGGCTCGATTTTCGAGCATGTTTCACTGATTACTTCGCAATGTGGTGTCGTAGCCCCTTATCACTGAATTGTGATATTAACTGAACGCGGTGAACCACAGAGACAAACAAAAGTGAAATAAATGAAGTTTTCAGCACAGTTTAATAATGGTTCGCAGTGTTCCCATTTGCAGAAGTGGAACAGCAGTAGGAGGAGTCGTAAGTGACCCATTATAATCCAGGTTAATTCAAGGTCTGAAGTGGGGCCATTTTTTGTTTTGGGGGGGCTTGAGTGAGTGGGCAACGCAGTTTCCTCCGCCTTATCCGGTGGGTGGAGCACGCGTAGCTATGTCTGGCATTTTCATTTCACATTCCCCAGTGCCCATTTCGCATTCGTCATTGAACATTCCCTTCGAAGATGTGAAAGGGAAATGACGGAGGTTGGATTGTTCAGAGATTGACTTTCTAATTGAGATATATCGGTTTGAATGCGATTTTGGGGCTTGGCGCAATTGACCCGAAACACACGTGAAAAGACACCTTTAAATATAGCTCCAAGTATTTGTATCTATACTTAGTCAATATCGTTTATATGATTTTATATATAGTTAATATTTTTATGCTATAGTCCGAACTAGTATTCATTTATCATTGTAAGATTGCTTTAATCTTTAAATCTTTCGTGGAAAATTTATGTAAAAAAAAGCTCTATTATCTTGACCGTCATTGTTGCCATTCATATCATTTATATGTACATTGTTTATTGTTCACATACGAGTGGCAACGATTTAATGCGACTTTCACCCCACTCTTCTTTGCAGTCATTAATCGCAGATCCACATTAAGAAGTCGGTTAACCAGCAGCTATGGACCACACCCATCACAGTGCGCCCGATGTTGGTGGGTTTCCCATTCGGATTTGGATTTCAACACAACCTTGATAATCTAATCCCTGATAATTCTGCATAATCCACAGATCACTCCATGCATCACGATCATGCGGGCATGCACCACGACCACAGCGGCATGGCTGCTGCGACAGCGTCTCCCTTGGATCCTGCCTCGATGCTCGACCTCATCCCCCAAACCAGCGATTTGCAGGCGAGTCACACGGGTCATGTCGGTCACGGAGCTCACAATCATGGCGGTGGCTCTGGAACGGGAATGGAGCACATGATGCCCATGGCGGTAAGCGAGCGGGATTTGTAGGTGTACGAAAATAAAAACCAAAACTACAACGCAATGTTCCATTGGTTACCACAGTTCCACTTTGGCCACAACGAGACGATCCTGTTCTCCTGGTGGCACATCGAAACGGTGGCCGGTTTGGTGGGCTCCATGATCGTCATCTTCTTGCTGGCGCTGATGTACGAGGGACTTAAGTACTATCGCGAGTATCTGTTCTGGAAGACATACAATCTGCTGGAGTACCGACCCGTGACGGGGCCACAAAGAAATCCGGAGGCACCGCGCATACCATCACCGGCAGCGGCAGCTCCCTCGCCCGTGCAGTGAGTTACGGATTGTTGTTTTGTATCCTCCATTGCCCAGTGTGGACACTGGAGGAGACCTCCTGCTATCCCTTCCGCAAAGCGACTTTGTTTAAGCATGCTTTTTGCCCTCACCCATACTGTAGCTTAGTAGCTTTGTATCTATTGTATACTTTACTTGTTGTATATATTAATCTTAATGCTTTCTTCTTTCTTCTCGTTTCGTTTTCGTTATGCTGTTACCCGTTAAATCGTATAAATCGTTACCGCTACCGCTACCGCAACCTCATATTATCATATTCTGATCCATACCATCAATATCAATATCTATATCTGCATCATCATCAATGCGCGTCGCTCTCCATTTGTAAATTGATCCATATCAAAAACTAAAAAATCAACAAACGAAACAATTCAAACCAAATTCATATCGATTCGCTCTGCTGTCTCGCCTCGTTAATTTCGTATAATTGGCTATTGTGATTCACGCGACCGTAATTGAAACTATACTTATATATATATATATATATATATTGTAACTCAATCTGATTCTGTATCTGCATCTGCATCCGCGAATCGCATCCGCAATCGTGTGATGTTCCTCCCGGCACGCTTCGATCGATCCTTTCTTAGATACGTGGGCGAAGTTGTGCACAAGCAACCGTAAGTATCGCTCCATTTCCCACACCATTTAACCTGCCCACCTGCCCAATGAATATATATATATCCCCGTCTCTGTATAATTTTGATGCCTCACTTAATCTTGCATTAGTTAAATCCATATTGTTGGCTATCCGATATGTCCGATATACCCGTGCGCCAGTTAATGGGAAAAATAATTGGAAACGGCTGCGCTCGGCGGCGACAATTTCGTATCGGCTTACAAATTGGCCCGTAATTTGTACAGATATCTGGCTGGACCACAAGATATAGTATTACACATGGTTACGCACCTGTACACAGTACACAGTAGTTCAAGTTGGCAATTTATCTAGAGTCTAACCCTAATCATCAATGGTAGTTTAATCTAACAATGAAACTGTAGAGCAAGAGAACCCCAATCCACAGCCCCCCAAGGATCAGCGATATATATATACATAGATATGTTATGTTCCTTACCAATATGTTCGGTTCTGTTCTGTTCTGATTTTTGTGACGTTCAATTATGTATCTTCTGTTGTCCTACTAAATTTATAAGGGCTAAATGCTGGTATATTATAACTAAATGTAACTCTTTTCGATATAAACAGACCTTCGATGCTGTCGGTTAACCACCTGCTCCAGACGTTGCTGCACGTGCTCCAGGTGACCTTGTCCTTCCTGCTCATGCTGATCTTCATGACGTACAACGTGTGGCTCTGCCTGATGGTCGTCCTGGGCGCCGCCGTTGGCTACTTCCTCTTCTGCTGGAAGAAATCGGTAATCGTGGACGTCACCGAGCACTGTCACTAACAGAGGACGACCCACGGTAGCCTCAGCCGCCGTTGTCTTACAGATATGGAGATGGAGACGGGGGCGGAGGCGTTGGAGGAGGAGGCGCAGATGTCCATCTGAATGAAAGGCAGATGCATTGGTGCTAAGCTGGAATCCCAGGAAGCTCTTATCCCCACACTTCAACCCACTTCAACACACCCTGCAGCAATTGCTATTCTCTAGGTATTAGCCTATAAACTAAATCCCATGCTGGCAGTAAAAGATGCAACCGCTGCATCGTTTACAATCTTTATATACCGACATCAAGATTAACTATATGAACGGTCAATGCTGTCCGTAAAGAAAGTGTAATGCATACAAGAGAACAAAGTGAGCGACTGGCTAGCGAATTGTATAAAGTTAAGCAATGCATATATTACTTTTTTTCCGTTGGTACTCAATCTATGTTCCCAGGATTCCCCCTAAAAGCAAATATATTTTTTTTTATCATTACTAATATACACCATTTTGTATCCCTATTATACGATTATGATTATTATTGTTTGGTAATAAACTCCATTCTTTTATACATATGTATATATATTTATATATATATTACTTTGGATTGTTAGCCCCACAAAAAGACAAGTTTGTTAAATTTGGCTTCCTTGTGAAATGTTGTAAGACTTGAATGTGTGCTTCAACAGTGCGTTTCACAAGTGTAATTTGGTTATGGAAACGATTGTAGATCCCGATCAGCACCAGTTGAGATGGTTGGCATTGATTTATGCTTGCATTTACGTGTTGTTCAGATATTACTGATATTACTTTAGACTACAAAACTTTTACTGTATTATCCAATTAACTTTTACGTGCTCCCACTGCTGATTGTAAATTGTTGTCTGTTTTGTTAATTGACTGTCCGCAAAAAACAGGCGTTCAAGTCGCACAATTGGCTGTTGTGAATTGCTTTCCTAAATGAATGGCCATCCGAACTACATACTGCCTTACTGTCCCGAAACGCACTGTAACCAGCATATGTTCACCTACTCCATTACAGTGCGAAAATAGATTTTGTAGATATTAAACTTAATGCAAATACATACAGTACAGCGACAACAAACTTATAAATACTATAAATATTAAATCGATATTAAATGTACCTATACATTAATAAATATACAAGCAGAATATTGTTAAAACTGAAACGAAACGGACTTTGAATTGGGCAGTTATAACATACAATTTTGTATTCAATCATGAGGAATCATGATCAACCCACTAAAATTTGTTTGTTTTTAACATTTTTCGATTCCTTCAGGTCATCAGTCAAGATTTCAGCTGGAATCTTGTCATTATCTTTTGCAATTCCATTATCCATTTAATCAGCATGTTCACGATCTGTTAATTGGGTTACTAAAGCGCTGAACTCCCCCGATTCTTCGACTAAAAGCTTGATTAATAATTCTCCATCCACCGGAAGCTGCTTTCTCAACAACTCCTTGGTCTCAAAACTGCAACCTCTTCAATTAAACGATTTTCAGTCCATTTCTATCCATTTGCATTAGGGGTTTCTTAGGTTCTGTGAGATTGATTGGGTAGATATGGGGCATTTATGGCGCATCATGGATCGAGGAATACGGATCTCAAACATTGTTACTATAATATTCAATTAACTTTAACGTTGTCTTTTTTTTTTTTTTTGATTTATCTCCTTGTAATTTGCTTTCCCAAATGGATGACCACCCAAATTACATACTGCCCTAATGTCCCGAAACACTCTGTAGTGTTCACCTACTCCATTAAAGTGCCTAAATATATGGATATTAAACTTATTGCAAGTACATAGAGTGAAACAACCACAAATTTAATAATCAGACTGGAAATACAAATCCAAATCCGAATCCGTATGCAAATCCGAATCCTCCTCTGGGATTCTTTAAAATGCACCGTAATCCTTCCAGTTCATAGTGGCGAATTTTATACATATACTTTTAAAATAAAAAGAACAATCAATATTGCTGGGGCAAATGGTGTCGTCAAATAAATCCTTAAGTATTCCTCACAATATAAGAACATCATTTGAGTATGCAAATTTATTAAAATGCATTACAATTTGAAAACCAGAAAAAAAAACAGTGACGATGTATTCATCTTTTGTGACGAAGGATGATGATGTGGCATTTTCGTTTGTATATTAGACACTTTCCGACGGTTCGCTTCGTCACTAAATTGATCATAGTTGCAAAGAAAACAACGGATTATAGTTCGTTTTCAGGTTTTAGTTTGATCTTTATTAGAAAATTATTGCGAGTCTCTCAATAGAATGTGGTTATCCTTACTCATATCGTAATTCATAATTAAAAACATCTTTACATGACTAAAGGCGATCGATCGAGTTTTATTGATTGGTTACACTATATACTTAAATCTGCATTCGTAAATTTCCCTTAACTTTGCTTGCCCGATGGGAACTCAATTCAATTGATTATTTTTTGCTGGTGATTCTGGTAACCAATAAGAATGTAGAGGTTATGGTGGGTGATTAGTGGGTGCGATCGGGGATGCTGGGAAACAGGAAGAAGGTGTAATCCTTCCAGGAATGGGGGAAACAAAAGGAGCTCATCCTAACTCATCATCGAGCTCATCATCGAACTAAGGCGGCCATACATTCATGTATATATGTACGGTTCAAATTGCTCCATAGTATTTTGCTTTAACTGACAACCCGGCGTTTTCAATGCAATATTAATTTTGATCCAAGGATGGGTGAAGTAATGGGTAGAGTTATAGATATATGTATATAATATAATTATAAGTAGATGAGAGAAATTGAAATTCACCTCGTTTTGTATTACGCCTAATACAGTTCTACACGAGTGTCTCTCTCTCTTTCTCTCTCTATCTCAGCGTTCTCATGCACTCTTCTCTCTCTTTCTCTGATCACTGATCACTGATCTTTCGTTGATGATCGTTGATTTCCGGATAGCGTATTTTGGAGCAAGGAGTGCGGATCTCGATTCCCGGATTTCGCCTTGTCTGTCGTGAAGAAACATTTATGTGTGGAGGTGTGGCATAGAAGTTACCTGGTTGGTTCTTCTTTCTTTATGGACATACATTCATATATCCTCCTCTCTCTCACTCTCTCTCTCTCTATATATATTAATTTTTACACCTTGGGGTTCCTTTCCTCGGATGGCGGCTTCTGGAATACGTTTGCAGAAATGAATGTGTGAGTTAAGTGAGCCAGACCAAAAGTTTGGGGCGGTTTAAAGTGGATAGCGCATCTTAGACTAATTTCGAGCTGATCGTGTATATAGATACGGATTCAGAGTGTATCTGAATGTGTGGGGTTTATTTATATATTAAACATTATTATTAAAATTTTTGTATTGGTTGTGTGGTACGAACAGTACAAAACATACAGCTACGGGGAATTCGATTGGCGATGGACGGCTGATCGCGTCACAAATCACAAAATTCGACTTAATCAATATCAATTAAAGAATATCATAATTTTAGGAGTCGGGGGTCAGTCGCAATTTACCTGTTGGTGAAGAGGAGGGGGGAACATGAACATACATACATACATGTGTATGGGTTTGGGAACTCGAACTCTCTCGCCCTCTCTGTCTTTGCTCTGTTTGCTGTCTCCCTCTGATCACTGCCTATGCTTGTGCTTCTTCACTTGTTTTGTATTGTATTTGATTGATTATAATTTAATTCGATTTAGCAATTCAATTACCTCGTGATTTTTCGTGGGTGTCTTGGAATCTTGACTTGAAGAGTTCGCTGGGGTTAGTTTTTTTTTTGTTTTTTTTTCTTATCTTAAAAAGTGGTATAGTGCAGGGGGAGGATGGGTGGGGCAGAAAACCACAACAATGAGTTAGGGATATACAAAAAAAACTGGAATATGTAGAGTTTTGACGGAAAACCGACGATCCTTTTCCAAGGTTAGAGCTCTTCATATTCTCTTTATTTATTCATTAGCATAAATCATTAAGACAATTCGAATAAGCAAACGAAATTAAAATCCAGAAGAATCATTCTTGGAAAGGGCTAATCGGTTGGGTTGGTTTTCAACGATTGATCAAATGTACCTGCAATCTCTCTCTCTTTCTCCCTCCCTCAATCCGTCTCTTTCCGGCAAACCCAGTGGCCAAACCAAGCCAAAATCACATGCAGTACGAATCTCTGACAAAGTCGCTATACAGATATTGCTATTTATACATACATTTATCGTTTGTGGGGTTTATGGTGTTCATGATGTGTGTTCTTGTCGTTTTTTTTTTTTTTTTTTTTTTGGGGGGGGGGGGGGGGCGGTTGTGCAGGGGGGGAGGGGGTAATGCAGGGAACGTATGGAATGCGTGGATCTGTATCTGTTGGGTTAGTTAAGCGCATAGAGATAACAGTAAGACTTGGTAAATACCTGTTTCAGTCAATGTCCCAGTCACAATTGCAAGGAAAACGTCCATAGAACGCTCCGTATCGCCCTAATCCTCAGCCAATCTCTTGGTCATTATATAATATATTTATATATATAGAAGTCTGGTTGCCCAGCACATGGCAAACATCTTGCTTTTATATTCCATTGTTAACTACTTTTAGGACTGATCCATGAACACGAATGAACAACTCCCTCAATATTTGTTTTATAGATACCCATTGCGTATTTTAATGTGCTGTTGAAAGTAAAAAACTTTGAAAACGATCCTGCACAAAATTGATATAGTTGCGTCTTAATACTGCAGAGTTTGAGTAAAAGTGGCGTTGGTGCTTTAAAAACCAGTAGAGTTAACCATAATTGAAATAAAAAGACGCAATCCCGTAGGTCCGTCGGTCCGTCAGTACGTTTCGAAGAACTGAAGCATCAGGAAATCCTTACTCGGATCTCAACCCAACTGGGTACACACATTGGGGGGAGTACACAGATGTGTGCACACAGATACTATAGATCGATATAGAGTAATGGTACGGAAACGAATGTGGAGGAGCACAATGGCGCCATTGGAGTGTTACTTTTTACGGGTTTATCAAGTGTTGGACTCACCTCAGCGCACACGTTACTGCCAGCTCAGATACTGTTTCTTTCTACACTGTTTTTTGATACATATTATTTTTTTTGAAAATTGTGTTAATGATTTTGGTTTGTTTTTTTTTTTATTGGGATACCTCGATGCTGCCGCCCGTGGCCACGGCAGCTGGTGCTTACGGATTGCAGATTTCGGATTTTCGAACACATGAGACGAAGACGAAGACTGAAGATCGCAGATGGGCGAGAGATGGTGTTCGTGCTGAACTTGATCATATTTAGTTGTACGCTTTCGGTTTGGGACTTTGGGTACTGCTCCTGTCTCTCTGATTATTTACTTGTGTTCTTGGTTTGCTATTCACTTGGTTTCTATTTTCTTTTTTTGGTCTCTAGTAGCGACTGCGACTCCGACTGCGGCAATGCCGCTCGCGGCTGTCATGGCGGTAGTGATTATGGTTGTGATTATGGTGGCTCCGGTTGTTCCGACTGCTGCTGCCGCCACCACCACCACCACCACTACCAACTCCACCTCCTCCTCCTCCGCTGCCACCACCACCACCGCCACTGCGCGAGTACGAGTGATGGGAACTGTGGTGCGACTTATGGTGATCTGGAACAGAAAGAGGGCAGTTAAATAAGCGCTCGAGTGCCGTGTGCAAGCGCGACCCCGGACTTCAAAACGAAGCGGGCAACTTACGGTGACGCCGATCCGAGGGCTGGCGATTCTGAACGTAGTCGCGACTTCGCTCGCGGTACTCGCTGCGTGGCTCGCTGAAGGATTAAATAATGGGAAACGCACAGATTAGATATATTATTGATCATCACATTGTCTATAGGATTCTATGACATCACATAGTTTTCTGCTCGTGCAGTAACCAAGTGATAAAATAAACGCAAAGTAATCAAAGAGCATTACTCATAGTCACATTGAAGGCATTCTGCCAATTTTGCTTGAAGATGAACGTATTTTTGTTTTCGATCGTTTCCCAGGTATACATATGTACGTAGGATATGATCAGGGTCTTACCGTCTGCTTTCGTAGGAGTGGAAGCGCTGCACTCGGCCCTCGCGCCGACGTCGTTCCTCCTGCTCGCGCTCCTTCTGTCGCGCCTCATTGATCTCGGCCACTGCGTTGCGCAGCTTGGAGTAGCCCAAATGCTGTTTGCCCATCAAATGGTCCTCGATCCGCTGCTGTGCATCGCCAACGATCAGGAACGCACCACAGATCTCGCACACCTTCATCTGTTTCTCGGGCATGGCGTCGTGCGACCAACCAGCCGCCTTGCTATCGGTCTTCTCCGTTTTGTCCTCGCTGGCTGAACCAGCAACTTCGCCGGCATCGTCTGCGGTTGTGACTACCGGCCCTGCTGCTGGCGCGGAACTTGGAGCTGCATCTGGCGCTTCATCCAGGGTGATGGCGGCTGGAAGAGTGGTTGGAATTTCCTCGCTGGGATTTGCGACCGGACTGCTGCGCGACTGCTGCTGCAGCTCATCCTCCGGTGACTTGGTCAGGCTGATGCTACTGATGGTCTTGTGGTTGGCCTCGTGTTGCTGCATCAACTGCTCCTTCTCCTCCTTGAGCTCCTCGCACAGGGTCATAAGATCCTGGGCCTGGTCCACGTCCCCCCGAATACCGGCTTCCTCCGCCTCCGAGAGAAGCTTATTGATCCTGGCCGTCAGATTGCTCATCTGCTCCTGGTGCCTGCTCATTGGTGTCGTTATATTGGGCTGATCCCTTTGCATTAGAAGCAAACGTTGTTTGCCCTTTTGGATTTTTCGATCCACATCGTGAAGCATCACATTGCAAAAGCGCAAGAACTCATCCTCGTACTGGCGCTTCCGCTGTGAGGGTCTAGCATCCTCGTATAGATGTCGGGCTTCCTCGTCGTGGATGCGGGCACAGGGGCCCAGATCCGCGCGGGTATTTATGAATAGATCGTGCGGACAGAACTTAACGTTGTAGAATTGACAGAACTGGCGAATAAAACAAATTATTTTGGTGGATGTCCTTTTCCCGCGCCATATCCTTGGTGTACTCACCTCCGGATCCTCCCAATTGACCTTGGCGCCCGCCTCCGAAGGATGCAGGTTGCGATTCCTGCCCATCAGCTCGTCGAGCATCTGCCTGGCGGCGTCCACCATTTTCTGGGGCTCCTTCGCAATTTGTTGTTTGTGGGTCAAAACTCCAAAGGGGGCGGTGGTGTAAAGTGGTCCACAGTGCAGTGGTGCCAATGTGGTGCCGCACCGACTTTTATGGCCAGAACGGTGCCGGCGGACAGGTGCACCCACTTAACACACGTGCAATGGGGCGGGAGGCAGGTACTTTCGCTGTTTAATCAGAAAACTCGCCAAAATAGAATCAATAAAATTATTTCACGGAATTCGCGTTGTATCGATTATTTCGGAATAAACCTATCGGTCCATATCGTTTTGCGACATGCATGGGCGACCTATCGGGCTTAAAAATGAACTAATTGTGTTGTTTTTCATGCAAAAACCATGATTTATTAATAATTAGGTTCAATGATTAAATACTATTACTATATTTATCTTATGGTTGATTAAGTATTTAAAATTACGTTATTTTTGTTACATATCTCATGCACCTTTTGGACTACTCAGTAATCAAAATTATTTATTTAAAGGATTTGATAACCACAAATAGCTTAGAAAGAAAATTGAAAAAAATAGTTTCAATAGTAAAAGTAAACAATTTAATTAATTAATGTGACCGTAACATATGTTTTCCTTTGCATCTCTACCCAGAGGCGTTGCCACCCCCTTGCAACTGTCAGAAAAAGGCGCCAAAAAATAGCAAAGCACGCATCTGTAAACATTCGCAAGAAAGGAAAGTAAACCCGGAATTTAGCGCGCTATTCACCAGTTAGAAGCAAGAAGTGACCCAAAATGGATGTGGCAGATGCTCAGGTTGGCCAGCTGCGCGTTAAAGACGAGGTGGGCATTCGGGCCCAGAAGTTATTCCAGGATTTCCTCGAGGAATTCAAGGAGGACGGCGAGATCAAGTACACGCGCCCTGCCGCCAGCTTAGAATCCCCGGATCGCTGCACCCTGGAGGTCAGCTTCGAGGATGTGGAGAAGTACGATCAGAATCTGGCCACCGCCATCATTGAGGAGTACTACCACGTCTATCCATTTCTCTGCCAATCCGTTTCGAACTACGTGAAGGACAGGATCGGACTGAAGACCCAAAAGGATTGCTATGTGGCCTTCACGGAGGTGCCGACGCGTCACAAGGTACGCGATCTGACCACCTCCAAGATCGGCACCCTCATCCGCATCTCCGGCCAGGTGGTGCGCACCCATCCCGTCCATCCGGAGCTAGTTTCCGGCGTGTTCATGTGCCTCGATTGCCAAACTGAGATTCGGAATGTGGAGCAGCAGTTCAAGTTCACCAATCCCACCATTTGCCGCAATCCCGTCTGCTCCAATCGCAAGCGTTTCATGCTGGATGTGGAGAAGAGTCTGTTCTTGGACTTCCAAAAGATTCGCATCCAGGAGACCCAAGCAGAGTTGCCTCGCGGCTGTATTCCCCGCGCGGTGGAGATAATACTGCGATCGGAGCTGGTAGAAACCGTACAGGCTGGCGATCGCTATGATTTCACGGGCACTCTGATCGTGGTTCCCGATGTAAGTGTTCTTGCCGGAGTGGGCACTCGGGCAGAGAACAGTTCCCGCCATAAACCGGGCGAGGGCATGGATGGAGTCACTGGCCTAAAGGCTCTGGGCATGCGTGAGTTGAACTACAGGATGGCCTTCCTCGCCTGCAGTGTCCAGGCAACCACAGCACGTTTTGGCGGCACCGATCTGCCGATGTCGGAGGTGACAGCCGAGGATATGAAGAAACAGATGACGGATGCCGAGTGGCACAAGATCTACGAGATGTCCAAGGATCGCAATCTCTACCAGAATCTGATCACCAGTCTCTTTCCCTCGATCTACGGCAATGATGAGGTCAAGCGGGGCATTCTGCTCCAGCAATTCGGCGGTGTTGCAAAGACGACCACCGAAAAGACATCGCTTCGTGGCGACATCAATGTGTGCATTGTAGGTGATCCGAGCACGGCCAAATCGCAGTTCCTTAAACAGGTTTCCGACTTCTCGCCGCGAGCGATCTACACCTCTGGCAAGGCATCCTCTGCAGCGGGCTTAACCGCAGCCGTTGTGCGCGACGAGGAATCCTTTGACTTTGTCATCGAGGCGGGCGCCCTCATGTTGGCCGACAATGGCATTTGCTGCATTGACGAGTTCGACAAGATGGACCAGCGCGACCAGGTGGCCATTCACGAGGCCATGGAGCAGCAGACCATATCGATTGCCCGCGCCGGTGTGCGTGCCACTCTGAATGCCCGCACTTCGATTCTGGCCGCAGCTAATCCCATCAATGGGCGATACGATCGCTCCAAGAGTCTGCAGCAGAACATTCAGCTGTCTGCACCGATTATGTCGCGTTTCGATCTGTTCTTCATTCTCGTGGACGAATGCAATGAGGTGGTGGACTATGCCATTGCCCGCAAGATAGTTGATCTGCACTCGAACATCGAGGAGTCTGTGGAGCGGGCTTATACGCGCGAAGAGGTCCTTCGCTACGTGACATTTGCGCGGCAATTTAAGCCGGTGATTAGCCAGGAGGCCGGACGCATGCTGGTTGAGAACTACGGTCATTTGAGGCAGCGGGATACGGGCACGTCGGGCAGGAGCACGTGGAGAATCACGGTGCGCCAACTGGAGTCCATGATCCGACTGAGCGAGGCCATGGCCAAGCTGGAGTGCTCCAATCGCGTGCTGGAGAGACACGTCAAGGAGGCCTTCCGTTTGCTGAACAAGTCCATCATTCGCGTGGAACAACCTGACATTCATTTGGATGACGATGAGGGTCTGGACATGGATGATGGCATTCAGCATGACATCGATATGGAGAACAATGGAGCAGCGGCCAATATGGATGAGAACATGGACACCTCCGCCAGCGGCGCCTTGCAAAAGAAGAAGTTCACACTTTCCTTCGAGGACTACAAGAATCTGTCCACCATGCTGGTGCTGCACATGCGCGGCGAGGAGGCGCGCTGCGAGGTGGAGGGCAGCGATACGGGCATCAAGCGCAGCGATGTGGTCACTTGGTATCTGGAGCAGGTAGCGGAGCAAATTGAATCCGAGGATGAGCTAATCTCGCGCAAAAACCTCATCGAGAAGCTGATCGATCGCCTCATCTACCACGATCAGGTTATTATTCCACTTAAGACCTCCAAGCTGAAGCCGATATTAAAGTCTCAGGGCCAGGATGATGACGAAACGGAGGACGATCCCCTGCTGGTGGTGCACCCCAACTACATTGTGGAGTGAACCCAGCCGGACAACAGTTTATTATACACTAATCTAACTAGTTAAGTTTCTGTTTCCACGTCTTGCTTTTTTTTTGGTCACCCAGACAATGTATTTAGCCGTAAGTGTAGAGTTTAAAGACATTACTAAAACTCATTAAGGATTTTATGGTCCTTTTGCGGCCCATATTCCAAATCATTCATGTTTTCGCCAAAAATAAACGTTCATCTCAAGTTGCGGTTGGTCTCTCAAGCAAAAAGGAAGGGCAAAATGATACGAAATCCATGTTTCAGCTTAGTTTCCATTCATTTTAATTGTACAGATGCGTTGATTAATTGCCTATGAAATAAAAACGAGGCCCGCAGAGCGATCGAGAGTGGTACATTCTACTTCTCGAAGGTGTAGTGCTTGACGCCATCGCTGGGATATTGCTTGGCGGCCACGGGGCGGTACATCTTCTTGTCATCCAGCCAGTAGTACAGTGCCAGGCAGCCGGACATGACTCCCAGGAAGCAGACAAAGTAGTACGAGTTCTTGTAGCGCGGCGGTTCGGCCTGCGACCAGCGATCCTCGCTGTACAGATCGTGATCCGCCGAGATCTACAATCGAAATATATTAGGTTTTAGATTCGATTTTTTGAAGCCAACTAGCTGATGTTGCTGGCACTTACGGGCTCGTGGTGGTTTCGCTTGTGCTCCGGATAATCCCAGGGATAGTACGAGTCCTTGGCCTCCACACCCAGACCGCCGCCCACTTTGGGATAATCTCCGTAGCCCAGACCGTCGTCAGCATACGGTTTGTACTCCTCCGGCAGCAGATAGTACTTCTTGGCCGCCGCCAGACGCTCCTTCTCCGTCTGTGGATACGGTCCCGGCTTGTAGTCTTTGTTCCAGCCAGCCACTAAAACGAAAAAGGCGAGTTTGTAGCATTCGGTACATGCAAAAGTTACGTAAACAAAACAGAGGAGCACGAATGCACAGATGCCAGCGCATCCGGATCTCCACTTACTGCTGCGGATCGCCTGGCGAGCCACGGCAGGATTGGCGGCGCACAGCTTTTGGGCCAGGCACACGGTTTTTACAAACGCCGACATTGCAGGCTCGCTTCAAAAATAAGTTCCCAAAAAGTTCAAATTTCCGAAAAAACAGCTGTCCGCCTGCGGATGGCACACAAACGATAGGCTAGATGCTGTCCTCTATCGATAGTTGAGGCAAGCAATAGTTGTACTTGCAAGAAAGATATATCAACAGATTTAACTTATCAGTGTATTCAATTTAGAGTATTTCGCAATGAAATATTGTTTTTCTTAAACAGTAACTGCTATGGTTTGTGGTATTCGTATAAGCTTTTATGAAAGCAGCAATCGATATGTCGATAAAAACAATCGATGGGCAGATAGTTATCACCCGCGCAGCGAGGTGCTGTTGTTGTTTTCTTGTTGTTTTTGATGTTGGTGTTGTTGTGGTGGGCTCGTCCGTGAAAGATCACTTGGCAAACTTATTTATTAAATACCGACCAAGAAATAAGCAAATAAGATGGTGCTACCGTTATTGCAGCGCTCCACGCTTCGCGGCGTTCAACAAATGACGAAACCCTGGGCTGCCATTGGAAGTTTGCGTCTGGTAAGGACTTTCAAGTGGCTCTGCAAATTGAGTATATATTTCGCATCGACATGGCAAATATTGTGCCTTATGTAATGCACGAGAGCCCCATGCAGCCACTAATAACTCCCACAAAAGTGTTTTCGATTGTAAACAAGGCGAAGCTAGAAGAAATGCAAATGAAAAGTGCACAAATGCCGGGCGTTTCGTAATCGTTACACAATGGAAAGTGGAAGTGACCGCCTTCCAGCCGCTGGAACGGCCGTTCCAATTGGCACACCACTGCGACCACTTGTGGACCAACTCCAATTGGTGTGTGTCTCCAATTGGAAGCCGGCAGCATTGATTTTTTCACTCAAATTTCGCACACGTTTTTTTTTTTACCCCCCCAAAAAATCGCACTCAAATCACATGATTGAAAACAAAACAAACTCACACCGCAAAAAAAAAGCAAGAGAAATACAAACTCGCGAAACGAGTTGTAATTCAAGAAATTGTGCTAGTCAGCGAATTCTTGTTTTTCTGCAATTGAATTAAAAACCGGTTAATTATACATATGGTAACATCTATTTGCCGACCACTGTAATACACTCACACTACACTACGCACTTGCGATTATTCAGATTATACTGCATATATCTAAAGCACTAGATAGTAACTAAGTCTCGCGTAAATTACACCCATAAATCCAAAGAACATTGCTGGTCACATGAATGGTACTACAAATAATAAGTAATACACGAATTCTCCTATTCTTCAAGTTTACAGCAGAAGAAACTACAAGTACCATTGCTACCAAGTTAGCGATACAGAGAGTAGATGTCTCGAGATCCTCGCACTACTTTTGTGCCCCTTGCTGTGCGCGCCAAGGCGCAGCTAATTGGCAAAGCACCCCATGCAAAGTAGAGTCTTTCATATTCAGCACTCTGTGTTCGGCTTTCAGTTCCCTCGAGACTGGGCCCCTTTTTACACCTCCATCATTTCGTATAAATTTGCTCGATGAGAGAGCTGTTTCAAGAATCTGTGCGCTGTACAATCGGCTAGTTGATTTGGTTCCATAGTCGTCCGCCGGCTTATCGTCTGCGTTTCTATTGCTGGAGCTCGCCTCAGTTAACTTTGAGCAGCAGCCGTCGTCGAGTGGTCGGTCGTCCTCTGATTTGTAGATTCTGATTTCCGTGGTCTCTCGACTCGGTTCTGATTTCGCCCAACTTATCTGCCATCTATCTTAAATGGTCTGGCCCTGTTTACGCGTCAAATTGCATCACTTTAATCAGAATTACTCTCATCGACAGGCCTCCCAGGAGTTTCGCGTGGAGAGCGACACCTTCGGCGAACTGAAGGTGCCCGCGGATAAATACTATGGCGCCCAGACGATGCGATCCCAGATCAATTTCCCCATCGGCGGAGCCACCGAACGGATGCCCGTAAGTAATACCCCACTCGCTCCAACTAATTCCCACGAAAATCTTGAAAAATTATATAAAAGTCGTTTTACAAGCTAATTAGGTTCTGTTCTCTTTAAAAATCGCAATATATGAATACTTAAATCTGGCTTTAATGAGAGATAAACCTCATAATATCTAGCTACCTCTTGAATAAGCAATATATTTTTAAAATATAGTCCGAATCCACAATTTGGTTTTCGTTTTAAGTTTAATTATAAAATAGTTTACCACAAATAGATATTCGACTTTCATTAGTCTTTACATTCAAGGTTCAGAAAGCAGCGAGGTCTAGCTAATTACTAACTAAAATAATGCTAAAACTAAGCCTCTATTATATAAAGCTGAAAAAATATAGAAAATACATTCCAAGGCCAAACCAGATGGCAAAGTTAAATGAAATTTAGAGCGTATAAAAATCGAAAGTCCCTAAATAGGATTTAGAGCTAATGATTATGAGCCTTAATAACATACAATTATATAGTAGAGAAAGATATTATACGGATACATTGAAAGCGACTAAAACTGTCGATAATCCCCTCCAGAAACCCGTGGTGCAGGCCATGGGCATCCTGAAGAAGGCCGCCGCCGAGGTGAACAAGGAGTTCGGACTGGACACCAAGGTGAGCGAGGCGATCTCGAAGGCGGCCGACGATGTGATCTCCGGCAAGTTGTACGACGACCACTTCCCGCTGGTCATCTGGCAGACGGGCTCCGGCACCCAGAGCAACATGAATGTGAATGAGGTGGGCGAAGCAGTCACTTTCCTGTACACTTCTCCATAATCCTCCTGACTCCATAATCTCGCAATCAGGTGATCAGCAATCGTGCCATTGAGCTGCTGGGCGGCAAACTGGGCTCCAAGACGCCCGTGCATCCCAACGACCACGTGAACAAGTCGCAGAGCTCCAATGATACCTTCCCCACCGCCATACACATCTCGGTGGCCCTGGAGCTGAACAATAACCTCAAGCCGGCGATCAAGACGCTGCACGATGCGCTGCGCGCGAAGTCGGAGGAGTTCAAGGACATCATCAAGATCGGACGCACTCACACCATGGATGCGGTGCCACTGACGCTGGGCCAGGAGTTCAGCGGCTATGCTCAGCAGTTGGCCTACGCCCAGGAGCGCATCGATGCCTGCCTACCGCGTGTCTATGAGCTGGCCTTGGGCGGCACTGCCGTGGGAACTGGCCTGAACACACGCAAGGGATTCGCCGAGAAGTGCGCGGCCAAGATCGCCGAACTGACTAGCCTGCCATTCGTCACCGCTCCCAACAAGTTCGAGGCACTGGCTGCCCGCGATGCCATGGTGGAGGTGCATGGTGTGCTCAACACGATCGCCGTCAGCCTGATGAAGATCGCCAACGACATCCGTTTCCTTGGCTCCGGTCCACGTTGCGGCTTGGGCGAGCTTTCGCTGCCGGAGAACGAGCCAGGTAGCTCCATTATGCCAGGCAAGGTGAATCCCACGCAGTGCGAGTCGCTGACAATGCTCTCCGCCCAGGTGATGGGCAACCAGGTGGCCGTGACCATCGGTGGCTCAAACGGGCACTTTGAACTCAATGTCTTCAAGCCCCTGATCGTGTCCAATGTGCTGCGCTCTATTCGGCTGTTGTGTAAGCTATGAGGATTTACTTATTGTTTGGCCTCCAAATCAATACAATCGTCTCTTTGCAGCTGACGGCAGCAGGACCTTCACGGCCAACTGCGTCAATGGCATCCAGGCCAATCGCGAGAACATTGCCAAGATCATGAACGAGTCCCTCATGCTGGTTACCGCCCTGAATCCCCACATCGGCTACGACAAGGCGGCGAAGATCGCCAAGACGGCGCACAAGAATGGCACCACCCTCAAGGAGGAGGCCATCAATCTGGGCTACCTCACGGAGCAGCAGTTCAACGATTGGGTGCGACCCGAACAGATGCTGGGACCCAAGTGAAGTTAATCGAGTAGTCGAAACTACCTAATTCAACCAACACTGTCATCGGCATCCCAGTAGAATTTTCTAGCTTGTCTGATCGTTAGATCGTTTGTATATGAATCGCTCGGAATCGCAGAACAATAATAATAACTGAAAATGCTAAAGCAAATCAATGGCTTGAGCTTGGCTAGGCGCAATCTCTGGTTGGTTGCCGGTGGCCTTCGTGCCAAGGGTGTAAGTAGACGCAAGTAGACGGTGTCTTCTCATGCAGCATGGGGCATATTTGCAGGGCGACAAGGGCAAGGAGACTGGAAAGTTTCGCACGGAGAAGGACACCTTTGGGGAGCTAAAGGTGCCGGCGGACAAGATGTACGGTGCGCAGACGATGCGCTCCAAGCTAAATTTTCCCATTGGCGATATAGGCGAACGCATGCCGGTAGGAAAGTGGGCATATCTGGGCATCTTTTAGAGCACATCCATACCCATTTAATCACGTACTGCCCGTAGATGCCGGTGATTCAGGCCATGGGCATACTGAAGAAGGCGTGTGCCGAGGTCAACAAGGATTACGGGCTGGATAGCAAGGTGTCGGATGCAGTGTCCTGCGCCTGCGACGATGTCATTTCCGGCAAGCTATACAAGCAGGGTCACTTCCCATTGGTCATCTGGCAAACAGGATCGGGCACCCAGACCAATATGAACACCAACGAGGTGAGATTGGATACGGGGAACGAAAAATGTGTATTGTTAGTCAGGTTCTACCCATAAATTACCAGTTAGTTGGCCAAATCATTGATAATAATCGTCGCAATTTAGAGATTCACCCTACCATTGTTACCCCTTCTAGGTGATCAGCAATGCGGCCATTAAGATGATGGGTGGCGAACTGGGCAGCAAGAAGCCCGTGCATCCCAACGACCATGTGAACAAGTCGCAGAGCTCCAACGACACCTTTCCTACGGCCATCCACATCTCGGTGGGCATGGAGCTGAATGAGCGGCTAGTGCCGTCGGTGACCCACTTAAGGGATGCCCTCAAGTCCAAGTCGGATGAGTTCAAGGACATCATCAAGATCGGCCGCACCCATTTGATGGACGCCGTACCGCTGACATTGGGCCAGGAGTTCAGCGGCTACACACAGCAGTTGACCAACGGCCTGGAAAGGATCAAAAGCTGCCTGCCGCGGGTGTATGAGCTGGCCCTGGGCGGCACTGCCGTGGGAACGGGTCTGAATACCCGCAAGGGATTCGCCGAGAAGGTGGCCAAGCGGATTTCCGAGCTCACCTGTCTGCCCTTCGTGACGGCGCCCAATAAGTTCGAGGCACTGGCTGCCCGCGATGCCATGGTGGAGGTGCATGGTGTGCTCAACACGATCGCCGTCAGCCTGATGAAGATCGCCAACGATATCCGACTGCTGGGATCGGGTCCGCGTTGCGGTTTTGGCGAACTATTGCTGCCGGAGAACGAGCCAGGTAGCTCCATCATGCCCGGCAAGGTGAATCCCACGCAGTGCGAATCGATGACCATGCTGTGCGCCCAGGTGATGGGCAACCAGGTGGCCGTGACCATTGGTGGCTCCAACGGCCACTTCGAGCTGAATGTATTTAAGCCCTTGGTCGTGTCCAATGTGCTGCGCTCCATTCGGCTGTTGGGTGAGCCCAAAAAGTGTTTCCTAAGTTCGAAAACTAATCCGGCTACTTTCAGCTGATGGCAGCATGACCTTTAGCAAGAACTGCGTGGAGGGACTGCAGGCCAATAAGGAGAGGATCGACAAGATCATGAACGAGTCCCTGATGCTGGTGACCGCCCTGAATCCCCACATCGGCTATGACAAGGCCGCTCTGATCGCCAAGACGGCCCACAAGAATAAGACCACCTTGAAGGAGGAGGCACTGAAGACTGGCATTACCGAGGAGCAGTTTAAGGAGTGGGTCAATCCCAAGGATATGCTGGGGCCGAAGTGATTCGTTTTGTGGTTATTGACAATTTGTTTCTTAGTTTCATATAATAAATTAATGCGTGTCATTGTATTTTAAATTTATATTTCAATTTTTGTGTTTACGGAAACAGAGAAACGGTTTTTAGTTTTGAATTCAACAAATGGTTCGAGTCCGCACTATATTGAACGTAATCGATTTTTAAATACACCGCAAGTTTGGTGTAACGGTCACACTGGCTCCTTGCTGTTTTTAACTTATTCCTTGTTTTTATCGTAAGTTCTTGCAGATTCTTGCAAGTATATTATAGGGAAATATAAGCAAAGCAACCAGATAAGCAAGTGTTTGTTGTGACCCCCTTTTTCTAAGCAAAAAAAATTTCAGCTGGAAGCGATTATCTAACGACAAAATCGAATCGAATCGAAGCGAAACGTTGAAGTAGGCGCAGATAATAAAAATAAGCTGCCAGGCAAGTTGGATTTCGTAAATTAATGTTTCGTTCAGTTGAAAATAGCCCAAAATCAGCCCACACAGATATCGAGAAAGGCGAAATATTTTTGGAGAATCAGTGAAAAAATAAACTCTTTCGATCCGAGGGTTTTGCCTTGTAGTTCTACCACGGCCGCCGCCGCCTCACTTTGCCCCGCAGCTGCAGCGCCCACCACCCCTACAAGCAGAAAATTTATTTGCGACGCAAAAACAAAACAATCGAATCGGCAGCAGCTGTTTGGCTATCGATCGATGTTATCGATCACGCACATGAGCAGCATTGACGGTCAAGAAGAAGCAGAAGTTAAGCAGCACAAATCTTAAAAAATAGGTAAGAATTTAAATTGAATTAATAGATTTCTGACCGTTTTAAGGCTTCATTCAGTTGCAGGCACTTGGAGCCGAGGTCTTTGTGGGCCGAAATATGTCTGTGAGACTGCTGACCGTTCGACTGATCAAACATGGTCGCTACATTTTGCGCAGCTATTGTAAACGTGATATACACTCCAACATTTTGGACCAGAATCAATTGAAGACACGAAGCAAGCGAGGCTTTCCCCTACCCTCCACCGCTGCCAATGTGCTGCGGGTAACTATAGCTAACCTGGCAATCAAAATCACATAAAATTAACCCAGCCCAATCTCTGCCAGACAACGCCCCAGCAGGCGGCCAAATCGGTGGTCAATGTAGTGCCCCGCACAACCAACTCCCCGGCGGGATTGCCGCTTAATGCCAGCGGCAGTAGCCCCACCAGCAGCAGTGGACTCTTTCGAGTGGGCCAGCATGCACGCAAATTGTTTATCGACAACATCCTCAGCCGGGTGACCACCACCTACTCGGAGGATCTACGCCAGCGGGCCACGCGCAAACTCTTCTTTGGGGATTCGGCACCCTTCTTCACCCTAATTGGCGTTAGTTTGGCTTCCGGGGCGGGTGTCCTCAGTAAGGAGGATGAACTAGAGGGCGTGTGCTGGGAGATTCGGGAGGCAGCTAGCCGGCTGCAGAACGCCTGGAATCACGACGAAATCTCCGATACGCTGGACAGCAAGTTCAGCATCGATGACTTGGAAATCGGACCGCCCATAGCTAAAGGCTGCGCCGCTGTTGTCTATGCAGCGGATTTCAAAAAGGACGGTGCTTCGGAGGCCCTGCATCCGAATGAGCAGCCGCCGCAGGCAACGCCAGCCTTTGCGCCGAACAGCTGGAGTGCCCACGAGATGATGTCGCCGTTGCAGAACATGTCGCGCTTTGTTCACAACTTTGGCGGCTCTGTGGACAACATCTTCCACTACAGCCAGCCATCGGCGGCTAGTGATTTCGTGGGCGCCCAGGCTAGAGAACAAGAGCAACAGCAGCAGCAGGACCAACAGCCCAACAGCAGTGCCTTCAATGTGGTAAGTATGCAACTTCAACTCCTTTTTTGTCAACTTGCCTTCATGCTATATACTTGAACTTTCAGACTTCCCCAGCGAATTCAAAAAACAACAGCTCTGTGGACACCTATCCACTGGCTCTCAAAATGATGTTCAACTACGACATCCAGAGCAACGCCCTATCCATCCTGCGTGCCATGTACAAGGAGACAGTACCGGCCCGCCAGCGCGGCATGAATGAGGCCTCCGATGAGTGGGAACGTTTGCTGCAGAATCAAACCGTTCACCTGCCGCCGCACCCCAACATTGTCTGTATGTTTGGCTTCTTTTGTGACGAGGTACGCAACTTTCCCGATGGCCACCTCCTGTATCCGGTGGCCCAGCCGCAACGCATCAATCCGCAGGGCTATGGCCGGAACATGTCGCTGTATCTGCTGATGAAACGCTATAATCACAGTCTTCGCGGACTGCTCGATAGTCAGGAGCTGAGCACGCGCACCCGCATTCTGCTGCTGGCCCAAATGCTCGAGGCTGTCAACCATTTGAGTCGTCACGGCGTGGCCCATCGGGACCTAAAGTCCGATAATGTGCTAATCGAGTTGCGGGACGATGCCGCGCCGGTGCTGGTCCTCTCGGACTTTGGCTGCTGTCTGGCTGACAAGGTGCATGGCCTGCGCCTGCCGTACGTTTCACACGACGTCGACAAGGGCGGCAATGCGGCACTGATGGCGCCGGAGATCTTCAATACGATGCCCGGTCCGTTTGCCGTGCTCAATTACGGCAAAGCGGATCTGTGGGCCTGCGGTGCGTTGGCCTACGAGATCTTTGACGGCCGCAATCCGTTCTATTCGAGCAGCGGTGGTCTGGCGCGCGAGCGCGGAGAGATGACGCTTTCGCTGCGAAACAGCGATTACCGGCAGGACCAACTGCCGCCAATGAGCGATGCCTGCCCGCCGCTGTTGCAACAGCTGGTCTACAACATCCTCAATCCCAACCCGTCCAAGCGGGTCAGTCCGGATATTGCGGCTAATGTGGTGCAGCTCTTCCTGTGGGCCCCGTCCAATTGGCTTAAGGCTGGCGGCATGCCCAACAGTCCCGAGGTGGGTGCTTTTTGATACTATCCAGTTGAGCCTGTAGAGCTAATAGACTTAATTATATTTTACAGATCCTCCAGTGGCTGCTATCGCTGACCACCAAGATCATGTGCGAGGGCCGTCCCCAGCTGGGTGCGGACTTGATGCCAGTGGCCACCAGTGGCAGGCGCGCCTATGTGGAGTACCTGCTCATTTGCAGCTTTCTGGCACGAGCCCGCCTGCGTCGCATACGCGGCGCCCTCAACTGGATCCAGAATGTGGTGGCGTAGAACCCATCTACTTGTTACTATGCGAAAATCAAATGGAAAAGCGTGTGATACCTATATTTTACATATGTATTTATAAAACAAATCAAAATGAACATCACGTCTCCGGTACATTATTGACATTATTGAAAATCTTCCAAATCCGCCTGATTCTGCAGATTCCCTATAAAGCGCAGCTCAGCGCGCAGCGCCTTCTCCTCGGCCATTGCCTCCTGGTACACCTGCAACAGTTCCCCGATGCGCGTATTGAGCGCCTATATTTGTGATACCTATATTTTACATATGTATTTATAAAACAAATCAAAATGAACATCACGTCTCCGGTACATTATTGACATTATTGAAAATCTTCCAAATCCGCCTGATTCTGCAGATTCCCTATAAAGCGCAGCTCAGCGCGCAGCGCCTTCTCCTCGGCCATTGCCTCCTGGTACACCTGCAACAGTTCCCCGATGCGCGTATTGAGCGCCGCTGCCGACGCCAGTGTCTCTATTGATTCCCTCTCCATATCAATCATCATATTGTAGATGGTCTCGTCCATATGTATAATGCTGTTGGAAGCCAGATCTAGGCTGTCCTCGGCGTCCACCTTGTTGGTGTTGGAACTGGGATTGGTATTGGGTTCGGGCTGCTGTGGGGAGATTATTAGGCCCGCAGGATCTATCGCTTAGCACTTACCATGACTAAGCAGTTCAAGTTCCTTAAATTATTTTTCAGACTTCCACAATTCGAATGATTTAAGATAAATGCGCTGACAGCAATAACGATAACCGCTCCAGGGCTGATCCGATTGCAAAACGTAATCGATTGCTTGTCAGGGATGACGGCAATTTAAAAATAGTTTTGGAAAATTCTAAAAACCAAATCCCTGAACAATTCTGTTTTTCCCCTCCCCAGTTATAAACTATCGGTAGTTTGCAACCATAAGCCATTTGTTTTTCTTATAGTTTTCGTTGTTGGTATAATTAATATTTATTTACATCTAGTTGAAAAACATAACATTTGCCTGATAAAAAGTGCAAATAATTCGAGTATCCGAATTCACTTGCCAATCTCCACGCGACTCACGCACAACTTGTGATCGTAGAATGAGCAAGTGGCCATGGTCAGGGACGCATCGTCCTTGTTACGGAATGGAGCCCAATCAGCGCCGTAACAGATGCTCTTGTGCTCCTCATAAGCGCCCAGTAAACTCAAGCTAGGTGCCGCGACATCCAGCTCCACTACACTAAAGTTGGTGTACATGCAGGCGGCAAGGATGAGATCGGGCTGAGCTGGATGCGGCTTCAGCCGCCAGATGCCTCCGCTCAAGTCCAGTTCCGCCAGAGTTCGCTTCATCGATCGGGTGTCGAAGAGACGCAGCTGCTCATCATAGCTTCCCGTGAGCAGATGGTTTTCGTGCCGCGGGTGACTTAGCAGACAGGTGACTCCAGCCATGTGCGCCCGGTTGGTCCAGGCACGCTGCTCGGTGCGTAAATCGTGGGCCATGAGCAGCATATCGTCGCCACCGCTGTACAGAAGGTGCGGTGACCAGCGATCGAAGGCGCAGGTCCACGCCTCAAAACCGTGGGACAGCCAAGACCGCTCGCGTATTATCTCACCCTGTGGCGAGTAATTCAATAGATTCAGTCCGCCTTTGGAATCGGAAATAGCCAATTGGATGTGCTGCCCGTCATGTTGCCAGTCTAGGGCGAGCGCCAAAGGGGGTTCCTCCTGCGATTCCTCCTCCGCCAGGCAAAAACACGTGCGCCTCTGCAGTTTCTTCTCATCTCTGAGCAACTCGTAGATTTCCAGCTGTCCCAATGAGTTGGCCGTGGCAAGGTGGGGATTACTTTCATTGCACCAGGCCGGCAGCCACTTCATGTCCAAAATTGCAGACGTTTCTATGCACTGCAGCCGGTCCAGCCTGCAGTTTGCCTCTTCAAAATGGTACAAATAAACGCGACCCTTGCGTGGACGCTTGGATGAAATCTCCGCCGCTGGTTCCCCCTCCTCCTGGACCAACTGATAGGTGCCGCAGGCGAAGAAGCCCGTTGTCGCATCATCCTGCGTCAGCCACTCCACGGAATCTGCCGAGTATACCGTATCCTCGCTGTGGAGCGTAGTAAACATGTTTATTAAAAGCTGTTATCGGCTATCGATAACCGATAGCCACTAGCTGACCCTTTTCCCATATATCGCTGCCAATCGAGCGTTCCGTTTTGATCTTATTATATTTATTTGTTATTTTGGGTTTTCTTTTTGCTAATTTAAAAAATTAATAGTTAATACATACAACTACTTAGTGCTCTGTTTACGCGCTACATATTCTGGATTAGGTTTAGTTGATCTCCTCCATCGATCGTAGTTTCTTTTTTTTTACTTTTTTAGCTGCATTTCCTTGATTTTCAGTGGTTTTCGGGGCGTCACAGCGTTCATATCCGTTTGTTGGTTTTCCGGGGGACTTTTGTGTCTGCCAGGCATCCTTATTGCACTTGATCCTTGATCTCCGCTTACTCTGACTTTTTACACAATCTACCATAGAAGTTACATCGACACATTAAAAAACAAATTTAAAAAAAAATACTCTTATTGATAACTATAGACAATCCCTACTGTTCGCAGATATATCCTCTCTCGTTTGTGCGTCCAACGCCTGATTTCCTGGCGGGAATGGAGGCCTGGCTAGCACGTCATCCACACATCCCCACTATCGATTGTTGCTGCGACTGTGACGCCTCCGCGAACCTCATTTGGTCTTCATCACAATGATAGGCTCGAGTATCTTTAGCATGTCATTGTTCTCGGGTGCTCCGGTTCCACTGCCGCCGCCAGAGCCAGGAGCTCCACCTCCTCCGCCGCCGGCTGCGTTGCCGTAATCCTTGACTGTCTGCAGCTTGCTGAAGCCGGGATGTGGCTGATGGAGCTGCTGCTGCTGGTGCTGACTGATGGTCACCAGGCGGTGCTGTTGGTTCAACACAATCGCCTCGTGATGCGGATGCTGCACCAACTGTTGCTGCTGCAGGCTGCCGGCAATCTGTTGCAGTTCGTGCTGTTGCAACTGGAGCGTCGGCAACTGCTCGTGATCGTTGGAGCCATCGCCACCGCCCAACGGTGAGTCGTCGTTATCGGCCTTCACCACCGAGACGAAGCCACCATCGCTGCCCGTGCCCGTGACCGAAACGGCTTCACTTTCGTACATATGCTGCTCGGCACTGGTGTCATCGTCCTGGCCCTCATCTTCTTCCTCGGTTTTGGCACGGAACTCGGTGCTGGTGGCGCTACTGCTGCGCGGCGTGTGGCTGCGCATGCGTCGCATTCGCGCATATTCCGCCTGCTTGGACAGGCGCTCCTTGCGCTCGTCCGTATTCTCGGTGGCCCGGATCTGCGCCCGCTTCAGCCGTGCTCTTTCGCTCAGCTTCTGGAGGCGCGTAGCGCGTTGCTCGGGCGTCTCATTGGCACGCACCGCTCGCTGGTGTGCGGCCATCTTATCTAAACGTATTCGCTTCTCCTCCTCCGTCTCATATTTGTTTGCGCCACTGCGTCGCGGCGTCATTACTGGCGTTCGACTGTCACCATCGGCCGTGGAATGTACATGAATCTGGCTGAGCTCCTGATGATGTTGCTGTGATGTCTGCGACAGTGGCCTGCCGCGACGCGGCGTACTGGTGGCCAGCTGCGGTGCGGACAGCATCTGATTGAGCTCCTGCTCCAGCAGGCTGTTGACCTTCAACTGTTCCTCGCTGGGCAGCGGATTCTTTCGCGGCCTGCCCCTGCCCACAGGGTTGCTCACAATCTGTGGCGTCGCCGCCGCTGTCTGCTGTTGCTCCTGCTGTCCCAATCCAGTGACTGTTAGCGTTGGATTCGCCGCCAGGATGTTGTACTGGCCGGGACTATTGCCGCCACCGGCATTGGCAAAGTTAACGGGCGTAAATGGCGGCGGCACTGCATTCGGCCCGATGCCAATCTGGAAGCCATTGTGGTACATTGGATAGTAGGCGGTGGTGGTGGTGCCGCCCGCGCTTGTTGTTGTGCCCGCCGTCACCACGCCCACGTGGCCGACATTGGTGGTGCTGGTGGTGCTGTTGCTGCTGCTGGTGGTGTTGGGGAAGGTGGCCAGGTAGGGGAATTGGTTGTACAGCTGCTGCGCCTGGCCGGGCGTCGCCTTGAGCAGCTTCTGCTCCCCGCTGGCTGTCGTCACGATCACCTTGGTCTCGTTGTGGCCGAGACTAACAGACCCGCTGTTATCATTGCCGCCAGCTGATACCGGAGCATCGTTGTCCGACTGCAAGAAGGGATAGAGGATTGGCAAGCCAACGGGTGAGTCGGTTTGGTTTTGGGTGGGTTATGTGCCTATGTGGTTATGATGTTATGGTGTTATGGGGTTTCTATCGCAGCAATCTTCGGTAATTGAATTTTATAAAGCACTGCAACCTAATTTCCTAATATGAGAGATAACATTGATTGCTGTGATTGAAAGTGGCTTTATAGATTGGTTTTTTTCAATAGAAGCGAGTGCGAGTGATAGAGTGAAAGATATAGATGGTGGACACACACTCACACACACACACCTGCACAAGCGAATTAAAACCACTTTTTTGTTTGTTTCTTGTTGGTAAAAGTATTTTGATTTGTTCTCCTTAGATTCAACAATTACAATGCTACATATATCTACACTCTATATGGTTAATTCATTAGATTCTAATCGAAATAATGAACTAACACAAGTAATATAAACAACCAACAATTAAGTAAACTGAAATTAAATGATACGATTTTCGAATTGATCAAAATAGGAGGTGAAATGCGGGTAGAGAAACATACAAAAAAAATGTCCATCAGCCGTTTCTCCTTCCCATTTCCATTGAATTCTATATTTTCAAAATTCCTACTTTCCGGTTTCAATCATTTTCCTTTGAGGCAGTTGATTTCTCCAACTGCAAGGAAAATATTTGAAATTTACGAATATTGGCAATTGTTTGATATTTTACCAGTGCTACGAATTTGTATTCGATTCCAAATTCCTCTGCAATTGCAAAAATCATTTATTGTTATTATTTCAAATCAAGAAAGACTAGCTAATCGTGGTAATTGATTTTACGTTTACTGGAAGATAGTGCTCTATTTTTGTTGAATACCGATCGGATTTCAATTAAATGGTGGTTGTAAACAATGCAGCGGTTTCTAAATAACAAATAATACGAGACTCTACACAAGCAAATAGCCGCTGCGTCATAAGGTTTCATTACATAAAGGTTTCATTGGATAGAGGAGGTTTCTAAGCTTGGGCATTACTGCGTTACGGTGTGTGTGTTTTGGGTTGCTATCGCCGATCATTCAAATCCACTACACTTTCTTCCCACGCCTACGGCTGCATACGAACCTGAAGTTCCTGCTTCTTGGCGGCATATTTGTGCGGGTAGAGTTCGAGCTGGCCACCGGCTATGAAGTGCGGCACATGGGCCTGGAGCAGCTTAGCGGTGCCCTTGCCACCCTCATCGCCATAGATCTGCTGCACAAAGATGCTGCCCGGCTCGGTGCCCTCGAGTAGAGCAGCCGTAACCTGTTGCTGCTGCTGCCCGGTGATGGTGTAGCGCTGATGCTGCTGCTGCAGTTGTTGCTGGGTGATCTGCTGCTGCTGCGGCGTCTGTGGCTCCTGCTTCAGCTGCATGGGTGGACGCAGGGAGCCGGGCGCCAGAAACATGCCCTGTCCCATGTACTCCACTCCAGCCAGGGCCTGGTGTTGCTGATAGGCAGCCGCTGTCACCAGATGCTGCTGATCCTCCGAGGGCTGCGGGGTGCCTGCCTCGTCCGTTGTCGTCGTCGTCGCTGTGGTGGTCGCCTGGTTTAGATTGATAGTGTGTTCGTTAGTACAATTGGCTGCCGCCGCTGCTGCGGCTGCTGCTGCAACAGCTAGCACCTGCTGCTGCTGTTGTTGCTGCTGTTGTTGCTGCTGGTGGTGGTGCTGCTGGTCCGTTGACGACGAGGAGGATGTCGGCGTTGAGACGACCACCGACGACGAACCACCGTGCACCACTACATGCTTCAGTACCTTCTTCTTTTCTCTGACCTTTTTGGCATAATCGTTCAGCTTTCTCAGTCTTTCCTTGCGCTCCTCCGGTGACTCATTGGCGATCCTCTGGCGCGCCCTGGCTGCCATTTCCGCCAGCCGGAGCTTCCGCTGATCGTTCGTCTCGCTGGCACGATACATGCGCATCCTCTCGGCCAATTTGGCCAACCGTTTGGCCCTCTGATCCGGCGACTCCATGGCCCGGCGTAGCCGTTGCCTGGCCGCATTCCTAACTAGCCGCATGGCCCTCTCTATGTCGGATTCATTCTGGCGTCTCTGGCGATTGGCCTCTGCATTCCGTAGTAATCGCTTGCGATACTCGTCCTCGCTCTCGCGCTGCCGGCGTTCCCGCATTCTTTCAGCATTTCTGGCCAGACGGCGCTGGCGTGCCTCGGCGCTCTCGTTCCACCTCTGCTGGTGGCCAGTGGTGGAGGCACCTGTTATGGATGCGGAGCTGGCACTGCTGGTGGGTCCCAATGGAGTGGGTGGCGGCTGCGATTGTTGTTGCGACTGCTGCTGCTGCAACTGCTGCTGCTTCAGTGGTGCGTGTGCATAAAGCTGGAGATGCTGTTGCTGGAACTGCAGTTGATCCTGCTGCTGCTGGTGAAGATGTTGCTGTTGCTGCTGGAACTGTTGCTGTTGTTGCTGATGCTGCTGTTGCTGTTGTTGATGTTGCTGCTGCACGTGCTGCTGCTGTTGTTGCTGCTGCTGCAACTGGAGATGGTGATGCGAGGAGAGTGGTACCAACAAAGCTGAGGAATGCTCGATGAGCAGGCGGGCATCGGAGCCATTGATGGCCAGCACATGGGTGGCGTACTGCTGCTGATCAAGTGAGGGCTCTATTTTTATCCCATTGGGATCTGGTTCCATTCTTGGTCAAAAGCCGGGGGCAACAACAATCGAAATTGTCGTCTATCGGGGCTCTAAAAGTGTTGTATATATATAAATATATATGTGTATAGACTATTGATATATTAATTGGTTATCGAAAGGATGAGCGCAGTCCTTCCGATTGCTTCGATAACATCTAGGGGCCGCGCTCCAGCTCTCTCCCCTACTCTTTCACACGCTCTGGGCAGTCTCCCGCTCTTTTTTTTTCGCTGCTCCTTGGCGTTTCCTCTTTGTGTTTGTTTTGTTTCGTTTTTGCCCAGTTATATAAAGAATATGTGTGTGCTGGCGCCGTTTCTCTCTCCCACACTCTCTTTTTTGCGGCGATCGCTGCGCTAACTGTTATTATGGTCCTCGAGCATTTCTTTCTTTCCCTTTTTTCTATGAGCGGTTGTTCGTCTTTAGCAGTATGCTTTTATTTCCGTTCGTAATTTTGCAATAACAATTTTTCGTGCGTTTTCATAAAAGCGTGCTTCTTCTTTCGAGTCAGTGACAATTGGCGCCGCCGCCGCGCTGCTGCTGCGCTGCCAATCGATTTTTCACATGATTATACACACACACCCATGCAGCACGCCGCTCGCACACACACACACGCACGCACTGCTAAACACACACTCGCAGCACAGCAATACGCGACGTACGTGTGTGCGAGTTTTTTTCCGCTCCTTATTTTGCTTTTCGCACAAACCTTAACCCTTTGATTTGTAATTCCATTTAATCGCTGTGTTGCGGTGCATTCAGGCGCCTTTTTTCTCAGTGGGTTAAAAGGATGTTCAGTGGCAGCGCAGCGTTAACTTAACTCCCGACATTGACCGGGAATTTTACACATAGCTGGGACTAGCGTATATCTTCTACTTCCGATCGCACCGGAATGTCATTATGTTTAACTATGCGTAATTTTTCTCGATTCGTGGTACAGTGGCTTTAATTTAATTTAATTCATCTTATTTCAGTTGTTTTCATTTCAACAATCGTTCAGTTCACAGTAGGGATGGTACAACTTATCGATACATCGATAGTTAAGCAGACTGTCGATACATTGGACACAACAACTGATAAATCGATGTACTGCTTGAAATATGGCATGGGTCTGTTTTACAATTTGGGAATTAGTCTTGAAATTATGTATATTATTATTTGGCTGAAGTTTCATCTCCTATCATTATTTTTCCCAAAATATTTATGGTTTTTTAATACGCAAAGTTACAGTTAGATCAGGCCACACTGTTTTCAAGCTCACTTTACATTAGTCTCCTGTAACTGTTATGTTAACAGTGCATTTACATTCGAAAGCTTTATGAATTGACATGATTTAAAAATGAGAATTAAACTATATATCCGAAATATTTAACTATATTATTTTAAAGAACGTATTTCATTGTTTCACTTTTTTTTTGATTAAAAACAAAAATCAAGGTATCTCCCTTCAAGGTCATCGAGGACAAACTGTCAAGGAAGGATGTATTTCAAAATATCAAATGTATTATATTATATTATGTATTCCTGACCATTTCCTTATGACAGCGATTTTCTTTTTTCAGATTATTTATTATTATGGGGAAAACCCCATTAATTGAATTCCCGCCAAAGCTTAGAACGCAGCATGTAAAAATTGTGAATGCAACTTTATTCAAGTATATTCATTTTGTTATTCTCGTTTTTTCGCTTATATTTTTCTGTTTCTGTTTTCACTTTGTTGGTGTTGTGTTTGTTTTGTTTGCTGGTTTTTGTTGTTGTGTTGTTAGTGTACACGAATATTACAATACACAAAAATGTATTTCAATCTTAAGTCTTAAGGCAAAAACAATTGATAAACGTATTTAGACAGGAGAAAAACAATTTGAAATTTCGACTAGAACTTAATGGTTACACTTTATTAATAATAATTAGCATAATATATATATATAAATATATATCATGTATATATCATGTGGGCCCGCGCGGAGGAGTCTACTATCCGTCTAAGGAAATGGGCGTGGGATGGGGCTTAGGACATGTATAAGGATAAGGATAAGGTCTAGGGAAAGTGGGCGGTTGGGTGACGGCTGGGGAAGGAAGGATTGCGTGCTTTAACAAATATTGCGTTATGTGCCTGGCAACGGGCAACGGATCATGTGTGTATGCTCCAAGTATATACATATATATATATATATATATATATATATATATATATATATATATATATATATATATATATAAATATACATATATATGTATAAATTTGTATATATACATATATTTTTATGGGGGCTGCCGAGTGTGTATGTATATATCATATCCTTATGTGAGTGGCGTAGTCCGTTTTGGGTTACATGCCTTTACCAACTACACACACATATGGGGGTTGTTCGTCGCCAGGGTGCCTCAGTTGTGGAAAAATACGATTTTTTGAATGTTATAGCAAGTTTCGCCCGAGGATTTCCTCGAAAGGCACTTGTTGCCTCGTCCATCCGCGATGCTCAATAATTATTTTTATAGTTTTTCGGGTTTCTTCTTTTTAAGTTTGGGAGGTATACCTCAGTCATTGGCGATTTTTCCCATAATTTTTATTTACAGTGAGGCACCCTGGCGTTGTAAGCTTCCTTTTTCCTCGGGGAGTGGGGGCATTACTGCCTTTTTTGGGGGCTCTATATGTGTGCTATGACTATGGTAGTGCATGTGTGTGGGTGTGGGTATGTGTGGTTTTTGTGTCGTGTGTGTATACATATCGTACGAATATAATGCATGCATTATAAAAATACTTTACTTTACGATTACATTACGTTACTTCATGTTAATTTTTAACTTAAAAAAAAAAAATTGCCTGGCTTTAATCCTAGAGTGCCTGCAGCAGCCCATTCATCTGCTAATCCTCGAGAATCCTCCTGGTTTCGGACTGGTTTCCATATCTCATTCTTTTTTTTCTTATAGGCTGTATACAATATATATATAATTTGTGGATGTGTCTGTGTTCCTCTGCCGATCCTGGCCAGCTTTTCGTGCTGCTCGGCCCAGCTGCTCTGCCGGAGAGCCAGCTCCAAATGGGCGTCTTTGCCTGATGCCAGGCCAACCGATATACGATCCTCCATTAGTAACCCTTTAGCCTGTCGGCCAGCGGCGGCTTGATAACCTTGGGCGCACTGGCCCGGGCGATTCGCATCCGTTCGGCGGCTTTGGCCAGCCGCTTCTTGCGCTCCTCGACGGTTTCCGAGGCGCGGCGCAGTCGTTGCCGCGCTGCATTCTTCATCAGTCTTAGGGTTCTTTGTACTTCCGTTTCATTCTGGCGGCGCACTCGATTCGCCTCCGCATTCTTGGCCAAACGCACGCGGTACTCGGCCTCCGATTCCTTGGCCCGTTTGTCCCGCATCCGGGCGGCGTTTCTCTCCAGCCGCCTTTCCCTAGCCTCAATCGATTCGTTGCTTCTCCGGCGGGCGGCCTTTTGCGCTCTCGAGGATTGACCCTGCTGCGTCACTGATTGCTGAGCGCTGAGATGCGGAACGCCAAGATTGGCAAGACCCGGGACGCCACCAAGTTGTCCGGCCTCGACCACAACGCCGGCGGACAAATGGTGATGCAGGGGATGCTGCTGCTGGAGGACCTCCTGGTGGGGATTGCCCTGCTGTTGCTGCTGCTGATGGGGATTGCCCTGCTGTGCGAAGTTGTTCTCTAGGCTCAGCACCGCCGTTCCAGACGCACTGCCACCGCTGTTCGCTGCACTTACTGAGGCACTGGCTGCTGTTCCTGCGGTTCCTGAACCAGTTCCCGAACCGGACACGGATACGGAGGTGGCAACGGATGAGGCAACGGCTGCCGCAGCGGCCGCCGAACTCGTATAGTTGTTGTACTCTAGGAGGCCACGATTGCCCGAGTAGAGGGCATGGTGCATGGGACTCTCATAGCTGAGATACTCCGGCTTGATGAAGAACGGATCGCGGGTGGTGAGCGTCGCCGTTGGCGAGTTGAGGAAGTAGAGGCGACTGTGGTGCTCGGTGGTAATGCTCCCTCCGCCACCCACACCCGCTGACATCGGGGGATTTGGTGCGCTCGCTCGCGACTCGCCTTTGGGATCCGGTTTGTGGTGTTTGTGGTGGTTATTCTTTGGCGGCAGTCAGGTCCTTCCGTGGTTCCACCGTGGTTCGCCCTTTTTTTCTTTTCCCGCGCGCCGGGAATTAACACAATTAACTGGCCTGGGCAAAAAAAATGTGGCGAGTAAACAACAAAAGCGACATAACTAATCAATATGGAAAAAAGCTGCGGATCTGGTCCAAAATAGCTTTAAAAATAGCTTTCAATTATTTCGCGAAAGCTTTCGGCGCAGTGGGGCCGCACATCGAAGACACAATAATACCACAGCCACATTTGTGGCACTCCCCTACTTTACATTTTATTCCTGAAAACAATCCTTAACTGAAATACAAATGCATGATCGTATATCCTTGTGGTTAATTTTAAATTAATCATTTTGTACTACACATGTTTCAATTTTTTATTTTAGAAAACTTTTAGTTAAAACAAAATTTATAAATTTATAAAAGTGACATTTTAAATTTGAATTTGAAAAATTTGTTGAAAAGTTGTATATGTTTATCATAAAGCACTGCAATATTTTTAACAAGTTTAAGGTTTGAATATCGTTTTACTAGATAACGTTTTGTCATTCTTTGTTAGCTTAATATATTTTCAAGGAAATGCGAAAATTTTGATTGCTTGCATATACGGGCGTTTTATTACAATGTTCGTTGATTAACATCATACCCCGCTTTCATTTTAATTTTGGTATCCAGAATTTCAACCACATACAAGATTATGTTAATTTATATTCAGTGCTTGCATTATACATATTTCGTCTTTGAGCTTGGTATCCCATAATAATAATTATAGTTGAGCTCTTAAGCCGCTTCGAACCGCGTGACGTCACATCCAACGCGTTGCGGTTGTGCGTAGAAATGCGGGCGTGCAACACACTTAGTTGCTTTATGCCAGGCCCTCTTCACGAAGTAAATCATTTTATAATACACTACAAAGCAATGCCATTCAAAGAACTACAGTTAAGTTATTACAATATTAAATATATTGTCATCAAAAAAAAAAAGATTTAAGACATTTCATAACGGCATATATAAATAAATTGTGCTGTAACACTAGCCGATAAATAGTGACACGGGCGGCGATGTCGGCTCACGCGGGCATCTCTGGTAGTTGAGTGAATGAATGGTGGAATGACAGCACACGCCATGTTGTACCGCATTTTTGTTTTGGTTCTCGACGTAAACGGACGTGTGTGCTCGTGTTATGCGGCGCCAGTTGGCACAGGTAGCGTAGTTTACCTTTGCCGCTCTACAAAAGTCAAATAACAATAATAACAACGACGACGATAATCGCAAAAGCAACGACAACTGCAACAATAGGCGCATTCTTAATTGTGTTTACCTTTGATTGTCATTCGCCAGCGATTTACACACACACGCACACACAGGCACATAGAGATAAACATACATTTTATAACTGCGATTTGACTGCGTGCGTGTTTCGTCGCGTCCCCCCTCTGAGCCACAACGACCAGAACACCCCGCCCCCTTTACGCTCATCCTTTTTGTTTGTTTGTTTGTTTTTGGTTCTCGTTCTCTCGGGTTTTCCTTCAATTGGAATGTGCAGCGAAAGGATAGGCATGAAGAAAAGCCAAGCGCAAAGCAAATGAAAAGCGAAGAACAAATCAGATTCGAGCAACGGTATTCAAATTTATATAAGCACTAACATAATTAACTATTCCCGCATACAAACATACAGAGACAGACAGACATTCAAGGCAACTACTTCAAAAAGCAGTTAATAATAAATACAACAATTTTACACATTCACATTCCATTTTGATTCTGTTGTGTGTGAAAAACTTATAAGAAAAGCAACAAAAACAACGCGAAACCAACGGCAAATAACAAAAGTATCAAACACAACAACAGTAAGCAGCAGCAGCAACAAAAACAGCATTGGCAGCAAACAGCATAGCAAAGCAGCGAAGTCAACGTCAAAGAAGAAGAGGAAGAAGCAAGATAAATACATAGCAATTTCGACTAAATAAAGGTATGTGCGACGACGATTTTACTTGACTTTATTATTACTATACTACTCGCTAGAGCGAGAAAGCCATACATACTACATACATACATATATACAATCAGAGGCAAACACTCATGCACACACATTTTCATTATTAGTTTAACTCTTCAATTTATTATTGTTATTATTGCTATTGCTATTGCCTTTCTATCCCCGTCCCGCTCGCACGCTCCTTCTGCTCTCCTTTTGCGCCGCTCTGTTCTCTCTCTCACTGTTTTTTCTCTCTCATTTTTCTTGGCCCTCTCTTTTGCTAGTTCTTATTAAAATAGTTACGTTAAATCAGTGCGTTAACTTGTATTCGTGTGTATGTCTGCTGATGTGTCTGTATGTCGGTATCTGTATCTCAGTATGTCTAAAGATTACGTTTTTTGTTCGTTTATTTTTTGAATATGCCTACGAAAATGTTTAAGGCACTGAGCGTGTGTGCGTTTCTCCGTGTTTATTGTTCTTTCGTATTTGATCACCCGCTTGATAAAATAGAGAAAAACAACAAGTCAGGTTAAAATACGACAATGTCGGTATGTTTTGTATCTGTAAGTGCCCTCGCATTTGTATGTATGGGTGCGTTTGTATTGTACATAAATTGAATTAAGTGAAATTTTTGTTGTTGTTTTCGTTAGCGGAAATTTCTACACCGCATGTTCGGCGATCACTAAAAAAAATCTAACTAAAAATCAAACAAGCACACACATGCACAACGGTTTTTCTATGACAGTTCTGATAAGTTATTACTTTGATGTCTGAACAAATTCCGATTGGAATCTCGATCGTTATGCAACATTTGAATGTAGAAGTCTCAAAAAAAAAGATATCGGGTTCCTAAAATTAATTACGTCAAGATACATACATACATAGCTGCCTAATGTTTTTCCCATTAGTTTTGGTTCTTTTTCTGTACTTTTCTAATAATGCGCCATTTACCTAATTGATATTCCAATTGGTTTCAAATTCAAACGTTATTTTGTAGAATAATTATGAATAAAACACAGCTTTAAAGTTAATAGTATGTGTATTGGATCATTTGTCACAAGCTTGTCATTTTATACGAATAAAAAAATTGCCTTGAATCCAATGTTTAAATAGTTTTTTGTTACAATGCCCCAGATTTCATGCCACATGACACTTGTAAGGAAAAATGTAATTGTTCTCTGTTCTGTTTTATTGTTAAATAATTCAATAAATATGAGTTTATTATATTATTAAATCCATCAAACTTGGTAAATTCGAAACAATGATTACAATCTTTCCCATCAGCCATACTTTGCGTGCTTGACAGATAAATGCGATAACTTGATATTCCGCTATTAAAAGGTAAAAGATTCCTGTTTTGTGCGAATGATCATTGCAACCCCTTTTGTGATCCTTTACTTTGTTCAGGCCCTTCCCTTTTTTCTATAGCTGCCTAGCTGGCATTTGCAGAAAAAAGAAGACAAAAACCCACTAGACGAGTGGAGCTGCACATATTTGTTAACATTACCATTACCATATCCCATTTCCAATTTCCAAGCTCGCTTCTCTGTGACTCAGAAACAACAAAAACAACAAGCGGAGCTCAAATAAAAACTGCAACAATAATAAGGCAACACACACACACCTAGTTACAGCTTGGTTCAACATGATAGTGGTGCTTTAAAATCCATATGTATGTACTTTAGTAAATGTTTGTTTAACACTTGAAAAAATACGCCATCGCTTAATAATTTATTGTAAATAAATATGACAATTTGAGATATTGAAATGTTCAAAGCTACATATATTGTTAAACATATATTACATATACTGTTAAACATATATTACATATATTGTTAAACATATATTTTCTAATTTATAACTGTGGCAATATAATTCTTTAAATTTAAACATTCTTCACTTATTTCAATATTTCCAAAACATTACGGTACTACTATTTTTGTGGACACAGCTGTTTGTGGTGGCCCATGCACAGGTACACTCAAAGAAACCAACAAGAAAAACAAAGAGTTGCCGATATGCATATGTAACTACTCGAGTATCATTAAATGCAGATCTCTATAGAAGCATAAAAAACGAAGTCGAAGCAGAGAAGTGACTTTTGAGTGCGGTTTTTTTTCCATATCGTATCGTTTCGTTTCGTTACCAAGACAAGCAGACAAGACACACAGCCAACAATCCATAATAATCTTCCCGTAATTTATAGTCCAAGACAATTTATGTAATTTACAAATACCAAAAACGAAAGAGACGGCAAAAGGCAAAACTAAAAAAAAGGAAAATATAACCAAACGAAAGACGATGAGAGCGAATGCAACTGCTGCAGCGAACTAACGATAATAACAATAACGAATACAAAAAATTTAATAAAAAAGAGAAAAAAACACACTTTGAAAAAAAAAAACATGGCAACACACACGGCAATAGCAATAAACAGCTACAGCAACAACAATAGAGCAGCGTACTAAATAAACAATTCAACAAATTTGATCCGAGGCAAGCACACACAGATACACTCATCCATAAGTCCACTCGCACAGACACACACACACACACACACGCTCGGCAATCATAGACAACTCACACGCACATAAAAATGCATATGAAGAAAATATATGTAGGTATGTTTGAATACAAAATATACGACAAATGTAAGTGCAGTAACAGAAAATAAAGAAAAAACTCAAGAAAAACAGAAAACACAAAAAATGCAGCTAAATCGAAAGACAAAAGCAAAAGGCAAATAAAAAGCAAATACAGTGCAAAGTCAAATGTCGTTTAAGTTCCAAGTTTTTTTTTGCTTTTTTTGTTTTTGCCTCTCAAGTTTGGTGAACGCATTAAATAAGTAAATAGTGTTGGGCCAAAGTCCTAGAACTCGACTATGTGATACCCCTACGAAATTGGGATGTTTTGAAAGCCTTCTCCCGACTACCCACACTCTAGTGTTTTGCAACTGTTGTTTTTTCGAGTATAAGGTGTACTGCATATCATTTAGATTATACAATAACTATAATGCTGAAAACAGGTTTTACAGATACGAATTGCAGCTTACAGAAAACTACATATGAAACGAATCAGAGCTTTTATTGTAAATTTGTTTGTAAATTAAATTAATTAAATTATTATTATTAATTAATTAATTAAATTAAATGGATTCGCCAAACTCCACTACCGTGTTTATGGGCTTAATTTAGTATTAGTTTTAGGAAAATTATAGTATTTGAGATTTCAACAAAAGATGGGTATAGGAATAGGGAGCATCTTGCATGTTTAAATGTGCTACCTTTTCGAGATAATAACCAATCCATCTCTTGATACCCCTTATATCAGAATCAACTATAAAAGTCTGTAGAAAATGTACAACTTGAACCCATAAACTCTCACACACACATATATACATAGAGACAGATGCTAGCTTGAACGTGGTAATTGCATTTATTGCACGTGCCCGTGCTATCTCCTTTGCACCCGTCGCACCCGTCTCCCTCACTCCCACTCGCACACAAGAGTCAAGTAAAGCACAAAATGTAAGGCCATAAAAATATTTTTCAAGTTGTAAACTTTTCTATGCTGCACAGTTTCTTTGGGTTCTTTTCTTCTTTCTCTCTCTGTGGTTTTCCGACGACCAAACCGCACCAAACGATCTCCTCCCCATTCAGCCAGAAACCCCTCGCCCACCCAGCTACAGGGTATCAATCAAGCGAGCTCTTGCGGTTGGAGGATTTCCACTGCGATTCCCCTTGGTACGAACAAATGAGGTCAAAATAATAGTAACCCTGTTCTCATTGTCGATCCAATTTACTGAATTTTTATATATTTAAATTCTTGCAAGAAAGTGTCAAAGTAATTCTTCTCAACATGTACATTCATTGCTCAACAGGGTTATATCTTAGAATTAATGTCACGAGAAATTTAAACGAAAGGTCAAGGATCACGTATATCTTATAGTTTAAAGGCAGTTGTTATACACATGCATAGGTACTTTATTGCACTAGATCTTCAAGTTTTAGAGATTCCACAGATAGCTCCGTCAATTCTTCGTATTATCGAAATAGGTTTCTTCCGGTTATAGAAGACTATTCCCTCCCTATTCGTAAGGCTCCTATTATGTTGAACACATCTGTTTGTGTGTTGTATATATATTTTTTTTTGCAACGCTGTTGGAAGATGTGAAGAGAGGGCGCTACATCTTTGATGCTTTTATGGGCAAGTTTGCTGCATATGAAACTTGTCTATTGAGCGCGCCTGGTTCTTTCTTCTGGCTGTTTTCTTCTCTAGCTTCTGGGTTCGTGGTTCTTTCGTATCGGTGTTCTTCGGTTCCTCTGGGTTCTCAGTTCTCTGTTTGCTATTCGCTCCTCTCATCTGAGGCTTATCTCTGGTCATTGCCAAGTTTTTTCATCTAGTTCTTGGCCTGGCTTTTTCCCCTTGTTCCCAGTTTTGATTCCTGTTCTTCTCCTGCCGTCTTCTCAAGCTGTTTCTTTTCTTCTCGGCACTCCCACCCGCCCACACGCAATTCCTTTTGTGGAAGCGGTCGGTTGACTTTGTTTACAGCCCGTCCATATCGCTATTTTTTTTATTTTTTTTTGTTTTGTACTTAATATCCTCGCTCTCCATCATCATCATCATTGCCGTAATCTTCATTATCAGCGAGCTTCTATTTGTTTGCTCGAATCTTTGCTTTGCACGCATACCTTTGGTCTTAGTCTTCAGTTTCTTCAATTTCATTTTTTGTCTTGTGTCCAGTTCTGTAGAATTTTAATCGCAATATTTATTTGGGTGTTTCTGCGAAACGAAACCATCAGCATTTATCTAGGGTTTGTTCGGTCGTATCTGTGCATTCAATATCGGGGCATAGTTGGGTAAAATTGTTTACATAATCAGATAAACCTGATACCACCGGGTTCAGCTATCGATATCGAGCGACTATCGAAATTAATATCTCACCAACTGACGGCAAGGAAACAAACAAAACATACAAACGAACGGGCGACACATTCCAATCTTCTCTTTAATTTGTGTATTATGGTTGAACTTGCAGATGCTTGTAAGTGCACATTTCCTCACACAGACACGCCGGCCACTGTAATCACTGATGTGTGTGTGTGTATGTGTGTGCTGGTGTGTCTTCTTCCGGAGCTATTGTTATTGCAAGTACACGTAAAATTATTGTTCACGTCGCACATTGTCGTGAGTTTGTAATTACCAACCTCACCTCACCTCGATTTCCCATCTCTTTACCGCCGACCGTTCATAAGCGGTCTCAATGTGCAGCACAGTGGTCGCTGGCTAAGTGAAACCACCTGTTTCGCTGACGTGTAGATAAGAAAAGTTTCAAAATAACAAGAACAACAAGCCTAACACGCCAATGCTCTGGAAAAATAATATGCCTAAGATTACCTTATCTTGGATTTCAATAAGAAGTCATTGCAAAACGTCTCCAACCTAAACGAAAAGATCATACATACATACATGCATACACTTTATCGGATCGAAACAGCAAAACCTTCTCTCTGTTACACAAATACAATATAGTATATTATATTAAATATACCCCATTCTCCGGACAGTGCCGAGTATTAAAATAATAAACACATCTGGAAATCGGGCCTTGCAATCAGTATATCATTATTTATTAATGGTGTGAGTTTCATTAACAAATTCCCACTTGTAAACCAGAGAACGGGTTAGTGTAAACAAGCAATAGATCCTATCGTGTTTATAGGAACATATTTTATTAATTTTTGATTATCATATTGAATTGGAATTGGTAGAGTTGAACAACTCGAACGTGTTTAAGAAGCAATTTGAGAGACATCACTGTAGTTGGCCATGCAGGTTTATATGTCTGTATAAGTTGTAGATACGAATAATCATATTCTTTTCGGTGGCATTGCATAATCAGTATAATCTCTTTAGCTTGCACCCCCCCTCCCCCCTCACCACAGCTTTCGGCTTTCTTCTCTTACATCTGTCTCCCTATCTTCCAGCTGGCCGTATCTTTCTTTTTGCTCTCTAAATTGTTGCATGCAGGATTCTCAACTTAATTATGAACACACCAATTTGTTATGCAAGGCCATGGAGGGGCTTTCTTGCACATATTCCCCGCTACTTCTTGTTCTTGATCTGTGATCTTCAGATGGAAAGTAGCATACAAAAAAATAATGCTGGTGAGCTTACAAAAGATTTTCCCACTTCTTGTTCTTCTTGTGCTTATTATTTGGAATACTTTCTAAGTCAACGACAGCATTTAGAATTTATCCAGTACTTTGCACACACGGTACGAATACCGATAAAAGAGTTTACTTTGTCATTGCGCGTTCTGTCTTCAATTCTTCTAGATGTGCTTCTTCGTCTTCTCGGCGTTCTTGTGCTCCTATTCTGTTCTATACCATTCCATAGCCGTCCGCAAATATGCTCACAAATATTAAATTCAGTATGGTACGGTACGGTATGGTATAGTATATCTGTATGTATGTATCGTAAAAACCCACCATCTACCGCCCACCTCCCACCGCCCCCTTGTAAGTTGGTCGTTCGTGTGCGGTGTATAAATTTTCTGTGGAACTGTACAATAGCTAAAATAATCATAAAAAAGAAATAACAAAGTTTTAAGTCCCACAGTGTGAGTGGAGGTAAACCAACAAGCACAGGCAACCAACACACATGTTTCTCCCTGGGATATATGGGATAGTAAGTGTAAGTAGTGTGTATTTGCTTTTCTCGGCGCGACTTCTTGAATAGTTGTAGAGTAAAGTTGTTCAGTTCAGTTCAGTTCAGTTGAGCTGAGCTGAGTTGAGTTAAGTTGAGTTCGGTTTGGTTTCGGGTTCGGGTTCGTTGCTGTTCGTGTTGGGGTTCGCCTCGGTTCGTTTGGAGCCTCGACTTCGGCTCTACAAATTGAAGTCTTTCCCTCCCTCCCTCCCTCTCTCACTCTATCTCTCTCTCTTTCTCTCTCTCTCTCTAGTCTCCTAGTCTTGTCTTTGTGCAGAAGCAGAAATCTCGAGTTTCTTGACTTTTCTGCCTGCTTTTCCGCTCGACTCTTACGCACTACACAGCTCTACCTCCCACCTCCCCCAAAAACCCCCTTCTCATGAGTAATAAGCATTTCGTTTGTTATAAAGTTTTTTTCTTTCTTGCTCCGTATTCCATACATTTCCTCATATGTGTAAAACCGCGACGTTTCCCACCACCATAGCTCCGCCCCCCCTGGTCAACATCGTGGGTCTTTATATGGGTTTCATTTTATTTAATTTTTATTTTAAACTTAAACAATGTCTTGCTCTGACTTGAAATGGCAATTGATAGAGGTGGAAGCGAGAGGGATAGCTCCATATGCGGGCCGCTTACAGAGGACAGACATGAAAACTATTCATATACAGTCGAACTTCCATAATTCCAACCACCATCTGTCTCATAGAAATTCAAGTTTCTTTTAAAGATTATTTATGGAACGCAAACAAGTTTTGTTTCTCGAATTATTTGTAATAAAAAAAAAGTGGTTCCAGTTTTATAGTGTACGGACGCTTTGACTTTGACATTTTTGTACTTTGATTTCGTTATAAAGTAACTGTATTAATTTAATATTTTAATTTACTTCAAATGACGGCTCTGAAATCGTATGTTCCAAAGAGCCTTGGTAGGACACTGTAAAGTATGCAGTGATATTTGCAAACTTTGTTTCGGGCATTTTTTTAAATTTATTTTTAAAAGATTTGTATACGTGTAGTGTTAATTATTGTACCTTCAGGCAGCCTAAACAATTATTTATTGAGGAAGGCTAATTGGTAATACTATTGCATTGGACATAACTTAAACTTACTTACTTAACGTAACTTATTTGCAAAGATACATATTTTAATTTCAATATTTCAATATTTATTGACAACTTATATTAAAAATTATTCACGACAGGGGTCTAGATGAGAGATACTGTGGGTGGAGTCTTTTTGTCGGGCAGTATGAAATTGTACTGTGTGATACTAAGATCTATGATAATGTAAAGAATGTTGGTTACGTTTGAAATGAATTTATTGTTTGAAAATTTAATATCCTGCAGTGGATATTAAATATACTATCTGAAACTACTAATTTAATATTCATGATATTTGCGTTAAGGTTACAGAAGATCGACAACGATCACATCTTGGCAGGCATTATGTTTCTTCAGGGAGTGGGAGGCGGCGGGGTTTAGCACTCGTTGTACAAATATGTATTGCAAATTGCTTTGGTCTTTTTACCAGTTCCAGTTTCCAGGTGCTATTCCCCTCTCTTGTTCGCTCTGGCTCTCTGTGCATCATTATGCGAGAGCTCATTCTTGTTCTCTTTCCCCAATGCAGATGGGGAAAAAAGAGAGATCGCGCAGAAGATCAAAACTGAATTTCAATTTGCAAACTCATGTGCCTAGGATTCTTAACCCCCCATTGCCCGCACATAGACTGCGTTTTTCTTGTTGTTGTTTTTGTTGTTCTCTTCTTTTTCTTTTTTGGGATATGATTTTTTGCAAAAAGTTCTCGGGAGGCGAAACTGGTTGAGAATTTTTGCATTCCATTGCTGAACTTGAATTGCATTTGGAATTTGTTCTTAGTTCTCCGTGCTGTGTTCCACGCATTTTCCATTTCCGTTCGTTCACCTTGTTCTTTTTAGTAGTTGTGGGGGGTTTCAGGTTGAGAAGATGGGAAGATGGGTAATGGGGGGAGGTAAATGGAATGGAAACGCCGATAGTTCGATGACTTTGCGGCTGGCTTATCGATGACGCTGGTGATTTATTGATCGAGATGTGTTTATCGATGGAGCGAATATGGCGAACTAAAACTTAATTGCTCAACTAAATTACAGCAATTTTTCCCCATTCCATAATGTGAAAAAGAGAGCGAACATGAATTTATCGTACTTTGTGTGCTCTGTCTTCCGCCCTATCTTGTCTATAACCCCCCCGAACCTCACCTCCCCACCCCTTAATTTCAACTTTGTAGATATAAAGTTTTATTTCATTTCGTTTCGTTACGATTTTGCTATTATTATTTGTTCGTGTCTCACTGTCGCTGTATCTGTGAGATACCCCCGTTGTAATAGTGTGCGTGTGAGAGTGTGTGTATGAATGTTATTTTTTAGTTTCGACTTGTTTTCTTTTGTGTAATTTTATTTTCGTATGTGCCTGTGTGTGTATCAAGTTCATAACTTTTGTATAGAGGCTACGACAGTAAGAATTGTTTTGTTGTCGCTGCTGTTGTTTTTGTTGAAATCCACACAATAAATATATGCTTGTACGTATGTTTGTACGCAGGGGGGGCAAGGAGAATGCTTGTATCAGTGTGCCATTGTGTTGGCATAACTGTGTGTGTGCCTGTGTGTTTTTTTTTTTTTTGTGTTTTTCACATTTATTTTCTAGTTTGCTCGCTCAGTGTTTTGTTAACTCTTATTTAGTTTTCTTTGCGTTTTGAACGTCGTTGCTTTTGTATCATACGTCCATGTGTGTATATATTCTTGTTTTTTTCGTACACACATATTTCGTTTATGCCCCATTATTAATAAATAGTTTTCTTGTTCTGCTCTGCATTCCCATTTCAGTTTACCAAACGTCGTCGGTATAATCGCAACGTTTCTTTCCTGCGTTTCGGATTCTCCGTGCGTTAGTTCTTCATTCCGTTCGTTCCGCGTGTTGCTCTCTCGCGTGAGAGTGCCACTTGTTGCCGGTACTCTTCATCCCATCAATCCATCGATACTGCACTTGGTAACTGATTGATCTGGTCCACCCACTGGCGGAGATTAGCGGTACGACAACGCTCAGTGGAAGCAGAAGGACCCAGAACCATTGGAAGGCATGCAGTTGATGGCCGGCGGTTACTCCTGTTACTCCTGCAGCAGCTCCTCCATCTCCTTTGATTCCAGTTCCAGTTCCCTCCGTTCCAAACTCTCGCGATGGAGAGCGAACAGCAGCAGGAGGTTGTGGGCGGAAGTGCGTCACTATGTCGCATCTGCATCACCACCCATCAGCAGCAGAATAACACCACCACATCACCCACAGCCAACCTGCCAATGATACCCATCTTCGGCGAGGATGCGCTCTGGCAGAAGATTACCACGCTGGCCAACGTCAAGGTGAGTGGCAATCGTAGAAAAGGGAGTCAAATGGAATGGGGCCCACAGTAAAAAGGGGAGCAATCCAAGCACCAAGAAATCCGAGCGGAAAAGCAAGCAGGTGACAAAGAAGAAGCGGGTGAACCAAAGGTCAAGAATTGCAGACATCCCATACAGTAGTTACACAAAATAAAGTTCAGAGCTATAAAGTATTGCAACGTACTATAAAGTAGTTTGGCCCAAGTCTAGAAAACTACACAAGCAGGTTTAACTAAAGTACATGAAGTTTGTAGAGCAAGTCTTATAGGTTAGGTTTCCATTTACATAGACCTCTTATCATCTTCAGATGGTAAACTTTTTGATAAGAAATGTTTTAGGGCCGCTTTTATAATGGCTGATCAAAATAAACTAGCACGTGGTGTAGACTAATATTCATAAAAACGTTCATTCCACAAGGGGTAATTTTTTATATAATTCCTCAAGCATTTTTAAATTCAACGAAAGTTCTTGGGCTAGCGACCACTGTAGTTATTGATTTTGATGTTTTGCTGCGAATAGCTTGTTTTATTTTCTATCCCATTGATTCTGGAGAGCTTTTCGAGCTGTTTGCCTATAAAATCGATCCTAATTTGTATTCCACACATACATATGTATGTATGTTCATGCCATCAACGTTTCCAAGAGGGCTTAGAATACTTCAAAATCAAAACACATGCAATGGCAGGAAGCAAATTGTGTTTGGTCTTATTCCATTTTGGCCAAAGTATTCGCACATGCATAGTTGAGCTGAAAGATGTTTTTAGGGTGTCTGTATTTTTTTTTAACGAGGTGTGTCGACAATTGGGCACACTGTTTGTGTGTAATCCAAGATTGTTGTTGTGTTCTTCTTCGTGGAATACTAAAACTAAAAAAAGCAAACACATGAAAGTTATTCACACCAACACAGACGCTCGGCGTATTTATTATTCATATTAATTTTCATACACATTCGCCCGTACGTATATAATATATCTTATATCTTATATCCGAGCCACATAAGTGTGTGTGTAATTTGGAATCAGTTTTCATTGCTTTGTCTTGTTGCTCCACTCCTCTTTGGCCATTTATTCTGTTTGGTGTTTATTTGTTCGGTGGAATGGTTTCGGCTTCGGCTTTGGTTAGTTTATTTTATTCATATTGTGTATTGTGTATACAATTTTTCAACGAGCATTTCATATTTTTTCCGTTTGCCGTTCGATGGAATTTCTTGTGGGTCTTGTCTTCGGATTTTGTATTTCTTCATTTCATTTCGTATCTTTTCGTTTCTCTACTCTGTCTTGTCTTGGCTTTTGTAAAATAATTTACCGTTTGAATTGCTGTTTAGAAGTGTTTGCTTGTATGTTTGAATGTTTGTATGTGCTTGGCTTAATTCCATACATTTTTCCTTTACTTAACTTTACAATCTTGGCTCTCTTGACTCTCTTTCGCCAGCTCTTCCTAATCTCTTTCGCTCACGTACACGAAAAGAAACAAATAGTATAATAGATAATATATGGCACTACTCTACGTAGTGGTATACATATAGATTATACAAACAAAACCATTATTCATTTTAAAAGATATCAACATTTTTTTGAGTAGCGATGGGATTTGAACTCGGTCCTTGAAATAATATAGAAAATGTGTAATAATGGAGCTGGTACTTTTCGCTCTGTGTATTCGCTCTTTGCCCATTTTCCACTTTATGTTCGGCTTAGACGTTCGTTGGCCCCTCGATTCTGGGCTGGTAAGGGGTAAAGTAAGGGGTAAAGTGAGGGGCGGCACGTGAATGTGAATGGGGTGGCTCTGTGTGTTTCCCTCGCCTGTATGTCTTCGGCCCCTTATTCGCATTTGGTGCTTTTACAATTCATGTGCATATTTCAATTTGATTTTCTCCTTATGTGTTTTTCCTTAACCGTTGAAATGCTGCAATTTTCTGGTTTATTTGTGCAATTTTCCCACTTGAGTAGATTATGTTGCCAATTCAAGGAATTTTATGTTGTCATTGGGCATTCGTGAGGTCTGTTTGCAATCTGGCAACGCCTGGCAGTACCGTTGTCCTTCAATTTAGATATGTATATTTTACAAGTTAATGTAAGATACATCTTTATTAAATCTTGACAATATTTTTAATGTAGCAGTTAATACTATGTATTATGAACAAATTTGAAAATCGACCATTTCCGTTTGTACTTATGAGCAATCAATTAATTACATCGAGCTTTGTAAATTGATAACCAGTATTTTTCCATCAATCTGGCAGTTTAGATTGCTGTTACATTTGGCAGAGGTTAAATTCGCATTTAAAGCATATTTTTGCATTTTATTTTGTACATTTCAGATTAGCAAAAACGACACCCTACCGCAACAGGTGTGCGTCGGGTGTGCTAAGACGGCCATATCGGCCTGCGTGTTCAAGAAAAAGTGCGAGGAGGCGGACAGCTTTTATCGCCAGCAACTGAGGCTCCAGAAGATCGAGGGCGCAGATCCGCTGGAGGCGAGTGCTGCTACCGATCAGGCCAAGAGCAGCGGCTGCAGCAGTGGCAGCGGGAGCAGCAGCGCCAGCGGAAGCGGCAGCAGTTCCACCAGCAGCAGTTCCTCCTCCGATGACGAGGACGAGGACAATGACCAGGAGCACGATAACGACAATGATGTCGTTGCTAGCGAAGCACAAAAGCGCCTCCAAAATGGTCATGGACAGGCGATTAATGGTCATCGAGGGGATGAAGCTGATGAGATCCACGATGAGATTGATGACCACCACGAACCAGGCCGTGATGCCGGTCGAGAAGACGAACTCCTCCGAAACGGCATGGAGTTGACGGAGACAAATCACGAGGATGACAATGATGTGGAGCAGATCAATCCTTTAAATCAGCATCATAACGACGATGGCGAGATAACTGGCCATGGCGGTCATCCCAAGGAGCCCTTCGACTTCAACTCCATTCGTCTGATGCAGGAGTATATGCAACATCAGATGAACAAGTTTCCCAATGGCTCCGCCACCGGTCCGCCGGGTCATGACTTGGATCTCGATCTCGACCAGCAGCACCACGACGGCGACGATGATGAGGATGAAGAAATGTCGCTGCCGCTTATACCCGAAATTGAGTTGATTACGCCGGGGGATGAAGCTTCAGCGGATCCGTCAAATCCAAATGATTTGGTTAACGGAGCCGGCGTTGGCGTGGTTCAGGGATTGCAGGAGCCAGGTTTCCAATGCCCCCATTGCTATCAGATCTTCGAGATGAAACAGATCCTCAAGGCGCACATGCAGAGCGTCCATGGAGCACCGGGTCCGGTGTACGAGTGTAGCAATTGCCGCAAGACCTACTTCTACAAGCGTTTTCTGGAGAAACACATACGACGCGGTCGGTGTGTCAAGAAGCGTCGTAATCAAACGTGAGTGTGGTATATTTTCGTTTATCGTTTTTCGTTGAATTATGCATTGTATTTATTGGGTTTTCAGTCGACCGATGCAGTGCTCGGATTGTCATGTCCTCTTCCCCACAGGCCATCATTTGGGTTGGCATAAGCGCACCGGTTGTCCTTCGAAGGCGGCCAAAATGTGAGTGATTTATCGAAAAATAACCACCACTATATGCGAGTGAAAATATCTGGTTCTTCCTTTTAACAGGCCACTGCAACAGCTTTTCAAGCAAAACATTGTGCAGTTTAATAATTTCCCCAAGCGGGTTGCCGCTGGAGGAGCACGCAAGCCCACGGCTCCCGATCTGCACATAAACAATCGCAAGTAAGTTAGAGATATAGCACTTACTTGAAGAACCTTCTTAATTTTTGAATTGATCTTTAAGACTTGGACTGGCCAACAAGAGAAAAGGGCGCACTCGCATCAAGTTGGATGCAAAGAAGATTGCCCTGGCCAAGCAGTTGATATTGCGAGAGGCCACCACGACGGTGATCGCCAACGAGCTGAACATTTCGCGCACCTTCGCCTGGCGCTTGCGCAAAAGTCTGGTAAATGGTGTCAGTTTGCATGAGCGCGTGGTGGATCCATCGCAGGAGGAGCAGCACTTGCAACAACTGCAGCAACAGCAGCAGCACCACCACCATCACCAGCAAATACAGCTGCAGCATCAACAGCAGGATGATCAGCAGCAAGCAGCGGCTGCTGCGGCGGCACATGCGGAACGTGAACGCGAACACCATCATTTGAGTCTACCCTATAGCCACCTCGGCTTGGGTCTTATCAAAGAAGAACGACAGGACAGCGAGGATGAGGAGCATCAGCAGCAACAACAGCATCACCATCCTTCACATCATCAACTGGGCTTGGTGGATGAGTGCGGAGCAGACGAGATCGGAGCTGAGGAAACGGCTGGTTATATGGGCGATGAGGATGCCGTTTGTGGATTGCTTCACAATGGCTACGATCCTGATCCCGATTCGGATCACATTGATCACGATCCCTTCGAGGCCACCGAAAACAACGAGCATCAATCGAATGGCGGTCGGCCGGGATCTGTTTCGCCGGCGCCGCAAATACCGCCGCCAACGCTGGGAAGTTCTGGGTTGCCCGTGCCTGTGCAAGTACATGCTGCAGCGCGACCCGACGTGGAGGTCTATAAACGTCTGCTGGCCGAGTCTCAGCACTTCCCCCACATCGTCAATGCCCAGCAGTTGCAGATGCAGCAACAGCAACGCGAGCGGGAAAGAGAGCAGCGGGATCGCGGGCGAGAGCAACTGCAGCAACAGAAGGCCCACAACGGTGGAATGCCGATGCTAACTCGTTATCCGACATCCGTCATGTAAGACTACATTTTTGTATACCATACACAGTCAAAGTCATAAAAGCCGTTTAAGATTATTTAAGTGCTTATGAAATCGATTTTATTTAAGAAATCATAAATGTATAAATTGGCTTATCGCAGTCATAAATACTTTAGCTTTAATAATATGATTAGCGAGCGTTGGTATCAAATTTTATAGTTTGTGACTTATTTATGCAGTTTTTTGAGCCTAAGCTCGAAATATGATGATCTAAAAGTGGAATGTCATACCTCGCTGAACTCGTAACAAATTTCCAGCCGACTGCCATTCAAAATCACAAATTTAATTTTAATCAATTTTTTTTTTTTTTAATGTGTCAAAAATGTGAAAATTTGCTCAAAAATTAGTTGTTCTATATCCGCCAAAATAAAGGGATCTTTAATACTCTTATTTACAAAACTGTTCAAGACAGTTTACCCATTCGATGCCAAATTATTGTGAAAAAGCGTTCATAAATGAGCAATTTTCTTTCCTTATGACGATTTTCAGATTTTAGCCAAAATATCTGTTTTTTAACATAACACTGGAAAGAAAGATCTAAAGATGGAATGCAATACCTGGTTAAACTCGTTATTAAATTCCAAATCGATTAGTTTTCAAATTGAAGTGTTTTTTTGAGATTGTTTCGTAATATTTAATATCGTATCAAAAAACCGAAACTTCCTTACAAAATTACATCTTTAAATTCCTCCCGAAAATGAGGTATGTGAATTTGAAGAAAATGAAGAAAATTTGGACATGTTAATCCAACAAGTATTTTGCTATGGTTCTCAGCTACCCAAAAACGGTCAACGTTTGTAAAAAATAGTGATAGCAAGAGATAAGATTTATATATACAATTCAAAATAGGCTCAAAATCTAATCGGAATCGTGTTCCCCATTCAATAGGCACGCCCTGCCCGTCAACCTGTCCCTGCGTTCCATGCCCCACATGAACAGCAACGAGAGGTGAGCTTTAAGCAAGTGCTTAACCCAGTGAACACTTCCATTAATTCCCAATTCTCCCTTCGCAGCAATGGCAGCTCCAGCAGCAATACTGCAGCTTCAGTGCCCGTTCCAGGCTCATCTGCAGCCTCGGCGGCTGTTACGCCAACCGGCAAGAAGCCCCGCAAGCCGAACGTCTTTATTGATGACGAGAAGTATGCCATGGCCAAGTTGTTGGTGGCCCAGAACTCCTCCACCATGGAGATAGCCAGGGCGCTCAATGTTTCCCAAATGACAGCCTGGAAAGTGCGCGATGCCATTCTAAAGGGAGTGCCGCTCTCCTATCGCAACAAGCGTTCCGATGGCAGGCATTCGGATGAGTTCAGCGTCAAGGAGCAGCAGCAGCAACAGCAGCATCAGCATCAGCAGCAACAGGAGCAACAGCAACGCCAGCAGGAGATGCAACGACAGCAGCAACAGCAAATGGAGCAAATGGAGCTAATCAAACAGCAACGCCAGCAACAGGAGCTGCTACTTCAACAGCAGCAACAACAACAACAACAGCAACAGCTACGCCACCACACACCAGCGGACACATCACACTATCAGCAACAGCAACAGACGACACCAAAGCTGCTGCATCCTCGCCGCCGTCTGAAGGCCGCGGAACGTGAGCTGCGCGACAAGGAGATCACACGCGAAATACTCGAGCTGATCAAGGAGGACAGCAACATTCAGTACTGGAAGGTGTCGGCCCGCCTGGCCGAGAAGGGTATCAATATATCGCCCTCGTCTGTCTGCCAGAAGCTCAAGTCGATGGGCATCCACAGGCGCTGGAAGCCAGGCGACAAGCCACCCATGCTGGCCATCAGCCAGCTGAAAGCGGCCACAGTGGCGGCCGCCGCAGCGGCAGCTGGCTTGGCCGGCGTCGGCGGTGTCGTTGGTGGCAGTGCTGGACTGGGTGGCAGTAGTTTTGGCCTGGCCGACGATAGCTTCGAGCAGCAGCAGTTCGACATGGGCGGGCCGCACTTTCTCAGTGCCTTCACGCGCTAGACGATCGACCAGAAGTCCTCCCCATATACACCTAGATTTAAATATCACACTCATTGGAGCGGATCAGAATCGTAGGTCAGCAAGTAAGCTAGAGCCAATTTAATTAAGACATTTTGGCTTGGAAATTTTAGATCTAGAACTTTTTTTCACACTTTCAAATGAATTATACAAACCGATCGAAAAATGGTTGATAGGATCAAATTCTAGTAGATACTTTTGAAATAAGAAGAGAAATTAAGAATTTAAGACTTACCATTTCCAAGACAAAAAGTCTATATAGTGTCCGCAATTACGACTTTTGAGTTAAATTAGATATTTTATTCGAGCCACCCAAACCCACATGCATAGATCAGCACAGCAACAACAACTTGTATTTTTTATATAGTATTTGAAAGGGAGAGCGCGCTTGAGATGTATTTGTAATCGATATGAGATAGCATATATTGTATGATTCTGTATTAGATTTATATATCCAATATATATATGCTAAGCATTCCTAGAATGTCACACACAAAAGATAAAAACACGCCCAAAACCACGTTCATTCCAAGTGAGGAAATAATTTCCTTTCTTTAATTTCAACAGCTTCCTTTTTCTCGTCCTCCATCCACACACACTCACATACACTACACCAACACACACTTAGTTGATAATTTGAGTAATCTAATTAATATATTTATTGATCGCATGTCCCTGTGTGTGTGCCTTTCAACTGAGAAATGTATTTAAAGATTTTTACCATGTTTAATTTATTTATTTTACTCACGCACACACACACACACATAAGCAAGCACACATTCAGTACTGAACCATAATTTAGTTAAATTAATGCATCAAACGATTAAATAACAATCAGAACAAAGCAAACGGAAGCAGATCAAACAGCAGCTAGATTGAAAGTTAGGAGAGCTAGCCACATAGCAACATAAGTGCAATTATAAACTAAACCTAAAAATCAAGAAGAATGTCTAACATTATCGTGTAACCGAGACAGAAGATAGGAGAGTGAGATATGGGAGAAAGAGAGGGGAAATCGACTTTTCTATTTAAAATTTAGACACCACTAAACACTTAACTTTCCGCTGAATCGAAACTAAAATATTTGATTATTTTCATTTCGGTTTTAAATTAGTTTAGGTGAATTTAAAAGCAAATTGTTTTTAGATGAAAAACTTGATGTATACATTTCCAAAGACTTACCAAAACTTCGTTAAGGCACAAACAGGCAACAAATTTTAAAAATCAAACGCAAAAGTTCCCTTTTCGGTGGTGTTTTAGTACAAATGTGTAGTTTAATAAAATCCCGTGGGTATGCATTCATGTACTAACTTTCCCATTTTCTGCTTTCTTTCTCCCGATCGTTTTCCATATAGACAGTTACTCCGAATCCATCCTCCAACCAAGCCCCAATTTAAGTAATATAGTTATGGAAACGAGACAAACAAGCGAGCAATGTTAAAAAACTTCGTAGCCAATTGTTAGTAAAAAAATGAGAGAATAACCACAAAAGAACAAAGCGAAATGAATTGAAAATGAAGACAAGTTAAGCCGAGCACTCGGAACTGTATTTATTTACAGCCAATTTTAGGAACATATATATTTTATTATTATTTTTTTTTTCTGTTGTTGCGGATGAACTTGCATTTGTCTGCGATTTATTTTTGTATAGCTTTTAAGGTCGGCAGTTAGAGCGAAAGAGATAGCTAGAGATTGAGAGAGAGATAGAGAGGGCGAGCGAGCGAGCGAGATAGTATTTTTTTTTTTTACATTTTTGTACAATTTAAAATTGTAACTGCTTTTTATCAATCAATCAATGAATGATTCCCTCCCTCCACCAGCCCACACACATACAAAACACACACGCACGTACTGTGCAAAGTATTTTCTATATTCATTACATTACATATAAAAATACCCATATTCAAATATGTACCATTTAAACGCATATGAAACTAAATTTATGAAATAATTTTTTTTGTCGTTTTTTTTTTATCATATTTATTAGCCGCAGCGTATAAAATAGATTTACCATAATGATTACAATTTTTTTGTATGAAAAGCAAAGAATGATGTCTATGAAATATAATTTAATATACATATAAATATATATATATATACATATAATATATATATATATATTTTAAAGCGAATAATAGTAAGGATCCATTGCAAGCAGCATCAACAAATAGAACTGACGTGCCTATGTAGCGATTAAATCTGACTAAACACCCACACACACATACACACACAAACACCTAGAGACTAGCCGATGTAATGCATTAAATAATCATTCCAAAATGTCATCTGAAGGAAAAGTAACGAAAAACAACAAAAAAATGCAAACATTATATATTTTTAAATGAATAAATAATATTTCAAGAATATTTTGTGAAACTTTTAACTCGATGGTTGGAAAATTTAGTTACTGGTCGTACTGTGAAGAGCCTTGCTATTTTTCTGAGTGTAAAGCTGCGCTTGAAAGTGGTTCCTCAAAGTAGGCAACATTTTTATGGCCAAGTTAAGCGGGAAAAAAGCTTTCCAATTTGTTTATGCCATATTTAGCAACAAGAATGCTTAAATCTTTTACGATCATGGGATCCAAGTTAATTATCACGGCATTTTCTGCTGGATCTTTGCTAACCCAGATATTATCGTAGCTTTTAAGAGAAGGCATACCCTGTATTCTTTTAAATTATTTATCAAGCCTCTAAGTAAATGTCTAAAATTAAATTTCCATTATGTTCTTCGGACTTTTCAGCGCAGATTTATGTGACAACATCAAGTCTTCTGTATTTCCGAATTAATGTCTTTATCTTCAGCAATTCAATTTTAAAACTGGAACATTTTCGCATTTATATCTCACTCATATGACGCAAATCAAGATACCATATTTTTATGGTATATATTTTATTGGATTTTTCCCACTTGCACGTGTTGATGCCCATTGGATCCATGATATACTATATTTTACTGCCCAGGGGAGAGTGGAAATGAGGGGAATTCTTCTTCGCCATTTGTTTGACCATTTCCATTCGTCGGCGAATTTCTTTGAGTGCTTAGCCCAGCAGACGTGCACATCCACTTCTGTTGAGTTTTGTTGAATAAATATGTACGTATAGGTATGTACACATGGGCTACCTTTGTTGAATCCGTGAGTCTGCGGATCTGGGCAATGTATTTATTTAATTAACGCTAATTCTGGACCGCTGGCCAGCTCCACGTCCTCCTCAATATTTCTCATTCATTGGGCAAATAAACAGAAGCCCGGTCGCGTGTTCCATTCGAAATTCGCAGATGTGCGACTGATTAAACTGATCTTGAATGGCATCGAAATTGGCGAGGAAGTACTATTTTTACAGATAGATACCCAATGTACTGGCCCCTTTGGTGCGAATAAAAGCGTTTTCTTTGTGGTTCGTTCTTTTTTATTAGGTTTTTTCTTTTGTATATATGTAGCGTAACTAAATTTTACAATTATTCTTTCACTTCCTGTGCTTTGGTCCTACATGACGAAAAAAAAAACAAAAAAAAATGGTTTTGATATATGTTTAATATATAGATAAAGTTATATACGTATGTGTTTTACATTGAATGCATTAATAATAGCAATAATAACAACAATAACGGACAGCAGCGGGACGAGAACGGTGTGTGATAGTATCATTGATTACATATTTATCGGTGCTTAGCCCATATCTTTACCGTTACTCAGCCCCTCTGCTGCTGCTTCAGCCGGCGCCGGCGCTTGCCAAATATATATTATTCTCTACATATCGTACAATACAATACATATACATCGATTGCTATCGATCCTACCTGCTATATCTTCTCGCTGGCTTGGGGTTTTCTTTGCTTATCATATTGGGCGATAGAATGCCATCCAAAAATGGGCAAGTATTCTCATTATATTTTCCTTCTTTTTCCCTTTTCTTTTTCTTTTTGATAAGGCCCGATTTTGACGTGGCTTTTGTTTCGCCCATTTCTGATTTCATTTTGTTGGTTCGTTTAAATTCCAATAGATGGATAGATATTTTTAGGGGTGGGGAAGGGGCGTTTAAAATTAGACACTCAATGAAAATCGTTATCGCTATCGTTAAATAATTACTGACGATACAAATAATCGTGTATTGTAGCACACACATACCATATATACACAGATAATGCCCGATCCTCTGGCGGAATGGGGCAAATGGAAATTACTTGTGGGTCGCGGGTGGGGTGGGATGGTTTTGTTAACTATTGTTGTTGATTCTCACGGGAAACTTAATAAGCCCAAAAGGTCCTGCCTTCAAGTTAATAACTATGATCCATTATCAACCATAATATCATAGCTCGAAACAAGACCTTGCAGGCTAGCAGTTTTATCAGAAGATTTTATGGGGTTTTTAGTTTTTGGCGGGGGGCTATCGTTAGTGATTAGTTGCTTAATTGAGTTCCTTGCGCGTCGTATTGGGCAACAGCAGGCACATGAGACCACCGCCGATGAGCAGACCCGACACGATGAACGTGGGCGATGGACAGTAGTTGTCCAGCAGCTGGGCAATCACGATGTTGCCAATGATGCCGCCCAAGCGAGCGGCCACCATCGAAATGGCCACACCGGTGGCCCTCAGCTTGGTGGGGAAAACTTCGGTGATGAGGCAGTCGAGCGCCGCATTGGCCGCCGAGATGGCGCCACTGAAGATGGCCGATACGACCAGGTTCTGAACGGAGCTGCGCACAAAGTACATCAGCGCCGAGCAGATGCCGGCGGTCATGGTGCCGGCGATGAGGAAGAACTTCCTGCCCAGCATATCCATGCCCAGGATGGCCAACAGATTGGCCGGCAGCGCCGAGGCCAGTGATATCAGCGATTCCATGAACACCGATTGCGGTATATCCGATGAGCAGGTGCCATTGTTGCTTTGCTGCTTCGCCAGGTTGACCACGTATTCCGTGACAGCACAAACGCCGGCCGACTGGTCCGGGAATGCCTTCTCGTACTCCTCGAAGCGATTGAAGAGCTCCGGGAACCACATCAACAGGCCGTAGTAGCCAATGTGGAATGTAAAGTTAATCGTGATCGAGACGATGGTGAAGCGCAATATGGGCGACTTGAACAGGGCGCGACTGTGGTCCACCATTCCGCTGATCATGCGGCTATACTTGTTCTTCACACTGCCATTGCTCTCCATCAGCTTCTCGTCCACCTCCAGGTCGTAGACCATGTACTCGTCCGGTCGGCGCTTCGTGTTCGTCACGAAAATGCCACGGAAAATGGCCAGCGCCCGATCCTTCTTGCCGCGCGTCAGCAGAAACTTGGGCGACTCGGGCAGATAGAAGAGCAGGAATCCCACGAGGAACGAAGGCAGTGAGCAGACCAGCAGGAAGATACGCCACGAGTTGTACGTAAAGTACTCTGTGGCGAAGCCAATCTGTCGCGGAATGATCAGCCAGGCCAAGCTGGCCACGAACAGGTTGCCAAACGTCCAGAAGGCGGCCATGAAGCTCAGCATGGAGCCGCGCTTCGCCTTCGGTTGGAATTCGGCGAAGTACGACCAGATCACAGGACCACTGCCGCCCAAACTGCAAATAAATAGGGGGGAAATAGATAGAGTTAAAGGCGAAAACTATTCGGTCATATTTAGATTTCATGAACAATTAACACAGTGCGTATACGCTATTTCTCAAATCATATATTGCGTATACGCCACGTTTACTAAATTCTACAGAAGGACATCAATTATACGAACATTTTTCGAATTCTTTGGATATTGATACACCAAAAATGTAGTATCATTTAGCACTCAATATCGGTGAGCATGAAAATATTGCGAAATAATTGTTGTCAGTTCGGTGCGGTAATTAGCAAACGATCGGCAAAAAATACAAAATATATATTGTTAAATATGGGTGAGCATTGGGGCAAACCGGTGACTAAGCGTCAATGTAACCCAAAAGCCAGGGGGCCAAGGCCTGAGATGAGATTTTCCATTCGCGAGCGGCAAATTCGATGGGGATTTGGGTGATCTGTTCGCGTTCGTTACATTTTGGGGCATTTCGATCGGACTTGCGGGATTCGAGCCTTTAATTAGCATAAACAGTCACGATATTGCGGCTCAAATATTTTGTTGTTATTCATAATAGAAGTAATTGAATTAACACCTTGCCCCGGGTCCGGGCCCGTGTGTCACTCGATCCACAGATCGATCACTGAATAATGATCCATGGCTGCATGGAGCAGCAGTATCACCTCATCGATTGACTATTTTTGAATGGCTCTCGTTTGCTTATTGTTATGACTTCAATTTAGTTGGATGGTAAATACTTACGCTGCACCATTGAGGAAGCGGAACAGCATGAAGAAGGAGTAGGTCTGCGAGAAGGACGAGGCAACGATGCAGAAGGCGTTCATAAACGAGATGACGATGAGGACCTTCTTGCGGCCAAAGCTGTCAGCGATGCTGCCCCAGAAGTAGGCGCCCACCATCATGCCGATGAAGATGATCGAGTTTAGCCAGCCCTTGGTCTCCGTGTTCAAATCCAGGTCACACTCAGCCGAGGGCAGAATGAAGGACATGGAGATGACATCCATTTCCTCGGACGTGCTGACCAATCCGCAGATGGCCAGCAGTATATAATGGAACTTGCCATAGCCGCACAATTCGATGGCCCTCTCGAAGTTGGCGACTATCGGGGCAGTGGGTTCCGGCAAGGGTACGGACTTCTTGCGTCCCTTGCCCCCCTTGCCGGGCGGCCCA